AATAAAGCGCCAGTTCTCAGAAGAAACTGTGTCTACATATGCATACGTCATTATGGCACAACCATTACAAAACAATTGTCCCTCATTTTGCTTGAGTGTTTTTGGAACAGACAACAAATTTTCTTCTGAGCATGTTCGTAAGAGATGGCATACAATGAAGGAATATGCCCAAAAGAAATGGATGGTGATCCACGTCTATTGAAATGTATGCGATTAGAGGCAACATTTCCTCAATCGAGTCATTTGGAACAGCAAAATGCTTCCTGGAATTGGTTTCAAGCTAATCTTGAGACAGAAAATATACCTGTTCAAGATACTGTCCATATTGGTACCAAATTCAGAAATCGTTTACTTAAACCATCGATTTACCTACCAGTAGGTAACAAAATTATTTCTTCTTCACACCTCGCCATTCTGATATCAAACATTTCCAAAGATGTCCACTTTTTAACTGGATACGATATCAATCCCGAAGATAAAATGAATTTTCAATCTGTAGAGAGAATAATATCAGAAAAAGTAACAACAGCTCTACTAGATCATGTACCCAATTCAGAAGCTACTGCTTTTTATTTGAAAATTATCAGAGATATGCTGAACTGTTTTTTGATGAAAAACATGTCAATTCAGATGAGATTATATCTTGCATGGAAAGTGGTTTTTCAACTGAGAATTTGGAGAAATTGGATTTTGACAACAAATGAATTTACACTTAAAGACAATTTCATAACATTAAATAATTATATATCAGTTGAAATAAATGCTCATTCTTTGATTCTCTTAATAAGAAAATTTTCGAAATTTCAAGAAAGGTTCCCTGCTAGTATGTTTGTACCATGGTTAATGAGTAGCCAGCCTTGCGAACAATTATTTCGTTCCACAAGGTCGATGACGAGTACCTTTTCTACTATTGTTAATTTCAGCCTCCTAGAAATAATGAATCGTATTAACAAAATCCAATTTCTCCAAAATGCAGTTAACAATTTGAAGGGCACTTTTTGCTTCCCTCGTGAAGATAGCGCGCGATTGGGATCAGAAGGTGAAATTCACCAGGAAATTCCATTTGTAATTCTCAGTGATGAAGAGATAGAATCTATCGTGCTATCATCTTTACAAGATGCCAAACTGGCTATGAATGCTTTAGGTATTAGTGACATACCTGATAATTTTTTTTTAAATTTGAATTTGAGAAGCTACGACAACGAGGCCACAGAACATGAATATGAAGACGAAATGTTATCCAATCGTTCTGATGTGAATTTGTCATCTGAATTTGATGATATCGTATCTTTGGTTGAAGATGATTCAAGTAACGAAGATATTTCAGGTCTCGTATCAGGTACTCTGTCCCATCCAGAAAGCATTTTGTTGAATGACATTGAGAATATAGAGGATCATTTACAAATTAAAGATTATTCCAAAGATACCAACAAAAGCACCAACATTTTCTTCAATGATGGACCATTTTTGCGAGTCTCTTATAATGATGAAATCATGGTTGTGAGGAAGTCTACTCTTTGCTGGCTCTTCACTAAAAATCGTTCCAAGTTGTCCAGTGATCGAACAATTCGAGTACGGTCAGAGAAAAAATTAGACCCTACTGGTAGTGTTATGTCTCGGCCTATGAAATCAAATATAATTTCCATTGGAGACTGGTGTATTTTCGAAAATAATTTCAAATATAAGAAGACTGACTTCATAATTGGTTGTGTTTTGTCATTCAAATATCTTTCAAAGAAAGGAAAACAAACTGAATATGCAAAACATTTTGTAAATATTTCTGAATTGAATGTAAAATCTTCAATCGGTTGTTTGGCAAATTGGTACGATATTGAAGAAGATGGTGGTCTTTCCAATTCGACTATGAATAAATACGGTTTCTGTGATATTTCTAATTATAAAATTAGTGTACCTGAACCAAACCGAGACTGTGATAAGTTAGTGATTAAAATGGATATACTAGACCATCTTAAAACTGCTTCTTTTCGAGATTCAGACTCAGATTCAAATTCAAATTCAATTAGATTGACTGATTCTGATTCTGAAGAACTCAATGAATTCGAAGATGATAACTCTTTAGATGTAGCCCTGGATGAGACTGAAAAAATTAGATTGGAAATTTCCGCTGAAAAATATTATGGTGTGTTCTACGATCAAAGATGGTATATTGGAAGAGTTTTAAAATGCAATGAAAATGATATGTTCACTCTGAAATTTCTAAAGGAAGACCTAAGTAATTTTTATTGGCCAAAACCAGATGATGTTGATTGTGTCCAAAAGGAACAAATATTTTATGGTCCGATCAATATGCTTGGATGTGATCCACTACAAATCACAAGATATGATAGAAATAGAATTGTTAAAATATTCAAGAATTTAAAAAAGAAGGGAGTTCAGGTCTAGTTTCTGTTGAAAACATATGTTGTACCTGTATGTTGTACCTGTATGAAAGATAATTTTCTTTCTCTTAAGTTTCAGAATGATGGTTTTGTTTAGTTTTTGTCATTGTCTCGTTACCTACTGAAGGGTGTTTCAATAAGTGATAGTTTCCCGAATAGAGATTTCTCGGTTTCTAGTACATATTTTTTTTTATTTATAGGTGTTACTATACACATTTGACTCCTCTCGATCCTTTTGGTATAGGTATTTTTCGTTACTTCCAACCGATCGAGAGGAGTAAAATGTTGCATTATGAAACTGCACACTAGTAACACCTAGAAATAAAAAAAATATATGAATCAGAAGCCGAGAAATCTCTATTTGAAAAACCATTACTCATATTGAATGACCCTTTAGATGTTTTCACTTCGCTGATACATGATATAGGTATTGGAGATATTTTATTTGTTCATTCTTTAGAAGAGAATAAAGGATTGTGTTTTTTATCTACCTATATTCGTCTGCCTACTTCCTTTCCATTCCGAATATTCCTTCAAGTAGATAATGATGCTGATTGATTCGAATGTTCATGGTCTTATCCGAGGTCTTACCCATCTCTATATAATATACACAGTTTTATACAACATCAGAAGAATGTGAAATTATAACCATGAAGTGGGTGTCAGTTTTTATGAAAGAGGGGCAAAACTGAAAAATGCGAGTAATAATTCATTCAGGAAGAACGGGTACTATCAGGACATGCGGCATAATACAATAGGTAGGTACCAGGACATACGAGGAAATACCAGGAAATGGGAGGCAATACCGGGAAATGCGAGGTAATACCGGGAAATGCGAGACTCTAACGGGAAATACGGGGCAATATCAGAACATGATAGGCAATGTTGGGAAATGCGATGCAATACTGGTAAATGCGGGGAAATGCGAGGAAATATGGGTAAATAAAAGGAAATTTGAGGCAATACCAGGAAATATTTGGAAATCGAGGGTAATAAGGGGCAATATAGGGAAATGCAGGGCAATACTGAGAAATGCGGGGAAATAAAGGGAAATGGCAATATTTCGTACGTTGAATCTGCTCGTGGCAACCCCAGTTATTTTATCAAAATAATAATCATACCTATTCAGATTAACAATCTATAGGGCACTCAGATATTCCTATATAGTAAGGTACCTACTTCAGATGAGCTTTATTATATTCAAGAATTGTATAACCCCCATACTGGACCCCATAGTATGTTTATCTACTTTGAAAAGATACATCTGCAGTACATAACTATATATTCATGAATATTCTTAGTTCTTAGTTAAGATACCTTCAACATCAAATACAGGATCTGATCCAACATCTTCCAAAACTGCCACTACATATGATAATACAATTTCATCAATCAAATTCAAATCAGCTTCAGGAATGTGTGTCTTCACAAAACCAAAGAGGGAATCTTTGATTTTTATTTCTTGTTCAGCTATAATATTCTTCTTGGACATGTCTCTCAGCCTACAAAGTATATGTAGAGTATCTATAGATAATCAACAACTATTTCATAGCAAGGATCAAAACACAGTCACAATTTTAAGTGATCAAATTATTATTATCAGATCATCCTACATGTTTTGAGCCCATACATGTTCATCTTCAGTGAAAAAGTGTGAAAATTCTACATTACATAAAGTTAAAATTATTAAATACTTTAAGGTAAGGTAAGGTTCTTATTACATGGAGAAGAAAAAGAAAAAAATGGACTTGAAATGCTAGATGATTATGTTGATTAAAATCTTAAGGCATATATTGATATTGTTAATTCATTTTAAATTTGCTAACTATTGGATAGGTATTTAATTAGGTAGATACCTACCTAAGGTCTATATTTAATTTATCATCAACTACACATATTCATAAATCGAGTGATAAATATAATACAGTATATTTATTGCCATTTTTATGAGTTGAATATTCTCATAAAAGTAAAAATATTAAATAGGTACACATCTCAAATAGCACTGATGAATTAAACTCACCAAGTAAAGGCCGAATGCTGATTAATATCAGGATTTATTCACTATATTCAATAAACTAAGGAAATTTAACTTATTTTTAAAATTTGGTTTTGAGAATAAAATCAATAGCAATACACCACAGACAGAGCATCAGCTCAATCAATCAGGCAGCGTTCAGTCAGCTGTCACTTAGCTCAACTCACCTGTCAGTGATCAGCTGCAAGAAAAACAACAAACAACTGTCATGCACTAAGAAGAAGAAGAAGAGTGCATAAAGCTGGGCTTACTTCTGGGCGAAATGGCTTTGGCCATTTGGCGTCTTTGGCGATACTAGCGATGAAATGTTTATATTCCACAATCGGAGTCAATTAAATTTTCATTTTATTTCAAATTTTGGAGGTATCAATGTGCCATGGTACGATCCACCTTGTTATGAGTAAGATGGAATAAGGGTGTTTCATTTATCTTATCAATGAAACATTGAAATTAAATCGCCTAGCAACAACCTACCTTAAGGCAGGGCTTAAGGTTTGTTTTGACAAGGATGTTTTGACATATTGTTGTTATTGTTATGACAGATAACTGATTGGAAAGAGGTTAGGTTATAATTTTGTTTTATTATTTTTTGTTCCTGTTTCTGGTTATTGTTAATTTTGAATATATTATATCATTCTTTTTTGTTGCATCTTGAATTTAATTTTTTGTATCAAAATCATCATTATGAGCATGTACAGTAATATTTGCAGAACCTGCTTGAAAACAAAACCAAAAGAAAAATGTACAAAAATATCACCAAATGAAGAAAATGAAGAAACATCTTATCTACTTGAGATGATAAGTTATTCCATACCTGAACTGGTACATTTGAACTGATTTGTTATACATTCATAAACCCTGAACATACATTTTCATTTTAGGACATGTTTGTTGTGGTTGATCCAGTTATATGTGAAAATTGCATTGCTACATTAGAAGTGTCTTTTAAATTTAAAATGGAGTGCCTTAAGAATCAGGAAAGATTGCTCAAGTTTTCAAATAGGAATAGTTCAAAAGTTGATCTTCTTAGTATTTATAACAGAATAAGAAAACCAGATGATCATATTATAGAACATAATAATAATGGTATGTATGAACTAGGCTCCACTCCACCATTGAATAGATCCATTCATTTAGGTTGAGATAATTTTACTCAATTTTTAGAATCCATCACCAAAAAACCTCAAACTGTCCCAAAAAGAAATTCACCTGAGAAAAATAGAGCATATCCTTCTCTGAGTTGTCCAAAATGTCAAGGGTGTGATCTCAAAATCTCAGATGATCCCAGCTCACATTCAAAAATGAACATAGGACCTTTCATCTGCTACAGTTGCAACAGAGAGTTTGAAGACATATCAAAACTGAGAAAACATACCCTAGGTCATGTGCGTCAGAGGAGATGCAAGATTTGCAGCAAGACATTCAGAGATTTGGACACTCTCAAAAGACACTTGAGAGTGCACACACGTATCAACCCATTCAAGTGTAATATATGTCTCAAAGAGTTTCGCCAGAAACACAATCTGACACAGCACATACTGCAGCATGTGCAGTCCAAAAAGTTGACTTGTGTCCATTGCCAAAAAGTATTCTCCACTAAATACAATTTGAAGGTTCATATGAAGAATGCCCATAGGCAGAAAGAGTTCTGTGACTTGTGTGGAGAGTCTTTTAGCACTAAATCTGAATTGGTGGAACATCTACATACTACAACAGAAAAATGTGGAAATGAAATCAGAATCAAGAAAGAGGTTAGTTTTTCAATATCTTCACTGTTTTTTTAGTCATCAATTCTTTGATGAATAATGAATATTGAAATGGTAAGACAAAGTTGGATAGTTCTGTTTTTTAAAGAGATGAATTGGTAAAAAATGCATTATTGAATCACTCCACACATTCAAATTTTTTATGGTGGTAGATGACCTTGAAGGTATATTTCTGTACAATTCTTCAGAAAGTTCCCCACATTGGGCGCCATATTCAAAGAAATTCTCTCAAAATGAAAGATTTATCCCCAAGTTGGGCGCCATATTCAAAGAAATTCTTTCAAAATGAAAGATTTATGCCAACAACCTAGCATACTCTGAAATGTGGGTTATAATAATTGAGTTAGTCTCATTGAATATATAGCTTTAGTATAATGGGAAAGTCTCCAGAGCCCCATGAATGAAACTGAAATGTCTTCCCCATCTGTCCTTGTCTTCAGTGTGGAGGGAAAAGATGGAGAAGATCATAATAACCTCAATATATAAAAGGATGGAATGGTCTTCCTCTCCATTGTTCTCATTGCCAGGGTTGCCAACATAAAATTTCCATTATTTTATGTTGGATCACTGAAGACAAGGACATATTATGGGAAAAACATTTTTTTTTTCTCTCAAAACTAGCTGAACTGCTATATTAGGCTGCTGGAAACTGCTGAAATCTCTGATGAATAAAGTAAAAAGGAAAAATATGTGGCATGATTCCATTACTCAGAATTGAAATATAACATCTCATATTGAGATATATTGAGAATTTCTTGGGGCAATAAAGACAATAATGCCAAGTAGAACTGTTGATGATAACATATTGTATTGACTTGATCTCCTGAGTAATTTTTGGTAAATTACAAATGGTGGTCACAATCATCTCACGTTGGGCGCCATATCTAGAATTATTGACTGGGGAATCTTAACATTGATTGTCAATATATCAGACAGTATAAAGTTTCCTTTCCATTGACAAAATGTCATTATCATTTTCTAGATCAAACAAGAGCATCATTATACTGACCAAGGTATGGATGAAGGAGATATCAAAGATGACCCTGAAACATTAAATGACTTGAATATGGACCAATCTATCTCTGATGATCACCATGTTGAAACTGAAGCTCATACAGATATGGCAAAGGAAGATATAGATTTGCTTCTCTCTGCAAGTTTCATGGCAGAGGAATCAAGCCAGTCGGATGCAGATATAGATATTTTGAATTGATTTGAAGGTCTGTCTCTCAGTGAGATCAGGAACAGAATTTCTTTTTGGGAATTTACAGTTTTCTGGCAATGACAATACTCTGTTTATATTTTTACCAATGTTACCTATATAGTAGTTATTCTCTAGGTTATTGTTTTAAAATCTATAGTATCATTTAGCTGAATAATCTATTGAAGTTATGGTTTTCTGATGTTGAATGTAATGTTTATACTACAACTATGAAGTTATATTATATATTTTTGTATGATTATATAATGATGGACATGGTTCCTACATGAGAGAGATTTTCATTTTTCTACGAATTGATCATGCAACCATTTTCTTAATTTTTTTGTACATTGTTTTTTCAAATATCTTCGGAAGTATTCCAAATTTCTAAAAGTCGAGATGGCATTTTGATCAGCATCAAATTGCGAAACTGCCCTAAATCAACGGACTTGTATCTGGTATGGTTAGCGGGAGCCCAATGATACCCCTCGAATTTGAGACACCCTGTACAATGAAATTGTGGCTAAGAAATGATAGTAACATCATCTAGTTTCTGAGCAGTTTCCTATCCAATGATTTTTTAAATAATGCGAACGAGGTATCTCGAAAGTTTGCTCTATGGGATTCAGGTCGGGGCTTCTGGCCGGCTAAATGAGATATTTTTTTTTAATGTGATGGGGTAAGTTGAGTTTCTGGTGTAATATCAAAATCAATAAAATTATTCTTTATTTATAAAAGTATTTCAAAGAAAGAAATCAGAGACAAAATACATGGTACAGTAATAGAAGATGAGAATTCTAATAAAAGAAAATATAAGACAGATATTGTATAACAGTGTAAGATCAAATAAGCCTAAAAAGTAAATGAAATAAACAGTCCTTGAACCTACCTATATCAATTATTATACAAACAATGACGATCCTGAGAGGACAAACTCAAAAATTCTATGTTGGCTTATTATGATTCTTTGCATGAATTACCGGTAATCCTAACTTGATTGTAAATGCTATAAAATGTGTGACAAGGCTTTAATATATTGAGTTCATTTCATTTTTTGTTTCTTTTCTTTTTTGAATTGACTCGGCCGTTACTTGATGGAAATTCATAGTGAGTGTAAAAAACTTCACAGATGATCAAGATTTTCACAAAATTCTAAACCACATGTTGCTTCGGTAACACAGTAGCTCCTTCCAGTGAAATACCCCTACAATAAACTAAACTTAGATTGAATTGCCTAACTTCACATCCTACTTTCTGAACCGAAAGGATTACAATTACCTGTGGGAAGGTTGGCTAAGCCCTTTCCAGTTAATCCAGTAGGTATTACACCGAATTTTAATGTAGGTTATTGTTGAAAAGGAATATTCTCAGATAAATTATGGACATACAAAACGGATATATATTTATATGAAGCAATACATTGAGAATTCGCATTCTCTATGTGATGAGAATATCTACTCTTTTTCAGTTTATTCAATAGAAAACAACTACTTTCCTGGCTATATGCCACGACGAACATAGAATTATATCTATTGAACACACACGATAAGAGTTTGAAAATAAAATATAAAAACTTCTGAAATTGAGAATTTGCATTCTCCTTCAGACAAAAATATGTATATGCACACATCATCTGATGAACATTTATGTTCTCCTTTTGAATGTTCATCAGATATAATTCAATGTTCGACGTGGCAAATAGCCAGGAAAGTAGTTGTTTTCTGTTGAATATTCAGAATGATGTGTGCATATACATATTTTTGTCTGAAGGAGAATGCAAATTCTCAATTTCAGAAGTTTTCATATTTTATTTTCAAACTCTTATCGTGTGTGTTCAATAGATATAATTCTATGTTCGTCGTGGCATATAGCCAGGAAAGTAGTTGTTTTCTATTGAATAAACTGAAAAAGAGTAGATATTCTCATCACATAGAGAATGCGAATTCTCAATGTATTGCTTCATATAAATATATATCCGTTTTGTATGTCCATAATTTATCTGAGAATATTCCCTTTTCAACACTTTCATACCCAATTAGGGGGTTCAAACTTGAACGATGGAAACTTGTGATTTTTATAGACCTCTAATCGCAGATTCGTGATAGAGTCTCAGTTCAGAATTTCTTTCCACGCCCTGTATTATGAATGTCAATTTATCATACACCCAAAAGTAGGTTATTGGCTTAGCCAACCATTCCAAAAGTAATTTTAATCCTTTAAGTTCGGGATGTGGGATATATAAAAGTTAGACAAGTTAATATAAGTATAGTTACCGTAGAATGGGGTTAATACAAACAATTTTCTACTTTTCACAGTGTGTTGCTGTTGATATTCACATTTTTCATGAAGGAAAATTAGGAAAATGTCTATCATGGTTATTAGAAGAGAAGGAAATATTTATTTATTTATTTCAGTTATTGCATTACATTCTCTTCTTCACAGATTTTCTTCAAAAGAATTGAATGTGGTGATTTTCTTTCCCCCCTTGTGAATAGAAACAGTGATTGTTTTAGCACGTTATTCGCTTGTGAAACATCTGAGAGGTGAATGGAAACAAGTTTATTGAATAATAAAATTTGTGGACAGCTCAAAATATGATAAAAAAAAATACCATAAAAATGGGACGAATAGAAACAGCAGGTCAATTGAAACAGCAAGCAAATACACACAAAAAAGAGATGTTAGTTATTTAAAAAATATACGTGATGAAAACCACTGGATATATTAGAATTTTGAATACAATTATGTTAATAAGACATATTGAAGTATGACTGGACCAATTCTAGATTATATCTTGATTTTTTCTCACCCTAGCACATAAAGTGGTAAAACTGCATTTATCATGGGATGGTTTTTTTTTCGAAAATTTTTTTTTGGTACTTACGTATTTTTATCTGAAAAACACGAATTTGATAATGAAAATGTGAACAAACCATAATTTATCAAGATATTTCACTATAAAGTTACAAATGTCACCTTCTTTTCTGCCTGTCTTCGAGATCGCATTCAGAATTATAATATGCCCTACTCTTTTCATCATTGGACAACTTATATATATATTACAATGTACTAGACATTTTTTTCTATTATATGAGTCAGCTAGAAATATGATTTTCTTGTGATTTATCCATATTTAGTGAAAAGAAGAAAGAATATCATTTAAAATAATGGCATTCAAAAGCAATCTGTTGACATTCGACATCTCGTATTTGGATTGACTATTGATTAAATGGCCGTCATCTGGCATGCTTGTTCACTAAATATGAAAAACTCGCCATAAAAATCATATTTCCTGTTGAAAAATGTGAAATTGAAGTACATCATGAGTATACAGGGTGTTTCATAATTGAATGTCAATATTCGAGGAGGCGATTCTTGGGCTCATTCTAAGAAGAAAGTTTCATATGAACGTATGACCTAAACGTCCCAACTTTGGAGATACAGGGTGGTAAAATTCTCGAAAATTAATATAGCCTACTACAATGAGAAGTTATAATTCGAAAATACCAAATACGAATACAAAGTTCATGAACTATGAATTGTATTTCTGAAATTTGATCTTAAAAATAAAAACTATTTCTCTGCATTGTGATATTATCATATTAACAATATTACTATAATCATGTAGTGAAAAGCTTTTTATTTTTAAGCGAAAACCGTGCATCAGATTGAAAAAATTGTAGTGATCAAATTTGCTTAGAAATGATCGGGAATTTCAGGAATGATTTCAATTTGGAGATTAATCAGTGGCGTACCATCAATGTCTGCCAAAATAGGTATGTGAAATTCCATACGAACGCCACTGGTGGCAACAACAAAAAATGTGGTACGCTAACTGATGCCTCTTGATACATAGTACATGTATGCCAAATTTCATCAGAATATCTGAAGTGGTATTACAGATATTAATAAAAAACTATTAATTTTTGAGAACTTCACCACCCTGTATCTCAAAAGTTAGGATGTTTAGGTCATACGTTCATATGAAACTTTCTTCTTAGAATGGGCCCAAGAATTGCGTCCCCAAATATTGACATTCAATTATGAAACACCCTGTATAAAGTGTCCAATGACAAAATAAGAAGAGCAAGTGGCTGTAAATGCATCCAACACAAGGGGAAAAAGAAGACGAAATTTCGAACTTTTTCTCGAAATATCTCGATAAATAGTGGTTTCTTCTTTCATTATCAAATTCGTGTTTTTCAGCCAAAAATACGTAAGTACTGAAAAAAATTTCGAAAAAAAACCATCGCATGATAAATGCAGTTTTACTCAGTTAATTCAGCAATGCACAGGTGTCACGATCATATGTTCTACTAAAATAACGGAAAAACAGTGTTGCCAATGGAAAATCAGTCAAATTCGATGAATTTATGTTGTCACATAATATGCAATATGCGTAAACAAGATAGGATTTGAAGTTTCTAAAATTCAATTAAAAAAATTTGTGATTTTTCTCAACAAATGCTCCATACTTGTTTCTATTCGCCCGCAAGTTTTTATTCATCAGCGCGGCTCTGAATAACAATTGATTCATCATACGATTTTGAAGTTCCGACGGATACAAAAACTGCATCCGGTTCTCTCGGGAGTGACCTCAACTTTTGATTTTTATATGGAACACATTTGAGTTTCGCATACATACAGTAGCATATCATTCTTGAGTTGAAATTGACATTTTTATTTGGCTATCTGGTTTTGTTTTCGTGTTACTTTCGAAAAATCATGTAATTGAGAAACTTATTGCAATCAAAACTGTCTTAAAATAGTATACTTTGAATTTTTCTCCCTGTAGACGGTGGCGCACCTCTTCAACATCTCCGCTACACAAACTTACTGCTGTCTCCCTGTATATGTGACTCACGTCTTTCATTCTTTTGAATGTCACCATATCAGTTATTTGTGAAGACTTTCACCGCAAACAGAATCTATTCCTGATACTTGTGACGAATTTTGTCAGTTGCTCATCGTTTCTCAGTAGCAACATCAAGCATTGTGCGTCATAGTGTATATTCCTTAATTCCATCTTATTTACCTAGAAATTATCTTTTATACATGTATCACCAAGTGAAATCGACCGATCAGGCTATTAGCATTTTTACCAACAGTCTTCTAGAACTCAAAAATCAAAAAAATTGAATGAATCAACACACAGGATCGACCCTGTACGTAACAAAACAATTTAAAACTTATTCTTTGTACAAACAATAGTCACTCGAAAATCGTTCAACACCCGAAACACTCCGGCCTGTTGACCAAGTTCAGCGCCTCGATCGACTTCTTGAACACGTCAGCCTGGAACTTTTCGCACACCTCCCTGTAGACGGTGGCGCACCTTTTCGACATCTCCGCTACGCAAACTTTCTGCTGTCTCCCTGTATATGTGACTCACGTCTTCCATTCTTTTGCATGTCACCATATCAGTTATTTAAGAGACTTTCACCGCAAACAGAATCTATTCCTGATACTTGTGATGAATTTTGTCAGTTGCTCATCGTTTCCCAGCAGCAACTTCTTTCTTCATGCGTTATTCTGTATATTCCTCAATTCCATCTTATTCACCTTGAAATTGTCTTTTAAACATGTATCACGATGTGAAAACAACCGATCAGGCTATTAGCATTTTTACCAACAGCCTTCTAAAACTCCTGAGCCGTTCTGAAGAAACTTGGCAACAATGTCGATGGGTCCTACAACTGACGACAGTGGAACTTCAAAAAGAATATACGATCGGCGCAAAAATATTGAATGAATCAACACACAGGATCGATCCTGTACGTAACAAATCAATTTAAAACTTATTCTTTGTACAAACAATAGTCACTCGAAAATCGTTCAACACCCGAAACACTGCGGCCTGTTGACCAAGTTCAGCGCCTCGATCTGCTTGAAATCGGGCGGCATGACGAGCTTCTCGACGAAATCAGAGTAGGACTTCCTGAAGGCGCCGGTCCGGCACTTTTCGCATACCTCCCTGTAGACGGTGGCGCACCTCTTCGACATCTCCGCCACGCACACCTTCTGCTGGTCGGTGTCGACGGGGAAGAAGGCCATCCTGTCGCTGATCGATTGCAGCGCCATCTGGATCCTCAGCACGTCTTCGTCTTTGAATGAGATGAACCTGATACGTGATCAATCCTTACATTAGTACTCTTCATTTCCATACAACAGTGATTACATATTAGACCAGCGGTTCTCAACCTCATTTATTTTGTCCAGTTTTCTTTTTGTTTTTTTAGTTTTATTTTATGTTAGTAGCGTAGGTAACTTCCAGCCCCGAACCCTAACCTATATAATTATTTTTGTTTTATATAAATTCACGATGATTATAAACAAGTACAAGAAGACGTTCAATTTCAAAATTTCAAACATATGAAGATAGTATGAAAAATACAAAATACAAATTCAACTCTTTTATTTTGATCTTACATTATCGTCACCATGACTGGACAACAAAAACTAGACATTTTTTTAATTGACTCGGCGGTTACTTGATGAAAATCCATAGTAAATGTAAAAAACTTCACAAAATATAAGATTTCCACAAAATTCTCAATCAGACGACATGTTTTGCTAACGCAGTAGCTTTCATCATCCCTATTATAGATGTATGTACTATTTCAAACTGTGAAAATTGTATTATAATACTATCAAACACTGAGCTACTGTTATATTGTAACTTGTATTTATTTTGGATTGTAAAATTTGTATTTCTTGATTTTTTTTTGTACTCTATGTATATTGTAGTGTAATGAAGAAAAAAAATACTTTAATAAAAAAAAAAAAAAAAATACTGATACAATTAACTCTACAGTAATAAACTCAGTTTGTGAAGTTTTCTACAAAAACTAGACAGTTAGCTCCCTTTTCTTAATGGATACAAATTTAGATATGATCTCTTTCAAGTCGAGGCTCTCAAGTCACTTCATGTTCAATGCACAATATACTCAAACCAGACAGTCGCAGTTGGGTCATTGTGCATCTCAGATAATTTTGTATTAATTTGAGCACCGAAAATATTCTTTCTGCTATAACTGATGTGACTGGCAGATTTAAATAATAAAATATATTATATGCTGTGCATAAGTTTGGTAGATTGCTTGCTATATGATATTCGGCGAGGAGCTATTTAGTCAAATCTTCCACGTTGAGCTTGATACATATGTCAGCTCCTCGCATTTCAGCTTATAGCGTTTCGGATTTTGATTGATCACATTTGATACTCGTCATGACAGGAAAATCGTCTCAACGTCAATAAGCGAAAAATGTTCAAACAGAACATTTTATGGAAAAAAGCTGATATTTGTCCAGTATAACCCTGAACTGTGAATGTGAACAGTCCACTCTTTATTGTCCATCTTGCCGCTGTAAGTTATGAGCTGTCATATGTACCCACCATTACGCATATTTGTGTCAAAAATATGTCTTCAAGATATTTTGAAAAATTACTATTTCTGTGGCAATGTCCTCATCTAAATCGACACAATATTTTTTTGGTGTTTTCTTAGCTGACAACACTAGCTCATTGTCATTTTGAGTCAAGATAAATTCCAGAGTTAGAATTTCAAAATAAGAATTAACTGAATCATGGAAAACATGGAAATCATCCATATTTCTCAAAGTGGTCCAATTGACTGGTGTCACTTGTCATTGTCATGATTCTGGTTATCATTTATATTAATTTTATTTGTATGTCATGTGTTATTGACATTGACTTGTGTCACTTGTTCTTTGTCATGTTTCACGTTTCAATGTGATTTTGATGTTACTGATTCTTAGAATTCTGTCTTAGCTTTCATTTGCATTTTGCATAATCTGATGAATCTCACGTGAGAGAATTTTTTGAAACTTTTCGATTCCCGATGTACCTCTTCATCAATATTATGTTGATCTGGTTCTACTGGACTTTTTCCGGTAAAACTGCATTTAGCATGCGATGGGTTTTTTTTCGAAAATTTTTTTTGGTACTTACGTATTTTTGTCTGAAAAACACGAATTTGATAATGAAAATGTGAACAAACCACTATTTATCGAGATATTTCAAAAAAAAAAGTTCGAAATTTCGACTCCTTTTTCCCCTTGCGTTGGATGCATTTACAGGTACTTGCTCTTCTTATTTTGTCATTGGACACTTTATATACTCATGATGTACTTTACTGACACATTTTTATACAGAAAATTCAACAGGATATATGATTTTTATGGTGAGTTTTCCTATTTAGTGAGCAAGCATACCAGATGATGGCCATTTAATCCATAGGCAATTTAAATACGAGATTTCAAATGTCAATAGATTGCTTTGGAATGACATTACACACGCCATTATTTCAAATGATATTCTTCCTTCTTTTCACTAAATATGGATAAATCACAAGAAAATCATATTTCTAGTGAATCAATAATAGAAAAAAATGTGGCTTACATTGTGATATATATAAATTGTCCAATGATGAAAAAAGAAGGGTAAATTGTTTTAAATTCAATCCAGAAGACAGGCGGAAAAGTAGGTGAAATTTGTAACTTCATAGTGAAATATCTTGATATTAATGGTTTGTTCACAATTTCATTATCAAATTCGTGTTTTTCAGACAAAAATACGTAAGTACCAAAAAAAATTTTCGAAAAAAAAACCATCGCATGCTAAATGCAGTTTTACCCTTTTTCCAGATTCAAAACTAAAACTATTCACAGTCAGGACTGATAATTTGTTTTTTCGACCTGGGCTTTTGATAATGTTATAAAAAAAATTTTTGCTTCTGATATGTATCACTGAGGTTAGTATACCAAATTTTTTGACTCGTTAATCATGTTCTTTATATCTTTTAGGTACTTTAGTACATCAATTTTGTGTCTGATGATGGCCTGTGGCCGAAACTAGTTACACTACTATTATTAAACATTTTTTCGTGATCGACAGACTTTTATTGTTTTTTCTTATAAGAATTGACTGTGTTCATCTAGTCAAATCTTTATTTTAACTGGAGAATCTAGATTTCCAAGGACCTATAGTAAATGTTAACCTTGAATTTCTCTTCACAACCAGACAGTGTGTACTGTGACTCATCAACTGCTGATTCATCGCAGAATCATTTGCTTGACATAAAATTCGTCCCAATTTGACCGCAAATGTTTCAAGTTCTCGAGCGCACGCTCAAGAAAAATCACAGCTTCGTTCAATTCGAGTTCATCGTATTGCAAAAGCTATATACGACTCAATTTACGTGACTTGAGACTTTGGATTGAAAGACTAATGTTTGCTTTTGAAAGTGAAGTGTTTTATAATAAAAAACAATATGTACCATAGGTTGAGAACCACTGACTTAAACCATAAAGGATCTCGCTTTGCACATATGGACTGCTAGAGGTAAACACAGAAATACGCCAACATTGTTAAGGGTACAAAATATTCGCATTCTTTACTAAAGCCATAGATTAAACAAACAACTGAAGCGGAAGTTGTAAAAAGGCATGCGATTGCTATGACAATCCCAAAATTGGAACGTCATTTGGATGTTTTATGCTGTTCTACTATTTAAATTTTGACTTGCACTGCTAGAACCATAGGCTAGAACGGTTAAAGGTATCCGCAATCAGAAATATTTGAATATTTTCATAAATAAAGAAGTTACAGAGCAGACATGAAAATGATCAAAATCTGTTTTTTGCGTATAAAACAAAAACGAATAGATTTTATCAAAATATTTTTTCACATTATAGTTGGCCCTGACAAACTCCACATTTGGTGTCATTTAACCGACCTCGTACCTCTCACCGTTTAAAAGATACCCATGGTGAGCATGCTAAGTGGGACACACTGTATAGGTAGGACTATTTTTAGACTGCTAAGACATAGTGGATTCATTTCAGTAGGTGAATGAGCAGTTCTTACTTTTTTATGATTAGCTTGCATGCAGTAATTTTAATAAAGGGCAAACCGTAGAAAATGCACCAGTTCCTACCCAAATTCAAATAGTACAAGTGAATCAAACTATTTCATTGTTGCATAAACAATGTTTTTTTTTATATGCATTCTGCTTTCGTCAAACCTGATTATTATGTAACTACGAACTATGTTGAGTCATTTTTGCATATTCATTTCCTCAGTTAACTAATAGTCAAAAACCGTAATTTATTTGGCTCATTTCTTTTGCGGAAAAAATCACATCTAACCGAACCGCTAGCAAATCGATGATTCAAGAGGATTTTTCGGATAAAATAGTCATTTTTGAAAAGTGGCTAGATATTTTTTTTGGCAAAAATTGTCTGTTCTTCTGAAAATAACTGCAAAGCATTGAGTTTGTAATGAAAACTCATAACTATGATTGATTTTATTGGTTATTGCTGGATTCTTTTCAATAAAGATTATAGACGCCGTATAGAATAATTGCCTAACATTCAATACATTATTTTTTTGAAATAATGATGCTGATGGATAATCAAATTATTTACGGATTATTATTTTCAAAGCTCATTTTCGAATACATTATAAAGGTTTTACATGAGCTTCATACATACCACCCCATCCAATTATTTCATACGATAATATACAGGGTGATTCAGGTTTTAGAGCACAAACTGAAATGGGAGGTAGATCTCATCATTTCAATCAGAAAAGTTCATATATACATCAGTTCGATCTCGTTCAGTAGCGGAGCTACAGGGGGTCAAAGTTTAAATATTTTTTTTCTATCAATTGGAATATCTCGCTTACTTTTCAAGATATCATTTTAAAATTTGGTGTGGTCGATACTATTCAGAATATCATCATTTCAAGCCATTTTGAGATTTTCAAAATCTACAGGGTGATACGGTTTTGGGGGTAGAGGCTTCTTTATCCCCCCCAAACTTTTTCGTAGTACGCCTCTGGCATCTTTTTGTGATCAAATTGTGTGGATCGTTCAATTTAGAGGCTTTTTTGTCCTTCAATTTTTTTCGAGAAACGAACTGTTTTTGAGATAATTGAGCATATACGTTCTGAAACATGTTAATTTTGCCTATGTTTCGCTTAAATTTCATTTAACTGAAAAAAAAACTCGACTTTCTACCCTCCGTATTTCCGTCATTGGACTAGTGATTGCAATTTTAGTGAGTACATTTCATTGTATTCTCAACGAATTTTGTCTAAGAATAAAATTTAAGCGAAACATAGGCAAAATTAACATGTCTTAGAACGTATATGCTCATTCATCTCAAAAACGGTTCGTTTTCTCGAAAAGAATTAAAAAGCAAAAAAGCCTCTAAATTGAACGATCCACACAATTTGATCAGTGAAAGATGCCAGAGGCGTACGATGAAAAATTTTGGGGAGGATAAAGCCTCTGCCCACAAAAACCTATCACCCTGTAGATTTTGAAAAACTTCAAATAGCTTGAAATGGTGATCTTCTAGGAAGTATTGACCACACCAAATTTCAAAATGATATCTCAAGAAGTAAACGAGATATTTCAATTAATAGAACAAAATTATTGAACTTTGACCCCCCTGTAGCTCCGCTTCTGGACGAGATCGGACTAATGTTCATATGGGCTTATCCGATTGAAATGATGAGATCTATATCCCATCACAGTTTGTGCCTCAAAACCTGAATCACCCTGTATATTGGAAGAGAGTGTGATAAAACATGATTATTAAATGTTTACTGACAATATTTCTCAAGTCTGAGTTTTGGAAGGGTACTTCTGAGTTTCTTTGTTAGTTTGATATTACCAACTTCAAAGAAACACAAAATACGCATCCCATCAACGAATCAACGAACAATCCGTCCAATCCGTGAAAATAGTAGATTGTTTTATTAGGATCAAAAGTGACACTTTGTTTGACAAGCGAATTTTGCATTTGCGAGGCGGAGCGTTTAGCGAAGCCGAGCGAAAGCAAAATTTGCGAGTCGAACAAAGTCACTTTTGATCCGAATGAAACATGCTATTTTTTCTGCAACCGAAACAAATAACTCAAATAAATATGTGCAGTTACCACCAATACCGTGCCATATGTATGCAATGCAACAAATATTGAAAAATAATCCGTGTGGTGAGAACATTCTACCTGCATCAACAGCAGGTTCATTCAATTTTCAAGGATGTTCGAATTGTAGTTTCAATATAAATACAATCACAGAGTGACATACTTGTGTATGGACCAGGTGCTCTAATGGCAAATACCGCGTCAGTGCCAGCTATAGAAACAAGACTTGGAAAATGTTAGGTTAGTTAGCACATCAACAATAAGAATAGCAATTATGTTTTCCTCTCCGTAATACAATGTTTGTCGCTTGATATAATCAAATGAAGGTTAACAATATCGTTATTTGAGACAAAAAACTATTGCTTACCGTGATTATCCATCAAGAACAAGTTATCCATCCCGAGAATAACGAATGAAATACAGATCAAGCAAGTATTTGAATCTTGAAGGCTTCCCTGATCAAAACAAAAATACTTAACTGAGATGTTTATAATTTCAATACTAAACTATAATAAGGTGTATTTATATCTCCAGCATGGGTATGAAATGCCAAATCTGCTGAAATCGGAAACAAATCAGGTATGCCTCTCAACCCAAATAACCAACCGTCACAATGTTGTTTATTCTTGATGATGTCCAGTAGATCCTTTTTAGTTCCTAGGAGCTTAAGTTCAACTTTAGCTCCTAGGAACTAAAATTCAACTTTAGCTCCTAGGAACTAAATATGTTGCCTAGCAACATACCTATTTTTGTGTCAGTAATAGAAACGTCAATTTAAGAGCTAATTTTGGTATCAAAATGGACGACTTTTGTGTCGGTTGCAGAAAAATGTATTTGGTAATCTTTCTGATGATAGAATCAAGGCTCCGCATTTTCTTTCAATTCAATGGTATGTTCCACTATCAAATCTTCACTTTTGAAGTGCACCTATTATGTTGAAATTGAAATTAGAAGTGATATTATTTCTTCGCATATACATCATACTTCATATTCAATCGAAAAATTCAAAAATTGAGTAGGTACTTACTTCGCAAATTTTGTTGGCCGAACTCAATTTTCATAATGACCACTACATATTTTGTTCCCCTTTTTGTAGCTGTTGTTTATTATCATTAGGGAAATCGAGTAAATAAAATGATTTGCTTCTTTTCTTACAGTTTTCAACTACACAGTCAGTCATTTTGATTTTTGAAGAGCTGAATTTTCAAATAATTCAATGTCATGTACGTTCATGAACTGTCAGTTCCCGTCAAATTGGTCATGTCATTTCGACTTTTCTAGGACTATGCCTTCTGTCACTGCTTGTCATAGTGTCTGTACTCTTATTACAACAAATCTGTCAAATACATACAGGGACTCTAGCAATGATGAGTGTACACAGGCTATATTCCGAATTCAACTGGTCAGTACTGTCAGTAGATCCACTGACTCTGCTGAAAAGCTGTGTTCCGGAATATAAAATCAAAAATACAGTGCTGTAATTCGGAACACGTTTTCATCATCAATCAGCAGCAGTTGATCAGCTGGTGAAATTTCTCAGTTGTCATTGATCTGGCAGATGCTCCTGCTTGAGCTAAATAAATAACAGGCATTTTCTGATATCAAAATGATATTATTAATGTATTATTGATAAGCCAAGACTTTATGTTTGAAAAACAACAGAAATGAATGTGTCATTCCTTTCCCCTCAAAAATGATGACAGTTCAATGGAGCCACACTACCTTTTGATAGTCAGCAATTTCAGCAGAATGTTGAGTCGAAATATTTGGAATGAATAGTATATCTGCTCACGAGTATCTGTCACTTTCAGACAATTTTTTTGATTTCGGAATGAAAGTTCAGCAGATTCAGTACTGTCAGTTGAATTCGGAATATAGCCACAGGCAACATATTTCAAAAACTTGAACAATTTCGTCAACAAAGTGACCAACGAATTCACAAAGAACCCAAGAAGATGAGTTTTCAATTGATTTTCTATGTAGATTTTTTTTCCGTTTTTCAATTTTTCTCATTTAACTTTTCTTATTTGATTTTCCTCTTCAGTTTTTTTTATGGTGTCGCCCTAGCTTTCCAGCTGGCGACGCCCTTGCGACCCACGCTATATCGAAACTCCCCGCACACAAACAGCTCTCACCTCTCTTGCAACTCCAAAAAGTCGGAGTACAACCCTGCCTCGTAGCTCCACCTAGATATATCCTGAGTGCCATCGCCGATCGCCTCGATCAGCGCCTTGACGACGTCGTACTGCTCGTTGATGAACAGGCCTGGCAACAGGTGCCGGACGAGGATGTCGTTCGCTTTGCCGTGGTCCGCGCAATGGGCGAAATGGTTGAACGCTTCGAAGTACCTGTTGGTGGTTTCGAATTATTCCGAATGTGCGACAACACATTCTCAATGATCTATCTCTGTTCGTTTAGAAGGCGAAGCAATGCAATGTGCCAATCATGGGCGTACCACTATTTTCTACTTTGGCTTGACCTACGATAAATCGAAAACCATTTGCCGTTTAAAGTGATGAGGTCGAAAACTATTTGTCGGGTTTTCAACTCATATCATTTCCAGGTGCATTCCAAGTGTCGTTGGAAGAATATTGCTGTCAACATGGAAACTACTCCTGGTTATTTTGGTGTTGTCAAACACCCGAGATGTTCTGCCTTAAGTGATAATTGAAAAACAATAATTCACTATATGTTCCAATAGGACAGGCGTGAGTAACACAACGGTATGAGAAATATTGAAAAGAAATGTTGGCTCCTCCGTAAATGCATACTGATAGGAGAGAAATCAAGCCTGAATTTGAAACGAACGGTTTTTGCCTTTTGGAAAAAGTATATGTGATGATTTTTGACCGTATCAAATACTATCAATACAAGAAATTATCTATATGAAATAAATAGGTTCATGACGAAAATTCGAGTAGCAACCCCATTGTAAAACTATACCTTCGAATGCAGTCAAAATAATAACAAAATCAGACTTCGAGAGAAAATAAACAGTTCTTTTGGGGCCTGATTAAATTTCCTACTTATTTGGTATGTAATTACCTTTTATCAATAAGATGATAGATAATTATGGTGTGTGGGTGACCGACTATTTTGATTTTTTTAATCTATTTCAGTATTTGAAAAGTAATATTCTCAGATAAATTATGAATATGAAAAAATTGATATATGTATATGAAGAAATACATTGAGAATTCGCATTCTCTATGTGGTGAAAATATCAATTCATTATCGGTTTATTCAACAGAAAACGACTATTTTCCATATCACAGATACAGATGCTTTATTCCATTCCATTAAATTTGGATTTTTATTGTAAATTTATTGCCTAAAGAAAGATGTGGAAAATTTTCCAATATATAGGTTTTTATCTCACTATGAAGTTTGTAAAAATTCAATATATAAGTATGTCCTTTATTTTCGTGATATCAAATTTAACTCTAGGAAAAATTAAATTAACAAAAGATTTGGCTCCTTCACCATTCCTTTGACGTATTACTCAGAAAAGCCAAATTCACAGAGAGTTAAAATACGATTCCCTGTGTCAGTACGACGTTGGCGGCATCATCAATATGAACTATCATGATAGTATAATAGCATAAAATATGATAGTATAATAGCAATGGGATATAATAGGTTTTTTAATCCAACTTCGTCGAGTATTACGAATAATTTTCATGAATCTCTTAGAGTCCGACCACGATAACTTTGGGACAGCACGTGGTCGCGTATGCATTGAATATGCATATGCGTTGCGTCACATGCTGTCCCAAAGTTAACGTGGTCGGACTCTATCTGCTGAATGAAGTTTATTACTAATGAAGATAAATTATGATATTTTGCAATAGTATCTGTAATTTTTCCCTTTCGTTACATCACAAAACAATGATCATAACTTGTCAGTTTTTTTTTCAAATTAATTCGTTCCTCTATAAAACGGATCTATTTTCTAGGAAAGTTGCATATTATATCTTGCAACAGCGCATAATACTTCAAACGCGTCCACACCACACAAAATACTGACATGCACACCAAGAGCTGATCTGACTCCATATATTTTTAGATATTTTTGCGGTAGATTTTAAGGTGCTGAAATCATTAATATTGACACGGTAATTTTCAAACGGATGGAAATTTACCGCAATTAATGACTGACGTAATGATTTCGTAAGTAGAGGCAGACCCTAACACAGTTCCCATATGTTGTAATACGAATGGAAACTTCAAAAATATTATTTATTTCATAATTCATCAATTCCCAATGATGCACTGGTAATATTCTCGATTAGCTATAAAAAATCGATTATCTTGTAATTTTCCTTCTAATATGTTGTGTCTTATTGCATATCATGATGAATTTGTGTTAGTTATAATTATATTAATTCACACTAGAGATTTCGTCCGGTGAACGTGACAACACAGGATTGTGGACGTTGTCTTGTCAGTTCTCAGCGTTTAGCACAGCATTTTCTCAGCGTTTAGCACAGCATTGCCAAGTTTCCAGCCTAGCCAACATTCACAAGATGTTTTGTTATGGAGTATAAGAGTTATCTCAACAAGCTGGTTGCTCAAAGAAGTCACAAATTAATAACTATAAGATCATGGATTTCCCCTGTTAGGTCAAATAAAATATTTAACAGTAGCAATTAGCAACTTTTTATAATAATAATCTGACCAATACATTTTTTCAGGTTGCCAGTACGGCCGCTAGAGGACGTAATTGAATTAGCCAGTTGAAAACTGGTTTTTAGGAGAATTTTATATATCAAGATATGTCAAAAACACTTTTTTAATAATCTCGATAATTTTGCGCTTACTCTTCAAATGAAAGAGGGAGGGGAGGACGAAGAGTTCTTTCTATTCTTTCAAATATATCACAAATCGAGTCGATCTAAATCTCGTGGTGACCGCCAGATAGTATCGATAAATCGACAGTTATAAATTAATTGATATTTCGATTTTTCCAGTCCAATTCAATTCAATTCAATTCAATTCAATTCAATTCAATTCAATCCATTTATTGTTTACACAAAACATATAGTTTTATATACAAGAAATGCGGTAATGAATAAACAATAATTGTGTTCTATTCTGAAAAAGAAAAAACAAACAAAAAGAGGTCAACCTATTTACCTACTATACAGGGTGATTCAAAATTCGATGTGAATATTTTGAGAACGTATTGTTGGGATTGAAATAAGACTTTTTCTTCATATAAACATGTGTCCTAAAATGCACCCCATTTTGGCCAATAAAAGTGAGGACCACCTCCCCCTCCGAATCCCCCACAACTAGGTTTATAAAAATTTTTAACACAAAGGAAATAACGTGTCTAAAGCGACAGGGGCATGACAATTTTCATGTACGTTGGGCATCTAGAGGAAGTAGTTTATCTATGGCTGACAATGGGTCGCATGCAAGATCTATCAGACGACCGACCCTGGAGGTAAAACAACACAAAATAACCTCACTTTTCGTATTTGTTTTCGAAGATGGAAATATGTTTTCACATAACAAATCGTGACTCTTGGTGCATTTATTCATGCCATCGCATTGTGTTGTTGTACAATGTACAGAAAAAATGCTGCGAGACACGATGGAATAAGATTTTTCAGGTAAATTGTGATCTATAAGTACTGTACTTAGTCACTCACATTTAGAATTCCTTCTACAATAGGAGCTAATAAAACGACTTGTGACGTTTCTAAAAGAAGTCAAAACGCTTGGATTCGTGCAATCAAACGGGAGGAATGGTCTGAAATACTGACGAAATATGGTCGTGTGTGTTGTAGACATCAACATTTGAGAGAAATGACAGAAATGACTATGGTCGTGTGTGTAGACATTTTCACTCAATTAGCTCCTATTGCAGAAGGAAATTCTAGAGATGTGACAAAATATGAAAATGAAAACTATGTGAGTATATAACTGCAGTATTTATAGATCACAATTTACTTGAAAAACTGTATTCCTTCGTCTCTCGCTGCATTTTTTGTGCATTGAACAACAACGTGATGGCATGCTTGAATCTATACATATCCCAAAACACGATTCGTATGCCAAAATTATTGTGAAAAACTATTTGAATCCTATGTAAACAAATGAAAAAAAGTGAGGTTAGTGAGATTTGCAAAAACTCCACAAACGATAAGATTTCCACAAAACTCATCCAAACATAAAATTCACAATGAAAATAGAAACAGAGAAGTCAATCAATTTCTTAGATTTGACAATAAGTAAAATTAATGATGAACATGATTTTTCAATTTTCCATAAACCTTCCTCCACTGATATCACTATTTATAATAATTCAACACACCCTTATCAACATAAAATTGCAGCAGGCTAGTGAATGTCCGTCTTTCAGAAGTAAATTTCAATAAAGAACTCAATATTATATAACAGATTGCAGTCAACAACGGACACAACGTTAATTTGATAGACAGTATTCTTTCTGAGAAACTTCATAATAAAGCTATTCAAGGAGTTTATCCTACCATCAAGAATAATAATCAAAATTGAAGAACTTTAAACTATTTCGGATCATCAACTGGAAAATTAGCTTCATTTCTACATAAATAGGACTTGAGAGTAGCGTATAGAACAAATAACACGTTGGGGAGGTTTATCAAAAATAATATAGACAAAACATCTGAATTACAAAAATCAGGAGTATACAAACTCAACTGTGGATCTTGTCCGAAAGTATATATCGGTCAGACAGGTCGTACGTTTAATCAGCGCATTCATTAATATAAGATGAATTTTTTGAAAATGAAAACAAATCCAACATACGCCAACCATGTATTAGAAGAAAACCATAGTTTTGATGATAATTTCGAAATTCTGCACGTAGAAAATAAAGAAATGAAACTCAATCATTTTGAATCATTAGAAATCAAGAAACTAAAAAATGTTGAAATTTTACTTAACGATCAATTAGACCTCAATAGTTCACCACTGTTGAATTTGTTTTCTTGGTAGGTAATAATATTTATTTTCTATCAACCCTTCTAAGTTGATCCGGTACACCATATTTTAATGTAGATATCGTGCTTTATTTCCGAAAATGAAGGTTTACCAAACCTGTCCACAGGTAACTAATCTTTCAAGTTGGAAAAGTAGGATATATAAAAGTTAAGCAAGCCAACGTTGGTTTAGTTCATTGTACCAGTATATCACCTGACGAAGCTACTGTGTTAGCGAAACATGTTGTGTGTTTAAGAATTTTGTGGAAACCTTACCGTTTGTGGAGTTATTACATTTGCCATGGATTTCCATCAAGTAACGGCCGAGTCAATTCGAAAAATAGTTAGTGAGATTGTTCAGGGTCGGTCATCTGACATTTTGTGCACGCGACTTTTACCTTTGCGATAAGAGAGTCTTGTTGCCCTTGACTCGGTGTATCCACTCGGCCGGCACGTGCATCCCGTTCACCAAGCGGCTCTCCGACTCCAAGGCGGCTCTGTCGATCTCGGGCGACAGATTGCGGTCCAAAACACCTAAGACCAGCTGCCTCTTCAGGCGGTTGTCTTGCAGGTAGAGCAGCACGAACACGGCGTACTCCCACTCGCCGAGCGACTCCAGCTGGTTGGAGAAGCTGGTGCACAGTTTGGTCTTCTCGGAGTCTTCTATGATGCCGACTTCGAGGGATAGGAAGAGTTGGAGCAGCAGCCAACTGGAGCGTCAACATAACCACAAATTAATTATTCTGAAGCATATCATATGTTTAATAAATACAAAAGGCTCAAAGTCATTTCCACACAATGTCCATAAAATGAACAAGTGGTAGATGTCGGGAGAAAGACAACTACTTTCCTGGCTAATGCCACGCAGAATGGCCCAGAATCCTTCTGTGGTATTGCGAATACTATACAAAAGACTAGTATCAAATCATGGATGCAAACCAAATCTCAAGAATGGTGAAACTCGCCAGGAATGAGACAGGCAAAATAGTTTATCAAAAAACCATCGCCAACATTCACAGAATATCTACTGGGCCAGAAACGAAGTTCAACTAGAATACTAGTGGGACTTCTCACATGGCATTGTAGGCTCAACAAACACATGTGTACGATATGTCTGACTGAGGAACTTCTGTGCAGGTTCTGTTAGGAAGAGGAGGAAACAGCAGTACACATACTTTGCCACTGTGAGCTTGTCAAGACTGAGGTTCCTTACGCTGGGTGAGAAAAAAACCAGGAGCCCAAAGATACACAGGGGATCTGAACGCTATCCTATGGAGTCTCATAGAGAAGGCGGGGCTAGCCGAAGAAATCCAATCGATTTTGAGGGCAGACACAATAGATCTGAAAAGGTCGCGGTGTGGAAGGCCACATTCTAAATCTTCTGAATCTAATGCCACGCAGAACATTGAATTACATCCTCCCGAAATCTATGCATCGACTCGTATAAACGAATACTGATACAAGAGATTTTTTCCTGAATGCCTATTGATTTCGATTTAGCCAGCCCACGCTAGAAACCCACAGACCGGTTTCGAGCTCTTTGACTCTCATCAGTGCAGGGTAGTCCTGCAGCAGTCCTAAGACCACCGACTCAGCGTAGCCTAACCATACGAGTCAATGCATAGATTTCAGAAGGATGTAATTCAATGTTATGCGTGGCATTAGCCAGGAAAGTAGTTGTTTTTCTCCCGAAATCTACCATTGTTGTTTATTTTATGAACATTGTGTGGAAATGACTTTGAGCTTTTTGTATTTATTTAACATTTCATTCCACTTTGAGCATTGTGGCTATTTCTTAGTTGATATCATAGGTTTTTTGAAACAAGGACATGACTTTTCAGATGATTGGAGAAGCTGTTAAACAGTTTCCTCGATGATGCCGACGTCGAGAGATAGGAAGAGTTGGAGGAGCAGCCAACTGGAACGTCGATGCACAATATAGAGAGTTTGACCATTGTCGCTCTGAATTATAATTGAAGATATAATCAGTTGAACCTTTTTCTTCATCATTACTTCAGATAGTAGGTATTATATTCATGATAGACATACATTATACAAAAATATATGGGTATATTTTCAGTAAACTGTAAAGAACAATGTATCATAAGTTCAGACACTTTTTTCCAATCTTCAAGTTATGAATCCACACCTTCCTTCTATCGATCACTTCCTTGTTTGATCTTGTTGATCTTGGAAAGGTTGGTGGCTAACTTTACAAGTCTTGCGAGTATGAACAACAACGACAAAAAATATGGCGACCATTGTTTTGAGTGGATTTTTTTTTTTTTTAGGCTTACTTTGTGTCTGAGTGCTGGTAATTGCTTTCATTTATTCGAAATATGCAGCAAGTTCACAAAATGTTCAACCACCAAAACTCGTGAAAAAACTTCCGAACCATCAGTAAATATTCCGAAATCATCACTTGCGACAAAAAAGACCATACTTATACAGAAAGTGAGTACCTACATGATAATAATTGAGATTCTCCTCATATAGTTACCAATTGCGTGATTTTTCATTAATAAATGAGTTTGAAGGTCCTCAAAAAGAAATGCAATTGACAATAAAGTATCAATAACATCAAGACCAACAGCAGACAGGAAACCAATTACCTAAAGTGGAAGAAGTGGACATAGAAATGGGCGTGTACACCTTAGTAGAACTTTCAACTCAAACCATGTTTATAATGATCCTTTTATACATAAATAACGATTGGCGACATAATTCCATCTAAAAATTAACTGGAATGTTTTATTTTTGGACATAAATAATAGTACCTTCTGAAAACGGACCCTCTTTATGACGTAGAAACCTCATCTCGACTGGAACCAATGAGCGTGACCCATAGAGTGACCCATGTGTGACACTTATCACTGTTGCCATATCATCTAAACAAAATATCCGAGAGATCGAAATCGATATTGAAATATCTTTTGATATCAACTACCACTACTGCAGAAAAATATAGAATATAAACAATCTCTAAACAACGAAATGTCTCAATCTCAAAACCATTTGCACCATGACAATTTCACAATAATCCAATGTAGTTCATGAACACAGCAACATTGCTTTGTTGACCCGTTTCACATGGAGCTGCAATTGCATCGAGTCTCGAATTCCGATTCCGAAGTTATTTATGTCGTCTAAAATGAGAAGAGAAGACACGTAATGAAATTAACCTCCAAATCGTGCTTTATATCATATTAATACATATTATTGATATATTGAATATAAACATGAACGTTGAATCAGGATTTGTAAAAGGCTCATCAGATATAATCTACCGAAAATTGATTTGGAAATGGTTAATTATTTTTATGTCTCTAGCATACTAGAAAATCTCCACAGTTCCTCAGTGCTGAAATGAGGAATAGAAAATCTGAAAGGTAAGTTCCACAATATTCATTCAATTTTCATTGCTTGTACCTATTATAGTTGCATTGGAAAATTGTTCACCTGAAAGGATATTTAACATCAGAATACCCATCATATGGAGATTCCGAGGGAAAATCCTCATTAAATCAGTCACTGATCGATGTGTTTACCTATGCAACAATATGATCAATTGGTATGAAACAATGTTATTCCCAAGACTAGATACTGCTTGCATCTCCCCCTGAATGTTCTTCTAGGAGATGGATCATTCATTCTTCAAGCAAATTTCCCTATGAATTTCTGCAAAGCAAAACTACTACTATAATATTGTGTTTACCCAGTGAGGGGCGAGATTTCTTCTCAAAATTCCCAGCTAAATGATGTTTTTTCAATTGCAAGTAGGCACAGAACATTTCTCAATCATACTTTTTTCGAAATATTTAAATTTAATATTCGAAAGTTGCAGAAACTTAATATAGGTTAGAATTGATCTTCTTCTTGTTCTTATCATCTATGTCCCAAAAATCAACTTGCCGATTCACGAATCTTGGTGCTTTGTGAGAAATCATGTATCATTCATCTCTGTCTGGAATATTCTCGTTTCAGTATTAGGGTTTTGACGTCACATCATCGCCTCGTTTTCAGAGGTCCGAAAAATCGGGGATTTCAATAATTTTTTATAAAACGTAGGGAGCTCACAGCAAGAAACGGTTTGCGGTGGTGAGCTAGTTTGGGTGAGTTCTATCGAATTATGAAATAAAAATTTTTTGTGATATAAGCCCATTGGACCTCCTTGTCCTTGCCTCCTTGCAAACTTCTACTAGTTCATGTGAATAAAATTGAGAGAAATTATTCCCAAATATCAAATGACAATGAGTCAATAATGTGTCCAAAATGTATGAGTATGTTTTGTGGTTGCCCCATTTTGATAAAAATTCACAAATTGATGAGTGAATTACTGTGTGATCAAACTATAATCCATGAATATCTTTCTTGTTGCTGTTGTTGTTATGCTGTATTTGGTTGTATCTTTTCGTCTAAAATAAAGGAAATTCAGTATTTCCAACCATATTTATGTGTTTTATCTGAAAAAATTATTCATTTGTTGAAGTGCATATTCCAGAACCTCATTTTTCCCAACTGGAAAAACTCGAATTATTGCATGAACTTTTATTGTTTACAAGAAGAAATCAATACCTACCTTGAATAATATACATTTCCCAAAGAACAATTAGAATCATTATATAAATGTTGGTTGCAATGATTCGATCTTGAAAATAACTTCAAGTCCTCAATTGCTGGGGATCCTTGTTTATGTAAATCGAAGATATTGTTAATTCTTAACAGTCTCTCTAACCATATCTTATTTTCCAACCCCTTCACTAGAATTCCATCTCCTTCATAACAACCAGTGATATATCTTGATGAATTCAATTATTTCTTCAAACTTATATCATATTGTTGTAATAGCTGATTCCTTATGGTTCCATTCCAATCCATGCAAGTGTAGAGTGGACCATTCCGAACATTCCATATGTTTGAAAACAGTGGAACAGTGGAATTGTAATGGCATCAAAATGGCAATTTCTCTGCACAAAGTTATTTTTTCGATACCGGAAACCTTGTACGTCAATTAAGAACATTTCACGAAGTTAACTTATTATTTACTATTTTGCAAAAGGATTTCGTAATAACTCACTTTAAAATAACACCTTGACTTGGCGTTTAATAGCGCCATCTATTGGTTCGTCATTTTCGCGAATACTGGTAGTTCGGTTCTCAGAGGAGTATTTACAGATATTCTGAACATATTCGGTATCACTAACGCAGGGATCAACGTGTTAAAACGAAAACGATGACACTCACCTCAATCTATAGTCGAGATGGTCGTCGGTGTGCGTCGCCGGATTCAGCACGCTGCTCAACCGGTGTATCCTCGTCTTGTACAGCATCAGCACGTGGTACAGCACGTCGAACGGCGGCCCGTCCTCGACGTCACCAGTGGCGTAGGGCGGGTGCGGCGGCTGCGCGTAGCCCTGCTCCTCGAACGCTTTCCCGTACAGGTCAATGGCCACGTCCAGAGGGGCTCCGGCCGGCGAAATGTACCTGGGGAATTTTGTGGTTATTCCATGTTTCCGGTTCGCGAGAATTACAAAAAGGGCGGTAAGTTATTATTCCGCGCTCGAGTAAATCCCAGAATCCCCGCTTGGGCTCCTCTACTATAATAAATAAGTGTCCACTTCTACCCATGAATAACGTAACAAATATTTGCACGAAAAGTAGTGAGTTAACCGTGGCCGCAGATTTTTAGCGACCTCATGGTTAACTTGCCTTGCCGATAACTTTCCTTTCGGTACGCTAAAAAGGTATTTCGGGGTTTGAAAATTTTCTGTACTTGCATCACCATCACTACTCACCACAAATGCATACCGAAAGCCCGCTTCCAATCTACATCGCCGAACACGTTGATCTCTTCCTTGACAGGAATACCGGACAGCAACAGATAGACCTTCTTCATGTCCTCGCCGATGTGATTGGCCGCCATGGACTAGAAATAATATATTGATTGATTGTCTTTATTACCCCAAGAAACATAGTTGTTTATAATAGGGATACATAAACAATATACATAGTGTTATACATACAATTATGAAATTATAATAAGATATAACAAGTAAAAAAAGAAATGCAAATAATCATGCAATATCAACCTAGTCTTTTATAAGTAGGTATTCAAATTGGAAATGGAATTATCAAAGTCTCTGAAGCAGATATTTTTTTAAGTTAATTTTGAATCTAGTTGCTTCCTCTATATTCCTCAATTGACTTGGTAATGAGTTGTATAGAACGATTCCTGTGTGAAAAATTGATTGTTTGCCGATATTTGACTTGAACGTATTTGCTATTAGTAAATTTGATTGTCTTGTTCCATGATTATGTAATGAATTGATTTCATTGAAATTTAAATTCGAAATTTTCAATTTATATAGAACAAATTGAATAAAACAACATATTTTAAGTTTATATAGTGATATCAGATCTAATAAATCTCTAGGTTTGTATAAATTCATGGTTGGTTCGAGAAAATTTAAATTGAAAATACACTTTAATGTTTTATTTTGTAATTTCATTAGTGGACTCAAACGTGAAATATTGGTACTTCCCCATATAGATATTAGGTATTGAAATTTTGAGTAAATAAGAGAGAAATAAATACTCTTCAAGTATCTGGTAGAAATGAAATTTCGTATTTTGAATAAAATGCCTGTAATAGGATTGAGTTTGTTCCTCAAATGATCTATATGTTTATTCCACAATAGTCGTTCATCAATATGAAGACCTAAAAATTTTGTTCAATGTTCTTTTTGCTATGTACATATATGAGGATTTGTTATAATTGAGAGATAGTTTATGAACTTGTAACCAAGAGGATATTTTCTCTAAATCACTTTTCATGTCCATGATAATATTATTTGAATCTTTAGAGAAATAAATCAATGTCGTGTCATCTGCAAATAATTTAAGTTTTCCTCTCAATTTCAAGTTTGATATTGAATTTATGTAGATCAAAAATAAAACTGGTCCCAAGACTGACCCTTGCGGTACACCGCATGAGATGTTCATTAAGGAGCTACAAGTACCACTCACTTCAACATATTGTTTTCTATTTGATAGATAATTTTTGAACCAATCATGAATTCTTCCTCTGACACCAATTGCAATCTTGCATAGATCTAATGACAATAAACCGCATTGATCATTTTTATCTATTCGTAATTGGATATCTGAAATAACATCCATAACGGCTATGTAAGAAGTGTTATAAACATCATTTTAGTAACGAGTATTTTAAGCTCGAGCGCAGCGAGTGTTTAATAAATTAAACCTCAATGTCGAAAAGTGCAAGGTTATGACTTATACCAGAAGAACCAATTCAATAGAATATATCTTCTTAGATGCATCTCTTTCGCGTTAGTCAGTTTGAAGATCTAGGAATAATGTTCGACAGTAAACTTTCGTTTTCCTTCCACATTGATACCATCGTATCTAGTGCAACTAAATCGTTGGGATTTCTGATGATAAATTCTTTAGATGCTTTGAAAGCTGTTTACAATTCCCTTGTGAAGAGCAAATTCAGTTATTGTAGTTCTGTGTAGAATCCGAATCATGATTATATGAAAAAATACTTATGCAACATATCCTGTTTCTCATAGTTATTTTTAGAGAATATAAAAATGTATTCATTATGTTAATTGTACTCAATGAGAAAATGAATTATTGTTAGTCAGTGGAAGGAAAAAAATATTACATGATCATGGACAAGTTCTCAACTTATTTGATCATATTGGAAAAGAATATTCCCAGATATATTTATGAACAGAAAAAAATTGACATATATTTATATAAAGAAATACATTGAGAATTCGCATCTATTGAACACACACGATAAGAATTTGAAAACAAAATGTTCTGAAGTAGTGAATTTGCATTCTCCTTCATATAAAGATATGCATAAAATATCATTCTGAATATTCAACAGAAAACAACTACTTTCCTGGCTATTAGCCACGTCGAACATTGAATGATATCTCTTGTAGCCGTTGGATACATTCAAGATTCAGGTAAAAATAAAACAGATATTGCACGCCGAGTCCTCCAAGGTGTAAGTGCCAGCAAGTGCGTGGATCAAGACAAAATAAATGTCACATCTGACAAAAAAGTATTGTGTGATTTTCCAGCTAATATTAATTTTAGTAATTGTGCTACTGTTTCATTGGTTGTGAATGTAAATAAATAAGTTCTTGAGTTTGCATCCATACTATTACTTTTATAATAATTATCAAATGATGATATAAACTCCCTAGGGAGAAAATAAGTCACATTATCTCCCTAGCGAATAATATGCCACTTCTGCCCCTATTTCGTTACCGGAGAAATTAACTTCTTCTCCCGCCGGCGTAAAAAATCTGTTATTACCGTCAATCTAATAGATGCTAGAACATTACCTTGTACCATCCTTCGATTTGCTCCTGCAGAAAGATCTTTGTCCTGTTGGTGACGCTCAGCTGGGACACGATGAGAGAGAGGTTGGGACACCTCTTTTCCAAGGCCAGGTCGGCGGCTTCTCTGATTCTGAACACGGTGAGATGGTCGAATATGTCGTTTTTGGGATCGCTGGTGGATGAGTCGTTGAAGTTTGTGTTGGCTCTTAACCTAACAATCAATTAAAATAAAAATGGCAGAGGAAATAATGCCTTTTCCTTCGACCTCGTTTCAACGATTATGTTTAATGTTTATGAAATTGATCGTTAATTACCCCTATTGATGACCAATTTGTCTATTGATGCATGATTGTAGTATAGGCATCCAAACATACACCGCTTCCATCCACTGTTTGATCTATAACTTACGGAATCTGCATTCAAATCGAATATATGAATTTCATCGAAGATTTTATGTAACTGGTAGGCCTTTTAAAGTTTCTGAAACGATGTTTTCTAACGAAAGGAATTCATTTTCCATGTTGATTATTTCGACAAATGTCAAAAGTCACCAATGTCAGTGACAAGTTCGTTTTCTATCGGCGTCTCTGAGCACCGACTAATAGACTGATCTAAATCGGCAATTCTATAAGGAAAATGGTGAGCCACTTAGGAGATTGAATTGGTGAAACTGATTCATGCGCATTTCCCGGTCCCGTTTTGTACCATATGGGCGCGGACGATTTTCCAATGTCGCAGTCAAAAATTGCCGAAAAATCAACTTTTTCAAATGGCACCTACTATTTTTTTCGACACCATATAAAAGAAAATCGAAAATTCGAACAATTTCAACATTTCATGACCATCTTTGCCTAACATAATATTTGATACCTCAAAAATCAATTATATAAGTAAATTGAATGAACAAAAAAATCACTAGATCTCACTTACCATTCACTCAGAAGATGTCTTCGATTAGAGAATGTTTCTTCATGGGATCCCCAGAGAGCATCTGCCAGGGTCCAAATGCTATGTAAATACCGAGTCTCCTTGTTGTTATTCTTTGACAGACAGTTTGAGAATAACCTAGTTTGTTTCTCCAGGTAGGAGTTACTCTTGAGTATCCTAAAAGTCGGGATTTGATTGTCATCCAGAGTGAAACTGCTTTCTTCCAGGACAATTTCCAGCGATTCATTCAAACTGTCCTGAACAAACAAACAGATTTAAAATTCGAACCAGTGCAACGTGTCGGCATCAATTTAAAGAATCTACTGTGTTTGCAAACATGTCGTGTTCTTAAGAATTTCGTGGAATTTTGTGGAAGTCATATTGTTTGTGAAGTTTTTTACATTCAATATCGATTTCCATCAATTAACGGCCGAGTCAATTCAAAAAATGTCTAGATTTTGTTGACCAGTCATGGTGTTTCATATTTTTAATTCCGAATTCAATTTGAATATTCGCAGCAAAATCAGCGAACTTATTGGTCACGTGAACCTATTGAAATGGACTGCCACCACGATTTACTACCCACAAATTCGCGCGCCCATTCTTAGAACAATTCATGAAAAAGTAGCTTTCTGGGATAGTCTGGAATGCGTGGTGTATTTGAACAGAAGCGATCTATCGTGTGTGGCGATAAATCTTCTAATAAACTTTCCAGTAATTTGAAAATGTGGTGCATAGTTAATCACACTATTTTCTACTGTGTTTGGACTAATTGTGAGTCGACAACAACAATTGGACGCTGTGAACTGGGCCCAGTCGGAAGAATCATCGACAAGACTCCAATTGGCAATGGTGAGGGAAGCTAATAAGTACTTGTTCGCTGATACGAATTTTTGGGTTCAAATTTGTGTATAAAAGTGTTGATTATGAAACACATGGTGTCATGTTGACGAAAATATAAGAGGAAAATAAAAGTGTTGAATTTGTATTTATATTTAGGTAATTACCATAATTGTTGTAGTTAGATGGTTGTATATTTGCCAAGTGATTTATAAATATATTTGCTATTTCATTTCGATTCATAGTGGTGATGTTATTTTCAGTAGTAATACTATAAGTACTTCAAAATATTCGGGTTATACATCGATAACTTATTGCATAATTACAAAGAGTGTCAGTTTTACAGTTGAAATAATCCAACCGCGAAAAGGAAGGATCATTTTGTTGAACTGACACGACAGTGGTGTGATTGTGAATATAAGTGTTCAAGATCGACGAAAAAATTGTATATTCACCTCGGCGAGAAACTGTCTATTGTCTCGCCTGACTGCTAGCCTCGCCTACAAATATGCAGGCTCGACTATAATAGACAGTTTTTCGTCCTTGGTACATAAATAACTATTAAATTAATCGAATCAAATAATGTGACTTACTATAAGCGGGTCGAAGTTTTTAGGCGAACCACATTCGATTGTATTCAAAGCGAGCTGGCCATCGACTTCGCCTTGTTTACAGTTCAAACTGAAGAAGTTGAAACCTTTCGTCCATCCGGCCTTGAAAGATTTCCCATTGAAGATGCCCATATCCATATAGCTCCTATTTTGGATCAGCCCAACACTGACCTCGGAAGCTATGAAACACGTATTCATCAATACATGGTGTGTCAGAGATGCAATGACATGAAGCAATATGAAAAATTTTTCATTGAACGAGGGCGACCAAATTGATTGATTGATTGTTTTTATCACCCCAAGAAATATATGTTTATAATAGGGATACATGAAAACATATTAAAATAATAATATTAAAAGGTTAACTAATGAATTTCACTGATTGGAACCAAATTCATATGTTTTCTTGAGATGAAAATTATAACATTTCAATTGTGAGTAATCAAATCATGCCAAATATTTTTCAATCAGATTGTCCTGACCAGGTATTGTCTAAGATTGACTTGAATCTGCTTAAATTATGTATATTCTTCAATGCTTTGTATCAAGTTTTTGAAAAAAGAGGGTTTACATTAATATCTCGAAAATGCTTCAACCGATTTCAATGACATTTTCTAAGATTAATTAAACAATCATTAGACATGTACTGCAACGTTATCTCAGTTTTTATCAAGTATTCAAATAAACCCACTAAGAATACATCATTTTTGTCCCATAGTTATTTTTATTGTCCCGCATCGTTATCGAGGGACAAATATAATACTACTCAATTCCTATTGGAAGAAGTGAGAGACTCTTACACTAAATTTGAAACCAAATTCACAGACATTATGAGAGCTTCATTTTACTTTAGATTTTAATTTTGACATATTTATTCTTAGTGAACAGACAATAATATCATGCTCACTTACTAGGATTTTGTACATATAATATGAGAATAGTCATATTTTTATCTTCATAAAATGAACTGGATATACAATTCGGTTATACTCCACGAGAAAATTCACCCTCCATGTCAGTAGACATCCAGGAATCAACTTTCACCTGCAAAGTTCTACACCTTATCAACCTTGGGCCTCAGAATTCCCATCTCTTTTTTCTGGGAGACATTTTTGTTTACAAACTTGAAAGAAACGTAAATTTTGACAGGAATACGAATAATTTCTAGGATTAGGATAACAAATAAATGACTTAGTCTTAAATAGAGGTCACTGGCTTACTGAAAATATCGTCGTTAAGAACGATTTTTGCATATATTTTTTCAATGACCAGACAATATATCATGCTCACCTACTAGAATCTCCTTCAATACAACAATGGTCAGGGCAATGTTTCTGACTGTTATTATGACATTACGACCGAAAACTGTCAAATTTCATGAAACTGGAATGGTCCAATGGAAATAATATAGGTACATAGCTCATATCACAGAACAAACTGAATAAACAATTAAGTTATAGTTCACGAAAAAATACACCCTCCATACCAATTATGATACAATATTCTGGTTGATATGGGCACAACCAGATACAAATCGTGGCTGATAACATATCAAATCGTAACCATTACCAAAGTTTACAGAATTAAAAATATGTTACGGCAGTCCGCAGAATAAGCCCATTCACCTACCCCCTACCTCTCGCTCCGTCGAGGTACCTTAGGGGGCCTCAGGGGTCTATACTCGGACCAACGCTTTTTTTACTATACATAAATGACTAAGCCAGAGCTAACATTTCAGGAAAAATAACGCTGTTCGCGGATGATACGAGCATTTTCTGGCATAATGAAAATGCCGAAACACTTCTTGATATTATCAAGGATGACACGTCTGAGGTTAAAAAATGGTGTGATTCAAATCAGTTGGTGATGAATCTGACAAAGGTGAATTAAACGAGCTAGTCATGGGCGATGACGTCATAGAAAACACCAATAACACCAAATTTCTAGGCATTCAAATAGATTTCAGATTGAAATTTGACGAACATGTTAAAATTTTGAACAAAAAATTGTCTTCTGGATGTTATGCGGTGAGACTAACATCAAATGAATTAGGATTTTCTTCTTCTAAGGTTGTTTACCACTCCTTAGTTGAATCTCATTTAAGGTATGGAATTCCATTCTGGGCGGTGTGTAATGATCATCTCATAAACTCAGTTTTTATATTGCAAAAACGCGCAGTAAGATATATGTGCAAAGCAAAGCAAACCCCTTTTTATTAAACACAAAATTTTAACAGTTTATGCAATCTTTATCATGGAAACGGTGTGCTGAATTAAAAAACATCTAGGAAAATTTGACACTACCTCTGCACACCATGCCACCCGACAAGCAGGTAACATTAAATTACCAATTCCATCATCGGCTCTAGTTAAAGATTCAATAATTTATGTAGGCTGTAAGATGTTCAATCATTTGCCAAAAGACACCAAGGAAGTTGAATCCAATAAAAAATTCAAACATAGAATAAAAGCACTCTTTTCGGATAAACCCTATTATAGTTTACAAGAGTTTTTTGATGATACATTTTAACCATAAAACCATTTTAATTAGGAATATTTTAATACACAAAGAGAGAAACTCAAAGTCATTACCACAACTAGTTCATAAAATGAACGACAATGGTAGATAACGAGAGGAAAACAACTACTTTCCTGGCTATATGCCACGCAGAACATTGCATTAAGAAGCTATCTGGGACAGCCCTGTACTGATGAGAGCCAAGAGCTCGAAACCGGTCTGCAGGTAGTCAGCGTTCCTGAACCACTTAAGCGCAGCTCAGCGTTTAGGAAGGAAACACTTGCGATTTTATTCGTTTATACGAACTATCGCATAGGTTTCGGGAGGATGTAATGCAATGTTCTGCGTGGCATATAGCCAGGAAAGTAGTTGTTTTCCTCTCGTTATTTACCATTGTCGTTCATTTTATGAACTAGTTGTGGTAATGACTTTGAGTTTCTCTCTTTGTGACCAATGCATTCCAATTTGAGTATTTGGCTTTTTCCCTAGTTGAATATTTTAATATGTTGTAATGTGTCCCTTATGAACTAGCTAAGTGTTCAAATAGATTTTAAAATGTTGTGTTGTTATAGTAGCGATTTCCTCTTGTTCTAGTCTTGATATTTATTTCAAGGTTATTTTTTTTACTTACTTTGTCAATGAGATTTTACATCTTTGGACAATAAAGCATATTCTCTCTCTCTCTCTCTCTCTCGGTTCACTAGCGTGAACATAGTGGCTCTCGCTTTCGATGCGAACGGTTGCCTAGGTGGATTGGGAAAGTGTTGAGCTTGCATATAAATACATGTTCAATGGGAATTCGAGTCAAGATTGCCTAGAATTTCTTTGGCCAAATAAGAAATTGTTGTAGTCATGGTAAAAATCCAACACCCATACAATTTTGCCGCGCTTCCAAACAAATTTTTGCTTTGCGATATTTTGATCAAGCAGAGGGTGCAAATTGTATGAAATATATTGGCGAAGTTTTACCAAATATAACTCCTGATTTTCGTAGGCCTACATATACATTGATTAAAGTATTGTCAAATTATTATAGAAATCTCAAGACCCCAGAAGGTAATGCTTTGGTATATGTTACCAAGTATTTTTTTGAAGAAATGTTCACTATAACATTCTCGCGAAATTTTTAATGTTTCAGCCATTTTAACACGTTAGATGCAGAAGAAACCATATTTTGTCAGTTAAAATGATAGCAAAACTGCATCGGGTGGATTGGTAGTACGATTCAAAAACGTTCTAGAAAAGATATAGACAGAACATGGTATTCACTATTGAAATCTGAAAATGAAAAATTCGATATTAATTAATGAAAACATCCTGTAACTCATTTAATTGCCAACGTCACCAATTGTCACTGAGACCTGAAAACTTTCAAGACAGATACGAATTTGCTATTCAAATAACCATTTTTTATGTTGAAAACGGGAGCAGATTCGGTCCCAAAACGTCCAAAGCTAGGTGGATATTCGATATTTTTTCTATATACCTTTATTTCTCTTCTCCAAACCTTCTTCAATACAAATTATCACTGACAAGCTAGTGAATTTTTCTTTTAGGCTCTACGGTAAGAGAATCCTTTAAACGCAGTGACATTTTGGGGCAAATCATCTGATTTGTCCTTACTACAATAATGAGCTTCGAACATGATGTGAATTGAATATTTGAGTCGAATTTCTCCATGCAATTTGTATATTCATTCAAATAACTAGTAGTTATTCCATTTATAATCCGATCGTTATTATCGGAGTTACAAATTTTAGGTCACCCCCGGTATTTTCTAGGGCGCTTTTGATCTCCAAATAACAATCGTCCCGACTGGAAAAGGAAAACTTATATTTTCAATTCTGTAAACTTTGCCATTACGATATTCTGGCTAGGATAACAATAATAATCATTAGTGTAACTAGATATCTGGTTGTGCCTATACCAACCAGATGATTTTTTTCCATATGAAAGTAGATATCCAGAAATGAACTCCCACCTGCAAAGTTGTACACCTTCTCAACTTTGGGCCTCAGAATGCCCCTCCTCCTTCTTCTGGGAGTCGATTCCTCGCTGACGACAGGCAGCCGGGGAATATCCTCGGGGATGTCGAGATACTGTCTAATTATGGACACGTGACTGCTTCCGCCATCTGACATGCCGTCGTCGAACAGAGTGGACTTCATGACCTGAATGACATCGAGCATATTAATTTGTATCAGTGATAGGTTTGTTCGCTTTTGAAATGGGCCTTTCCAGTCATTTTTAGAAAAAATGTATCTTGAAATAATGGCTCTGGAAAACCTTGAAAAAATTATTGCGAATTCAAACGATCAGACATGGCCGCGAAACGTGTGATGTCAGTGCGCGAGCAATTTATTTATTTATTTATTTATTTATTTAACAAATAACTTCCAGACAGAATAGGCTCTGGTATAAGGAAGTACATAATTATATACCTACAGGTAAACATAGCATCATTCAAAATATATCAACAACTGTAAATTGGCAAACAAAGAATAATATTTGTAAAAAAAAAAAAAAAAATGGCATGATTAATTTTATCCAGTCCGCTCAGAAATAATCAGTTTTTTTACTTCATTTTTGAATATACCTATATTGGTAATTCCCGGCCTTCTTGCGGGTGCCAATAAAATGCACGATGGACTTGACAATGTTGCCAATTTGGACAGAAAGCTATGATTAGAAGTATATTCTTCGATTTTTTTCATTTTATCAAATAATATAGTACTGTTGGATAACTCAACTAATAACTACTTACCTGAAAAAACAGGGTAATAAAAATTTACATTGCATGATTAGTTAGTTGGTTGATTTTTGTTAAAGAATTATTCAAAGTTGTAAGTGAAATTTCATTTTATATTGAATTAGAGTGCAAATATTTATGATATTCAGTTTACAAACCCTTCCAATGAAGTACTTGCAAGTTTAGGAACTCACCTACTATGTACCTAAAGGAACAAATTCTGAATCCATCAATACTAAATTGCTTACTTGGTTATATTTCTATTGATTTTAGTACAAGCATCACTGCCTTCTTGTCAATAATATTGAGAAATAAGAACAGTGAAGTTATGCGGGGGGGAATAAGGTATTTTTCATATGGCAACATTTTATTACCGCCAGTTGCTTCATCTCTTCCTCTTGTAGACATAGTTGCCAGATTAGCAATAAAATTTTCTGGAAATGAGTGCTTGAGATATAGTAACACTGTTCAATTTGTTGATTATCATAATCCGTCAACGAAATTTCAACATAACTAAAACCAAACTAATTATATAAAACGCGTCTTACTGTTAGATGCCTGCATTATATTATCCTAGCTAATGAAACAATTTGGAGTTCAGAGTAAATTAAATGTGATCAGCAGTAAATTACCAATCAACGTATCACCTACTACATAGTAATTTCGATCATTGCATCCCTTGCACCATCTTGCACATAGGATCAATTCAAGGCTTCCTTAGAGATCTGGCAACAGTGGAGTGATTCCCAGCCCTCAGAACTCCAACCAATCAAATTGCAAGAAGACACTGACATCACAGCTCAGTAGCGTTTGAATTCACAGGTATTGAAAAAGCTTTTACAATATTAAATAATTCATATGTCGTTCGATTTTCCCAACAAATATGTGGTCAGGATAACAAAAATTCAGGTGCGTATCAAATTCAATCTGATATGAGTCTGGTATAGTCTGAAAAGCAGATGAACGGAAAATGAAGTGACAAATAAATGTCGTGCTTCTCGTGGATTAAGGTCATATTTTGGGCTATGTTAAAATCAAATTAAGCTACAAAAACCTGAATAACTTGGACCTGTTTTGAATCAGGGGACCTGAATGAAATAATCTCCACTAAAATTTATGTACCTACTTACACCTATCCACTTACTTGAAAAGATCCCAGGATCCTTTATCTTAGTACAGATTTATGATGTCCTCTACAAATTAAACTTTTCAAGAACATTTAATCATATTCTGAACTTGAGCATGAAGATGATGAACTGAAGCTCAATATGTCGATAGTTTATTATTGTTGGTCGAATTCTCAGATAATTAGATCCTTTATTTTGTTCGAAAGTGTCTCTCAAAACTCAAAAAGCTCAGATATTGAGAATCTGGGCCAATGACGCATACGCATCAAAAATCATTCATGATAGTCGTTCTTGCCCAGAGCGTACTGCTTGTGATCGATTCGAAACTAGTTTGTATAAAACGAAAACACAGAACCCGTGGAGTTCAAACCAAACATATTAGTCAAGTTTTGGCATTAAATGAATTACAATCTGACGTCCACGAGATTGAATCAATTTCTGAGGAGTCGATCCATCATTCGAAAATGAATGGAAACTTAAACTACTCTTCTACTCTCTGAACCACCATGGACTGAACAAATTATAGGCATTTTTGCAATTTTGAATTCAAATATTCAAAAAATACTGACAGCTCTGTCACTTCAACACATGCGCCGCCGTACATATCATTACGTCAAGAATTACCCGCGGAGTGCGATCGATGCTAGAGTCACTGGATGGTATTAGTTAGATAAGAGTTGGGAAACAGCTGAAGTCTTTTCCTTTTCTATTTTCTATAATACTATGGGTTGAGTGAATAAAGGAATAAGACATATATTCGGCTCTTTGTCTTTTCAATTTCCCTAGTAGCGCCTGATTGTCAGATGCTATTTTAGAGGTTATATTTTCTATCAAATATATCATAGTCGTGGATGTAAAATGAAAATAGGGTATTATCGCACACTTCAATTCATAGTGATACACAAAATCGACACATATGCATTTCTTTATTAGTGTATGTAAAACAATGTAAAACTGTAGAGTGTGTCCTGTTTTAGACGCTTTTGCGTGATATCTCAGGTATGTTGGAGATGGAATGTTGCGGTTTTCACATTACTTCCATACATTTTTGTGTAACGAAGAATGCCGCTGACATAACTCTGTAACTCATTAAATCTCAACATTGAAAAACACTAACAGTTGTCATTTCTGTGTCCGAACTCTTATCTAACTAATACCATCCAGTGACTCTGGCAAAATAATCATCAGTTCTTCCAACCTTGCTTCCATACCACTATTTCAGTTATATATATCTGAAAGAGTAATATTGAAAAATCGTGGTCACTAGAATAGACATATATCTGACTTATCTAACATATTGTCAAGGAGTACAAATGCCTATGAATTAACATCACTCAAACTCTCGTTCATTTCAAGATCTTTCATCATGAATTAACTTTTCCAAATTAAAACATCCAGTACATTGTAGTTTCGATCAGGTCAGCGGAGTTCATAGACGTCAGTTCCTTTAATATTGGCAAAAAAAACGCTTACCGTGCCATAATACCTAGGTAAGCAATATCGCAAAAGCAGTAAGCAAAAAGGTAACGACCATTCCCATTGCGGAAAATTGTGATTCTAGCCGAGTCGATATGGCATCATTCATTATTATCAATACAAGTCATTAGTGATTATCAATTGAAAATGTTCTCCGTCTTCCCGACTTCGAGCCTGCTGGTCAACCCCATGCTAGACATTGTAATGTAAGTACTGTTTTTTTAAGTGTTGTTTTGCGTTGTGTTTCATTTGGCAAGCCATTATGTTCTTTTTTCATTTCATTTATTCATGACCTCTTCATTTAATCAAATGTTAATTTTCCATGAAAACTGTCCGGTCTCTTTATTTGAGGATGAATATGGTTGGGTGGTGAATTGATCAAAACCTCTCGTCCAAAAGCCAAGCGAGTAGCTAAGTTAAGACCTATAGGAGGGCCAACATCTGAGTTGCGACATATCAATCAGTTTTTGGTTTTTCAGGTAACCAGCAAATATCCAAAGTTGGAAATTGAAGTGAGGAAATTGGAATACGAATCGATTATTATTGGAACTGCTTCAATAACCGATATCTTATGGTCACCAGAATGAGCCACAAAAGATCACAAAAGAAATGACGCGTTCCTGAAACGAAAACAATCCTTACTTGAATGTTCTTGTTGGTCTCGAAGAGGTCGTATCCCAAATGCATAGGCACGTCCGTCGGTATGGTGTGATAGTCCTCTTCGGACATATCGTCGACGTACATGGACTGCTGAAGGAGATCGTCGTCGCCTTGGAAGTGGTCGCTCTCGTCCACTTCGATTTCATCGTCCAATACGAGTTTCGCCATCTGAAAAAAGTTTAAGTGTCATGTGTTCATCGAGTCACACGATACAGTGGACGCCTAGCTAATACCGAATATCATGAGATTTGTTTGGGTGTTTCCTCTCTGGATAATGGAACACATTATCACCTGTGTGGAACCGTTGCCAACTAGTTTCGGTACGAATAGCTTATGACAAAAATATGGAAAAAGTTGAGTGATATACATAATAATTCACCTATTACACCATAAATGTCAGAAACTCAAACTAATAACTATAAACTTTCATAGCTATTCTGATCAAAACAAGAAATACAATGTGGAAAGTCCTGGCAACACCGCCAAATCAGTCTATCTTTTAAATGAATATGGTGTGAGTGAGATATCTAAAAAAAAAGTTTCACGAAGAAAATGTGATCCAATGTTTTTAGGACTGAGGATTGCAGATATTGCACATTTCACTTGAACCAATACTATGCGATTGGTGATCGAAGTGGATCACTCAAACAGAGAATGTCAAAACCACTATGTTTAGACACAAAATCACTAAGATTTGAGTTTCCCTGCATGTTCTATTTATGTTGATATTCGATGGTTGCTACTGCTCCTTGTTGTCAGCTTCAATGACTTTTAATTGAAAAGGAATATTCTCAGATATAATTATGAACAGAAAAAATGCATACATTTATACAGGTTGAGTCAATAGTGTGTTCTACAACACGTAAAAGCCAGTTTAATATCGCAGATACACACATCTATAGAAAACGTTCATTAATATTTTTATTGAATATATCAACAGCATGCTCTCGATTTTCTGCCCATGATTTTCACCATTCACTATTTAATTCCTGAATTTTCGGAGTTTAAGATTGTTGGCAAACTATTTCGTCATTTATAAATGATTCGAGTTTTTGGAGAATTTTACAAGTATATTGTACAGGTCAATAGTTTTGTTAAAATTCGTTAAATCTCAATATCGTGATAGATATACACAATATAAGTATCGTTAAGACTCATATTACGATATAGGCCGAGTTTGATAACCCATCGATTATCGTAATATGAATTTACGATACGAATATAGTACAATATTTTACCGACTACCAAAGATGATTCAATCAAAAATAGTGAGTATTCCTTGAATCAACGATTCATTAGGAATATGTAATAATCAAGGGTTGAGAGTATGCCCTACTTGTCGAGAGTCTATTTTGTTCTCGGTTGTCACATATTCTGCAAACTGCAAAATAAATCGACGACGTGAATCCCAGTGACGAAAGTGTAGATTCAGAATTAGAAATTGAGCAAATGAAGCAAATCAAACTTTAGTAACTGCTCTATCTACGATCAATTAGTTCTTATTTTTGTTTGAGTAAAAAACTGAAATACGAAATTATTTACAAGTGCGGTAAAGTATATCATTAGGATACTAACATCAGAGTCGTAATGTTTCACATTACATGTTGATAGTAGGTGAATATTATTTCACTAAATCAGTGAATATGAATATATTATTTGTATCAATGTCATGTCCTTGATTATCTGCACATGATTCCGCAGTTATCCCTACCATTCGTTAATTCATTCATGAATTTGGGACCTCAGGAGTATTGATAATAATATAAATATCATTATTGTAACACAAGTAGTGCTAAAATAATATCTCTCCAACAATTGGAATTTCAATAATAATAATAAAGTACTTTATTGAACATATGTAGGTGTAAACATATACAGTAGAATACAATCAAGTGGCCATCGACCTGAGTCCTTCAGCCATGGAATTTTAATTTTGTGCAATAGACGATATTTCGTGTATTTTGATTTGTGACTCCAATGAACAAATAACACTTAGTGAAGATGAGTTCTAAGTAATCAAATCCAGTCAAACAACAGTATTTGAGACTGTCAGTGAAAACAAGTGTACTGTACCAGGTGATTCAATAAGGGTAACCGAGAAGCTGTATCTCAGGAACTAATAATTTGCTAACAAAAGGTATGGTTCGAGAAAGGAAGGTTTGGTGAATAAAATAAAGATCCATACATACCATTCTGGTTCTTACCGCCCTCGCTAGGAGGCGTGTTTAATAAACTATTAGTTCCTGAGATACTTTACCTCGTCACCGTTATTGAATCACCTGGTATATCCAAAAGTGAAATATCAATAACCCCGTAAATTGTCGAAGATTTTCGAACCACTCTGGTATAAGTTTATGATCTTCATAAGCACACATTTCAATACCTGTCCGTCCTTATCTGCAAGTCCGTTTTTCGGCACGGCAGACTGAGGCAGTTCTTCTGAAGACTTCTGTCCTTGCAAGCCTACACCTGGTTTCACAGCGGGCGCAATCTTCTTCTTGGCTCCTTCTGGGGCGCCATCTGCCTGCGACGATTGCTCCTCTTCGTCGCTGTCGTCGAAGCCATACCGCGAAAAGTGTTCCACCTATTAGATTCGAATTTATTTAGACGATAACACATAAACGTGAATTGATTTTCTTTTATCCAATATATATAACTGTTGATTATAAAGTAGAAATCTATACTATCTCAAAGTGGAGTGAAATATGAATCAAGACACAAGATGCACTAACGTATCTCCATAAGACTATTTTGTGAGATATTTCTTGAATAACTCTTTATAATGGGGATGAAGTAGTAACTAATTCTTATTTCTCCTCAAGATAAAAATTATTACATTCTAATTCCGAGTCATTAAATCATGCTTTATACAGTGTGACGAAGAAAAGGTTGCACTGCATGGGGATCTCAAAAATTGATGAGATACGAATTCGGTTGAATTGAAAAAAAGTTGCGCATTCAGAGGGTCATACCAGCTGCCTTTGAAAATGTTCATGATTGTTTTTAGTTTCTCAGTTATATCGAGAGAAGTGAATTTTTTCAAGTATTTTTTTACTACGTTTTTATAAGATACAGGAAACCTGAAAATACTTTTCCATAGAAACTTTTGATGAGATTTAATGAAGTGATATTGATTTATCTACGCGACGTTTCGTATTTGTAGAACTATCATCAACTTTATAGGGTCCTGATTATGTGTTGCTTTTTTCATTATGAATTCAACCATTATACAAGGTGGTCAATGTTTTTTCAAAATTCTCAAAAGGAAATACCATCAGTTCCACATATTTCATATTATTCAGTGTTAAACTTGATGCAGTTATTCGATGCTGAAAAGTAAAAAAAATCACTAATTTATTGAAAAAATCAACTCAAATTGATTCATGTTAATGGATTCATACATAAATTACCTTGATAACTAAACTTTGACAACACAAACAGTAATTGAAAAAAATAACATTCTCAACCAATTTTTGGTGTTGAGTTGGCGGGAATTCGGTCGAAATGTTGAAGAAAACCAATTTTTAAATTGTCGACGTTTCGAATCTTTATTGTTTCTTCTTCAGGACACTCCAGGAAAAACAAGAACATAAATATTGAAATGATATTTTGAAATGAGGGATTTTGATAAAAGCAAAATAAGTTATGTAAAATAACAATCGTTGAAAATAAAACACTTCTCACACTTTACAGAAAACAACATTGATAGGTACTTACATTTAGGGTGGCTTTCCGGATTTAAAAATAGTGAAACAAATAAAATCAACATAAAGTATAAATACGTACACACAGGTTCATGAAAGACCTTAACACAGACACGAACATGCAGGAATGAACAAACTGAACTGTCGTTGAATCGTTTCTTTATATTGCAAAAAAGGCTTGTGAAAGAAATAATAATCGGGATTGGAAAAAGTCGCCTGCTGATGATTCGGAATTATTGAAATAACAAAACATGGAACAGAAAATAATTAGAAATGGCATAGCAGTCGGAGGAGGCCACGTAGAACATTTGATTTAAGTTTGCTCTCTTTATGTTGTTCTCAATTGTGCTTTATCGTTGAAATTGAAGCCTTATTATTAGCAGAAAACGAAAAAATAAATTCAACTTCAACGCCCTGTATCTTTTTACACAGCAATATTTTATCAAAGCATATTTGGTCCGGATAATCTGCCATTAGCCTATGTCCCAATAGTTATGACTCACCCTGTATAAGCAAGCCAATGTTAAGTTAGTTCATCGTACCAGTATATCACCTGACTAAGCTACGGTGTTAGCGAAACATGTCGTGTGTTTGAGAAATTTGTGGAAATCTTATCGTTCGTGAAGTATTTATATCTGTTTTATAAAGTCACTCTAGTGTGTAGTAATATACCATATATTATGTACTATTTCTATATATGGCTCATCGCCTATATGATATCTCAACAAAAATAGGACCAAAGTGAGAGGTACTTTCTGAATCTATAAGGACAAAAAGTGAAGGATGGATAATTTGAAATAAGTATAGCCATATTATCGTTTAATTTTTTTCCTGCGTCGACATCAACGCCTAGTGGTCGATTTCGTTGCCTATAGAGACAGAAGTTGGTCCCGCTTTGAGGACAGCGATGATTCATATATTAGTAGTAGATATATGTAACATACTTTGAACACCCACGAGCCGGTCTCCGGCCGGTAATCAACGAACTTGGCGTTCTTGTTCTCGGTGACCTTGCGCAGCTTCTCCGCGAAGTTCATCTGCAGCAGCTCGTCGGTGTCCTTGATGAGCGTGTTGGTGCCGGGCCGGCGAGGGTACACGTTGTCGAGGGTGACTTGCGCCCTCCGGTTCAATCCCTGAAACGGAATAGCCCGACTGACTAAAATACTTACATTAACATGTTGGAGCCGTGATATATAATAATAATAATAATAATAATAATAATAGATTTTATTTGGTTTGTGGATTGATGAAAAATTGAAATGGGACAAGCATATAGAGGTTCTGATACAAAAAATATCTCCAATCATTGGAGCTTTGCGAAGATGTCCTAAACTTGACAAAGAGGTCATAAACATAGTACTTCATTCTCATATACTCAGTCGTATTACCTATATGATAAACGTTTGAGGATCTTGTTCAAAAAATTATTTCAGTACACTATCTGCACTTTATAAGAAAGCACTGAAAGTATTGTATCGCCTTTCATTTGATATCCCAACAAATGATCTGTATGCGATAACAGAAAAATTTTCATTGGATGAATTATATAAAATAGATTCTCTTGAAGTTTCATATAATATAATAAACAATAATCTGAAATCCAATTTTGTTTTGGTAAGAAACTCAGAAATTCATGGTCATCACTCGAGACAATCAAACTTATTTCTTCTTGATTCTGCTACTTCTATAATTGGAAAAAAAAATTTACTCACGCTGCTCTGGCTGAATTTAATAAATTACCGCATAATATAAAAAATTGCAGAAATATTTCAAAATTTAAAATTGAATTGAAAAAACACATGATTTCATTACGAAATGAATAAAATTGATACTTTGTCATCTACTGATTAGTCCCTGTGACTATTTTTATGACTTGATCGATTTAGCATTTTTAGATTTTTCAGATTTTTGTAGTTGTTTTTGTCACCTTATATTATTTTATTATTGTTGTTTGTAATCAACTTCCTCATACCAGAATTTTATTTCTGACTGGAAGCTAGTTTTTCAATAAACAATAAACTATTAAAAAAACAATCAACTATTATTGACAGTCTAGTTAACTCGGTACATGCAATTTGAATTAAATAATCCACTGATCTGTTACACTCAACCTGTGAAAGAAATAAACTTATGATTGGGTTCTACTTTCGTCAACTAACTCAAAGACTAATTATACAGAGTGTTGCGAAATTCGACCGACAACGCTTGACAGGTGATAGCTTTCGTGATTTCATAATCACTGAGATATGGACATACGGTCCTCAAGTGTTCAGTTCTTGAGATACAAGGCATTGAAGTTGAGAAATAATAATAGTTTTTTCGCAATATCTCAGAATTGATTGAATATTTCACATTCAAATTCGGTATATGGTTTCATCTTTCAATGGTTCATTTTCGACAAGAAAGACATTCCAAGAATTTCATCCAGAGGTGCACTACAGGGGGTTGTGATAACTTTTCCTCCCATATTTTCCACGCCATTGATGAAATTCCGATTATTTCCAATTTCTCGAATCAGTGGCGTAGAAAATATGGGAGGAAAAGTTACCACAACCTCCTGTAGGGCACCACTGGATGAAATGTCTGGAATGGCTTTCTGGTCAAAAAATGACCCATTCAAATATGAAACCATATACCGAATTTGAATGCATTATATTCATACTTGAGATATTGCGAAAAAAACTTTTTCTATTTCTTAACTTTAACGCCCTATATCTCGAGAACTGAACACTTGAAGGCCGTATGTCCCTATCTCAGTGATTATGAAATCACGAGGGCTATCACCTGTCAAGCGTTGTCGGTCGAATTTCGCAACACCCTGTATAATTACTTATCATATGGAAATGATCATATTGAAGTGAGAATGAAAATGATTTCGTATTGCCAAGGTAGGTCTAATATTCTCAGTGATAGAAAACAGTTACAAATTGATATCATTTGAGAGAAGTTTTCTTTTCAATAGTTCTTGGAATATTTTTAAACTCCTTACTTTTGCCAGATCGGGAATTCTATTGTACAAGCGAGCTATCATGTAACTGAAAGAGGACTGGTATGATGTGGTTCTGTGCTAGGGTAAACAGAGCTTGGCTTTATATCGCAAGTTCAAGGCTTTCTGGTATGAATAACGTTGTGGAAAAGCGTGCAGGAGTGTAAAATCCTTCGTTGGTACATAATTAGCCAGCCTGTATTTTTTATGTATTCTGATATATGATCACGCGGTCTGAAACCATGAGACAAAATCAGAGTGTCTGATAGAATGATTTTACTCTTATGATTTAGCAGATGTCTCTTGGAAAAATTAATTTGAGATTACTGTATGCCCTCCGTAGAATCAGTGATATATGTTTGTTGTACCTCACGGTATTATCCATTATGACTACCAAATTTTTGGCAACATCTGTTAAACAGGTTCGTTGGCTAGTGAAATGTTTATATTATTCGAGCATCTTGAACGTGCACCTTTTCTACCAAATATCATTAGTTTTGACTTAGAGTGATTTATTGAAAGGCAGAATTTATTGGAAATTTCCAGTAGCGACTGGAGATCGTTCAAGTTATCGCATGCTATATCGCAGTTAGTCTCAGGAAAGGTTATGTACAGTTGGGTATCATCCGCGTAAAAATAGGAGTAACTGTACCTCGAGCTCTTATGAAATTCAAATGTATAGAGTATGAATAAGATGGGACCCAAAATTGATCCTTGTGGCACCCCATTTTCCACGCCTATCAAAGAGATATTTCTCTATCAGTTTTATGGCTAGGCTGTTGAAGCGTATGAAATGAAGAACAGCTAATAATAATTCGTGCTTAATGCGATCGAACGCTTTGGTGTAATTCAGTAGAATGAGCAAGTTTAACTGTTTCTGGTCTTGTGCTTGACGGATATCATCGGTGACCTTCAAGAGCGCAGTGGTACAGCTGTATCCCTTACGAAAGCCTGATTGTGTTTTTGGTAAGATATCATACGTATCTTGGTAGGCCATGATTTGATTACACATTATTTTTCCAAAATTTTTCGAGATTACACAAAGCAAGCTAATAGGGCGTAATGAACCATAGTCATCAGGATTCTGCACTTTGGGAATTGGTAGAATTTTTCCAGGTAGTAGACGAGAGAGATGAAGAATGGATATCGACCGCTGACACAGCTACTATCTAGACCGCTATATGTCATATCTCAGCAACCCGAAATTTAATGTAAATTGCTCAATGCGCAGGAACCCCCAAACTGTCGATCATGACATCGAGTCATGTCTCTTGGTGTTTCCAAACATAATTAAGAGTAAGATCTAATAACAGGTCCTGCATGCATCGTACCAAATTCGATCTCGAAAACAAATGTGCTCTGATCTTATGGCATTAGCTGTCTAGTTAGTAATTTAGGTCGGTGATATAGACGCATTGATAACAGAAGTGTACTCAAGACCACCTTTGCGGAAACTAAGAGAGAAAAATCACAAATAGTTTGTGCTGCAAAAAAGGTGGACAGAAGTAGCCGCTACACCAAAAACTATACATGAGTACAAATATCCTCATTTTTTATTATTATTTATGTATTTCGGTTGATATTCCATACGTTCTTTTTGATACAATTTTTAACCCATTGTGACCTGATACACTAATCAACACTTTGTCCAATACCATGAAATACAGGAGGTACAATTCATGTATTTACATTCGTGATTCATTCAAAGTAATTGTACATTATAAAATGTGTCATCGGCTCATATTTGAATATGACGAGGACTACCGTATCAGAATACCGCATATGTTCATTTTTTGTTTGATTTATCAACTCCGGAGGTTTTTTATGCAGATTCACTTGGGTATAAAAAATAGTTATTTATACACAAGGTAGTAAAGAATATCATTATCACCCAGAGACCAAGATTATATCCCGAGGCTTCAGCCGACGGGTATAAGGTCCTGTGGTAATACTCTTTACCACCAAGGTGTTATATATATTCGATATTTTTCACCACTAGCAATATATTCCATTCATTACAGTTCAGTGAAACTGCACTATGGACCTATTGTCACTATGAAAGCTCATTTTCAATTCTAATTAAAATCTAGTGGCCATGACCATCACTGCATATATGACAAGTCATTATTAATAAATACCTACTAGATTCAAGTGCCATTCCTACGAATCTCGCATCAGAACAGTGAATTCTGTTGGCTATGTCTTCATAGAATAGTAGTTCATAAAATTACGAAAACTACCTTTGTATAAATAACACAATCAACGCCTTGAAAAAGGGTAAATGATGGTAGGTTCTATAGATAGTGGTGGAAAAACACAAACATAAACCATAAATGACACGAAAACTGAAATCAATAAGAGTGAAAAACACTTCAATCTGTTCAAATCAACAACCTTTAGGTTGGGTACTAACTATTTACCACTACTATCAAGTTTACACAATATTTTTGATTGTCATTTACCACATGGATTTTTAGGCAACGACGAAATGAGATTCCTTCAATACAGTTATCAACCAATAATTTTTACCGGTATTATATTTAGGAATATTTTCTGTTCATATTTTAGGCATAAAAACATTTTGAAACATATTTGAACATGATTCGTCATGAATATTTGAATTGTCAGTAGATCTTACCTGGCCAACTGGAGGTTTCTTAGTGTCATCTGGATAGACGTTTATTTCTCGATACCTAAAGTACACGATTTCCTCAAGTTTCAAACCGCTGATGTCGATCTCGTCTGGGAAATAAACGTTGCCATAGCCTTTCCTGCCAATTGTGAAACCTGGAAATGGAGAATTCCAAGTAACAGAAACCAAACATATTGAAACGATCAGAAAGAAAATTTCTCCACTAATCAGAGTACTCTACAGGATCAGACACCAAATCACTTTGAAATACTTGAAATGTATATATTTTTCCTTGATTTATTCAAAATTACAATACTTGATGTCAGTTTGGGGTACAGCTAGCTTATCAATTATAAAGCCAACTAAAATCCTTCATAACAAAGTTATTAAATGTATACACAAACTAGATTACTTGGAACCAACAAGAAATCTTTATACACCCAGGCAATTGTTAGATATTAACTCCATTTACAAATCCAAAATATTAAATTCCGTCCATTCTGTCAAATATAATTATAAACAATCAAATCTGAATTTTGAAGTCAATAGTCATAAACACGAACACATAACCAGACAAAAAGATATGTCTACTCTCATTAAAATTAAATCAGATATGGGTAAAAGATCTATTTTATACAATGGAACAATTCTCTATAATGAATTACCTGCCAGACTGAAGAAAACATCTAGTGTTGAGAAATTCAAAAGAGAACGGAAAAAATACTTATGTCTGATTCTCTTGTATCATCCTAAATCAATTCAAGAACTGATATTCAACAGTCTCTAAAAAAAAAATACAGAGAAGTGCACAAAAAACGGCCAGGACTGTAATTTTTGAATTATTCGAGATATGGTTTTGAAAATAAAATGAATATGTGATTATCTGATTTCATTTTCAATTCTTTTTAGTTGCTCTTTCCCCTGCTATAAACATATAATTATGTTTTTCTGCAACCGACACAAAAGTCGTCCATTTTGATACCAAAATTAGCTCTTAAATTGACGTTTCTATTACTGACACAAAAATAGGTATGTTGCTAGGCAACATATTTAGTTCCTAGGAGCTAAAGTTGAATTTTAGTTCCTAGGAGCTAAAGTTGAACTTTAGCTCCTAGGAACTAAAAAGGATCTACTGGACGTCATCAAGAATAAACAACATTGTGACGGTTGGTTATTTGGGTTGAGAGGCATACCTAATTTGTTTCCGATTTCAGCAGATTTGGTATTTCATACCCATGCTGGAGATATAAATACACCTTATTATAGTTTAGTATTGGAATTATTAACATCTCAGTTAAGTATTTTTGTTTTGATCAGGGAAGCCTTCAAGATTCAAATACTTGCTTGATCTGTATTTCATTGGTTATTCTCAGGATGGATAACTTGTTTTTGGATAATCACGGCAAGCAATAGTTTTTTGTCTCAAACAACGATATTGTTAACCTTCATTTGATTATCAAGCGACAAACATTTTATTACGGAGAGGAAAAAATAATTGCTATTCTTATTGTTGATGTGCTCACTAACCTAACATTTTCCAAGTCTTGTTTCTATAGCTGGCACTGACGCGGTATTTGCCATTAGAGCACCTGGTCCATACACAAATATGTCACTCTGTGATTGTATTTATATTGAAACTACAATAATAATTCGAACATCCTTGAAAATTGAATGAACCTGCTGTTGATGCTGGTAGAATGTTCTCACCACACGGATTATTTTTCAATATTTGTTGCATTGCATACATATGGCACGGTATTGGTGGTAACTTCACATATTTATTTGAGTTATTTGTTTCGGTTGCAGAAAAAATAGCATGTTTCATTCGGATCAAAAGTGACTTTGTTCAACTCGCAAATTTTGCTTTCGCTCTCGGCTTCGCTAAACGCTCCGCCTCGCAAATGCAAAATTCGCTTGTCAAACAAAGTGTCACTTTTGATCCTAATAAAACAATCTACTATTCTTGGGAATAATAAAGATTATTAATATTATTAAGTTGGTTATTTCCTCCTTCCATATTAATTTTATTCTGAATAATGTGCGAGTCCCTGCGACCCGTCGTTTTTGAGAAAAAATAGATCGTTCCTATTGCAATAATACAATGTCGCAAATCTATTTGCTAGGAATATTTCATTTTAACAATCTTGTTCAACTAAAAAGCCTTTTATATACCATCTAGAATTACGCCCTTAAATATTTGCATATCATTAAGAAACACCCTGAATACTAGTTTTATCCACTGAAAAAAAAAAAAAGAATGTGGCGTTGGATATTCCAAAATTATGTACAAAAAAGACCCTCTTGTGGAAATTCAGTTTGGTATACGTTTTTTTTTTTTGAAAACATTAAATAGAGTTTTGAAATGTTTATTATTTGTTAACTGCTTAGAAGCTAATAAACAAAATGAGCAATAAAAAATAAATGTAGATGAGAGTCCTGCTAGACCTGGTCAGATTTGGAAAGGTTGATAATATCGAAATTGATGAGTCTGTCTTCAGTGTAGAAGAGCAAAAACCAAAATGAGGTTTTTGCTTTTCCTAGCCGCTACAAGGTTTATTAACACTTGACAGTTACTTATTGGAAAATATAGGTATTGGTATTCCTCCTCATCTAAATGGAAAATACAATATAAAATGAAACGGTTTGTTCCTGTAACAAGAATAGCTGTAAGAAGTATTGATCTAAATAATCATGCAAACCAAATGGAAAGATGATCAACAATTACAATAAGAATGCAAAATGGTTACTATCTTTGGAGGAAGGAAAAACAGTAATATGAGGAAACTTGATATAGTCAAACATATCAGTAACGAACCTTTGACGAGACAGGAACCACTCTCGTCGACGTACTTCGCCAGTTCTTCCATGCTCGGCAAGGTGTAGTATTCTGTTCCGGTCCAACTGACGGTGTGCGTTTGCGGTTCCGCTGCCGTCTCCGAGGCAGAATCGTCGTCGGCGTACGTCGTCATCGGTACAGACGGTGACTTGTTCCTTTCCATATCTGCAATGACAAATACAGAACCAAATTGAGAGAGAGAGAGAATATGCTTTATTGTCTAAAGATGTGAAATCTTATCGACAAAGTAAGTCAAAATAATAACCTTAAAAAGATAAAAATCGAAACTAGAAGTAGAGGAAATCACAACATTTAAAAATCTGTAAAAACTTCACAAACGATAAGATTTCCACAAAATTCTCGAACACACGACATGTAGTTTTGATGATAATTTCGAAATTCTACACGTAGAAAATAAAAGAATGAAACTCAATAATTTTGAATCATTAGAAACGAACAAACTCAAAATTTCTGACAATTTACTTAACGATCAATTAGAACTCAATAGTTCACCACTTTTGAATTTGTTTTCTTAGTAAGTAATATTATGCATTTGATATCAAGCCCTTCAAGTTAATCCGGTACACCGTATTTTAATGTAGATATTGTAGGCCAAACCAGGCGACCCATAAAAACAAGGTTCAAAGAACACATAGCCCATTTGAAATATGGCAGGTTAGATAAATCTTGTGTAGCCGAACATATCATGTTCAATCACAATCATAACACACATATTACTAGCATCAAATTAGTTAAGCAAGTTAATAATATTAGAAAATTAGACGCATATGAAAGCTTAGAGATATTTAAGAATAGGTCTGCAGGTGTCACGAATTTTTGCTTTGCACATATATGTTACTGCGAGTTTTTTCTACATAAAAACTGAGTTAATGAGATGATCATTACACACCGCCCAAAATGGAATTCCATACCTTAAATGAGATTCAACAAAAGAGTGATAAACGAAGAAGAAAATCCTAGTTCATTTGATGTGACTCTCGCCGCATAACATCCAGAAGACATTTTTTTGTTCAAAATTTCAACATGCTCATCAAATTTCAATCTGAAATCTATTTGAATGCCTAGAAATTTTTTATTATTAGTGTTTCCTATAACATCATCACCCATGACTAGCTTGTCTAATTCACCTTTAAATGACATCATATTAGTTTTTGTCAAATTCATCACCAACTGATTTAAATCACTAAGGCTAAACTCCCTGCTTCCACAAAGAGGGTGATGAATATCCCCCCGGTTCGCCGCGGGAGGGAGAGAGACATAATAATATAACGATTTCTCGCTCAGTTTTGTTTTGTTGCCGTGGCGGTATTATCCTTTGTGAATATCGCCATATCAATGGATCCAAAATCTGAGAACTGTATTCTGAGAGTTCTGAGACGAATGTTTTTGCATGAGTTTTAGAGTGAAATAACCTGAACTTTTGACACAGATTAACAAAGCTTTTTGAAGTTTGTTCCACAACTGTGCCATTCCTATTATTTCCATCTATATGCTGACATAATTATCGATCTCATGAATAGAATTGAAGAAATTCTGCTGAATTTGTATGTTTAAATTTTCAGGTCTACTTATATAATTAAAATTTAGTGACAAATTCTAGGCCGTTTCAAACTACTCTATTTATTTTTTAGTTCTTTTTAGTTCGGTTCTCTATACCTCTTCATTTTTTCAAACTACTCTTTATTTTCTACTCACTTCTTCTTAGTATGGCTATCTATAAAAAGGTGTTTCATCAGTTTTTCAAACTAATATTTATTACAATAGCTGATACCCGGCAAACGTTGTTCTGCTATATACAATTATTTCCAGAAAATATTTTTTTAGTTAAATATTTATCAACATACTTATATTCATTTGTTTTCTAATTCTTCTCCGACCCCGAAAACACCCAGATACAAATTTTGAATAGAATCGGATCATAACTACAAAACTCAGTTGCCATCCTCCATCTTCAATTTCCTTATTTTGATGAACAATCATAATCTCCCATCCCAAAATCCCCCATATACAAATTTGGAATGGAATCGGATTAAGTTACAGAACTCGTCAGCCATATTGAATCTGCCATCTTGAGTTTCCAAATTTTGATAAAAGGATCATTATTTTCGACTCCGAAAACCCCCCGATACCAATTTTACATAGGATCTGATCATAATAATTAAAAAACTCTTCCACCATATTGGATCCACCATTTTGAATTTCCCCATTTTGACAAATGATTCATAATTTTCTACGACCTCTAAAACCTCCAGATACCAATTTTGAATAGAATCTGACCATAATTACAAAACTCGTCCGCCATATTGGATCCGCCATTTCGAATTTCCTAATTTTGATAAAAAATCATAATCCCTGACCTCGAAAACCACCAGATACCAATTTTGAATGATATCTGACCAATCTGTTCTGTTCAGCACCAAAACATACGCTGATGCTCTTAGATTCCATCCAGAGAAGAGCCATTCGCCTGATGGGTGACGCCACACTCACTCACACTTTGACATCATTGGAACACCTTAGAAAGGTCGGCGACCTTTCACTTTTCTATCGATACTTCCACGGGAAATGGCTATCATCCCTCCACTAGCAATACCAGACGAAGTAGACAAGCCCAGTCAGCACATCCTTTCGTTGTCAACCTCGAAAGATGTCGAACAGCACTTTATCAAAACTCCTTCATCCATAGAACGGCTAGGCTCTGGAATTCAGTGCCCGAGGAAGTATTCCCAACAACATATAATCTCCAGAAGTTCAAAAAAAAACTCCAATACCTACCTCCTGTCCCTATCCTCCCTAGGAACGCACGATGTCCTTTGAACATTATAGGGATTTCCTTTCGTGCGCTCCAAGCGATAAAAAAAATAATTACAAAACTCGTCCGCCATATTGGATCCACCATTTTGAATTTCCTTATTTCGATGAAGAAATCATAATCTCCGACCTCGAAAACCCCCAGATACCAATTTTGGATGGAATCTGACCATAATTACAAAGCTCGTCCGCCATATTGGATCCGCCATCTTGAATTTCCAAAATTTGACGAAATATTCATAATCTCCGACCCCGAAAACCCCTGAGTACCAATTTTGAATGAAATCGGATAACTATACTCGGTCGCCATATTGGATCCGCCATTTTGTATTTTCTATTTAAAAAATAGATTACGACCGATTCTCATACCTACCGAATACGCACAAAAAATTTCATACGAATCGGTCGAGCCGTTTCGGAGGAGTTCGACTACTATGACCGTGACCGTGACAGGAGAATTTTATATATTAGATTTGTTCGTCTTACAAACACTCGGAGAACCTCCCCTTGAAATATGCCCAGATAATTGAATAATACCCTCTGTATTATCACGTCGCCTAGATTTCATAATATGTCCGAGTAATATGTATAACATTGGCAACGGTGTGAACGGGTTTGAATTCATCATCTCTCCTAAGCGCCATCTGCTTGCAATACAATGCACCATTCCTCTCTGCCGCAATCTGTCATTTCGAACACTGCCATCTATCAGGTAGTGCCTGAACTACCACATCCTAGTTTCCTGCATTATATTCTTTCAAGAAATGGAGTTTACCGAGATCAGCTGGGATGAATGGATATTTTGTTGACAGAATAATCGTTTTTGTTGCTTCCTGTCCGAATGGAAACATTTCAAGAGCTGATATTTCAGTGACACCTCGCCGAATTTCCAACAATTGTACTGAGATCGAAAATATTTCAATTTGAGACAAAAAAATTTCAATGTTTACGTTTTTCAAAAATCTGTATCTTCTATAAATAAATGAGTTTCGACTCCGTATGATAATCAGGCCCTAGTCCCAACCTTCTTCTTTACGATGATTTAATCAGTTTTTCAATTGAATCATTCATAAGCCCAAATAGCAACAACTAGTGCAGGCCTGCATGTCGATTTGGTTGAAACTCTCCTCTTAATTACATTGACTCATGAATTGCATGATATTTAGGTACGCTCTGTTTAAATTGATTTTACAAAATACTAATAAATGTACATATTGGTACTAATATATGTATAAACCAATAAAAGACAATACTTTATTTATTTTATTTATTTATTTATTTATTTATTGAACAAATAACTTCCAGACAGAATAGGCTCTGGTATAAGGAAGTACATAATTATATACCTATAGGTAAACATATCATTATACAAAATATATCAACAACTGTAAATTGACAAACAAAGAATAATATTTGTAAAAAAAAAAAAAAAAAAAAATGGCATGTTCAATTTTATCCAGTTCGCTCAGAAATAATCAATTTTTTCACTTCATTTTTGAATGAACCTATGTTTCTGCAATTTTTTATATTGTCAGGTAGTTTATTGAATTCAGTTAAGGCTGAATGAGTGAATCTTTTTTGTCTGTTATAACAGTTCGTTTCTTACGTTCAATTTTTCATTCGTTTTGTATTTTTGTTGTACATTTTTACTATTCATTCCTATTCTCTATATACTCAAATCAAAGTACCTATGTAACTGTATTTTGTGATATTTGTGAGTACTTCTGAATTGAGAATCAGGAATATGATTATTTTTGTTATGGGAATGTTAGTTTTGTCTGTTTCTATTTTGTTACAAATAGGTTACTTTTCTGTTGTCTAGTACATGAAATTTTGACGTCATAGGTTCATTTCATTATCCTAGATTTATTGAAATCTACTGTATTTTTGACAAGGTATCAACTCATGGAATAAAAATCGAGCTGGCTACCCTGGTCCGCGCGGAGAGTGGTACAATTGTACATTGTACCAGTATATCACCTGACAAAGCTGTGTTCGCGAGACATGTCATGTGTTTGAGAATTTTGTGGAAATCTTATCCTTTCTGATTTTTTTACATTTGCCATGGATTTCCATTAAGTAACGGCCGAGTCAAATAAAACTTTCATGAGTTGTTGAAGAATAAACAGGAAATCAGATAATCATGAATGATTGCATCAAATATCATTTATGCTCGAAATAATCAATATAACCTAGGTATGTGGCATAGATTCAACTACTCTGTGTATGCCAATTTTTAGTTGAGAGTAAGTAATACGACCAAATGATGTTTTACACGAGAGATGCCGAGACGAAATGGAATAATTCATAGTCATTTCGATCGAGGACAATTTGCTATCAACCAAGATGTGCGTAACTAATATCTTACCACTGTTGTTCAATCGATCCTTAGCGGAATGATCGAAACTCAATACCAACGGCGCCGTTCTTATTTTACTCTGTGAACTATTGAATTCGCCTTTTTCCTCATCTTTGCTGTTCTTATTTTCGCCGCCAGGAGATTGAATGAGCTTCAAGATGTCCGTCCTCATGATCCCAGGCGAATTGCCTTCCCCAGGCGGACGATTTTTCAAAATCAGTCGACGACAATTCGGCTTGATGTAGTCGGTGGGAGTGTCTTCGTCGTTCGCTTTCGGAGAGAGGCCATCGAACAAATTATCCTAGAACAAACGACATCGGATCAAGTTGTGCGGTTGTTGGGGAGCATGGCTTTCCAAGATAAATGTCATGTATACAGGGTGAATCATTGGGAAATGCGCATACTGTAAGGGTAGATAGATAGATAGATAGATAGTTTATTCATTTCTACAGAGTACAAGGTCTGAGAAAAACGTCAAAATACAGAGTACTTAAAAGAGTATGGATACAAGCAAAAACAGTAGGTAAAATACAGACAAGAAATAATATGACGAAGTACTTACTTAAACAGTATACAAATATATATACAGGGTGTTTCATAATTGAATGTCAATATTCGAGGAGGCGATTCTTGGGCTCATTCTAAGAAGAAAGTTTCATATGAACGTATGACCTAAACGTCCCAACTTTTGAGATACAGGGTGGTAAAATTCTCGAAAATTAATATAGCCTACTACAATGAGAAGTTATAATTCGAAAATACCAAATACGAATACAAAGTTCATGAACTATGAATTGTATTTCTGAAATTTGATCTTAAAAATAAAAACTATTTCTCTGCATTGTGATATTGTCATATTAACAATATCACTATAATCATGTAGTGAAAAGCTTTTTATTTTTAAGCGAAAACCGTGCATCAGATTGAAAAAATTGTAGTGATCAAATTTGCTTAGAAATGATCGGGAATTTCAGGAATGATTTCAATTTGGAGATCAATCAGTGGTGTACCATCAATGTCTGCCAAAATAGGTATGTGAAATTCCATACGAACGCCACTGGTGGCAACAACAAAAAATGTGGTACGCTAACTGATGCCTCTTGATACATAGTACATGTATGCCGAATTTCATCAGAATATCTGAAGTGGTATTACAGATATTAATAAAAAACTATTGATTTTTGAGAACTTTACCACCCTGTATCTCAAAAGTTAGGATGTTTAGGTCATACGTTCATATGAAACTTTCTTCTTAGAATGGGCCCAAGAATTGCGTCCCCAAATATTGACATTCAATTATGAAACACCCTGTATATATAAATCATTAATGATGATTAACATTAAATAATAATAATAATAATAAATACACTAGTTGGCAACAAAATAATCATCGACACAATAAGGTTCCATATCTATTAAATAGTTTTTGAGTGATCGCAATAGGCTTCTAGAGTTCTCAATGGTTTTTATTTCATTGGGAATATTATTGAAAAACTTTATTGCGTTGTAAAGTGGGCCTCTCTCAAACATAGTTTTTGTATGTATGGGGTAGTTATAATCATATTTGAACCTAGTTCTGTGAAAATGAGTCTTTTTATAGTTGTCAAAGTACTCTTTATGCTTAAGTAAAAAAGTTATTGATTCCAAAATAAAAACTGCAGGCACTGTTAATATGTTGTTTGATTTGAAAATTCCTCTACATGACTCATCATAGGATAAACCAAATATTATTCTTACAACCTTTTTCTGGCATTTGAGAATGTTTTTCAAGTTGGAACAACCTCCCCACGTTGCAATACCGAATTTGATTCTAGAAAAAAAGTTAGCATAATATACCGAAAGCAAAACATTCGTGTTTACATTTGGTTTCAGAACTCTAATGGCATACGTTATAGAAGACAATTTGTTGCACAGTATTTCCACCTGAGTTGTCCACGTCATGGTGTCATTGATATGAACTCCCAAAAAACGAACAGAGGAACTGCATTTCATTTTTTGATCATTTATTTCTATACTATCTGGCTTGTGTATTTTATTGATTGTCAGTAACATGCACTCAGATTTTTCGCTATTTATGATTAATTTGTTCTCATGAAAAAAACCCTAAGTTCTACTCATAAGTACGGAACCCTTATCCACGACATCAACTAAATTTGGACCTCTCAGGACGAAATTGGTGTCATCAGCATAATTAAGAATCTTTATGGTATCATCATTGACTACATTTGTTAAATCGTTAATGAAAACTATAAAGAGTATTGGACCCAGGATACTGCCCTGCGGAACCCCCATGGACGTCTCTAATACACTGGATCTAACTGTTGCCAGATCTGTAGTAATTTCAACTATCTGCTTTCTCTTTTTCAAGTATGTTTCTAACCAGCTGTGAGCGTTACCTCTTATGCCGTACTTATATAGCTTATCAAGTAAAATGTCATGGTCTATGCTATCAAAAGCTTTTGAGAGGTCCACGAAAATTCCGCAGGACAGATCACCATCATCCAATGCTTCTAAAACTTCAGTGGTAAAGTGAAATAATGCGGTTTCTGTTGATTTATTTTCTAAGTATCCATGTTGATTTGGTGAAAACAACTTGAAATTTTCGAAAAACGATATTATTCTTCGAGCCATCAGGATTTCGAAGATTTTTGCAAAACATGTTAGCAAACTAATAGGTCTATAGCTAGAAAGATCACCTGTGTTGCCCTTTTGAAAAAGTGGTTTCACAACAGAAAATTTCAAAATTTCTGGGAAAACACCCTGAGAAAAAGACTTGTTTACCAAAAAAGTCAAAATTTCTGAAATTTCATGTGTGCAGGCCTTCAGGACATGTATTGGTACATCATCAATTCCAGTGCTTCTTTTGTTTTTCATCTTCCTAATAATGGATGTTACCTCATCAGCCGTTACTGGTTGTAAAAAGAGAGTTTTATTATGGAATTTAATCAAATTAAAGAAATGATTAGGTTCATCAGGACTTGATCGATTCGACAGTATAGTAGGTAAGCACATGCTTACAAAGTGTTTGTTGAACTGTTCAGCTTTATTCAGTGCATTTTCGGTGTTGAAATGCATTTGATTTTTTGGCTGCACAATTTCCTTCACTGTATGCCACATAGCTTTCATTTTATTATCTGATTGAGTAATTAAGTTTTCATAATATTGTTTTTTTGAATTTGTCAAGAGGTTATTATAATTGGCTTTCATTCTGTTGTAAATTGTTTTGTACTTAGCATCAGAATTTGATAAAGTTTGAAACAATACTAGTTGATCTTTCATGTACTTCATCTCATCAGATATGAACATAGTTCTGCTTTTTCCAGTTTTAATCAACACTTTAGGAAAGTTGACATCAAAATGATAAAGAAAAATACGCAAAAAACAAGAGTAGGACTCACAGATGTTCTGACAGCTGTATACGTCTTCCCATGTCTCTTCTCGTATTTGCTGACAAAAACTGGCCACAGTCTCATTGTGGTATTTTCGAATTTCCCTGTACCTACAATTTATTGTGTGAATCATATTACCTTTCAAAATTATCCCTAAATGATCTGAGATACCAGTGGGGACAACAGTCCCTGACTTATTCCCTTTGAAATTAGTTATAATATTATCTAGACACTTTCTAGACATCGGTGTAACTCTAGTAGCTTCTAGGATCGTTAGCTCTGCACCAAAACTACTTATAAGTTGTAAGAATTCTAAGCAGTCATGACTCTCTTTCCTCAATGAATCGATGTTAAAATCTCCAGCTATGAAATATATTAGATTTTTATCATTTAAAATGTTGAGCAGACAATGCAGCTTATTCAAAAATACATTGACTTCACTATTGGGAGTCCGGTATACACACACTGCAATAAAATTGAAATTTTTTGCTTTGCATTTGACGCTGGAACATTCAAATACTCTTTCTTCTGATAGATTATTGATTTCTTCCAGAGTAGTACTTGACAGTTTGTTTGATACATAAACAGCTAAACCTCTCTGCAGTAACTCGAAACTAGAATATAATTTGGAATATTGAAGTACTTGATATTTTGATTTGTTTGCCAATGCTCAGTTATGCAAATGACCAAACAGTTCAGTTCATAAGCCACCTGCTGTAGCAGATTTAGGCAGTTTCCAATGGATTGAACATTATGATGGAATATTATATTTCTAACACCATCGTTGTTCACTTGGTCCACTAGATTAGGGGTCCCTATTGCAGTGAAATTGTTCTCCCCGGTATAATTTCCGCGTTCAGAGGATCCACCGGCTTCTGGGGCAAGATCCTTCGCTTCGCTAAAAAAATTGAGACTAGAGCTCCCTTTGGCCAGATCTCACACCTCCATGCTTTCCTAAGATTTTCTTGGCTGATCGTTACTTTCATGGAAGCATATACTTCAGGATATTTAGAGTTGTGCTTCTCACACATCACTTCTGGAAACTCCGATTCTAACATTTTTCTAAGATCATCCGGTTCAGTATTTGGCTTGAGCCTAGTAACATGTAAGCAAGCTGATTTTGGTACAGTACTGATAGTGTTATTGCTGACATTGTTTCCCACAACAAATCTTCGTTTCTTCTTGTAACTGACGTTATGCCAGTCATCATTTTTCTTCTCATGATGATTATCTAGATCTTGCACTTGTTGCACCACACTCGAGGCAGTTGCTTGGTGAATTGCTGTGCTTACTTGTTTCAGATCGAACAGTGGTAGGTTATTTAATTTAGTTTTATCGTTGGTCGAATCGACATTTTTGCCACTGGTATGAGTGACTTTGTCACTACTATTATTATTGTTATTGCTGACTTGACGAAAAGACGAGGCGCCCGTTGCCTGCTCCGCACTATGATTAGGCGCTCTTACCGTTGGTCTCGTAGTCACTTCCGCGAAGGTTTGTTTACTAATTCGCCCAACATTACTTTCTTCTAATTGTTTCATTCTTTGCAGTAACAGATCGTTGTTCAGTGCTAGGACTTCATTTTTATCCTTTACCTCATCCAGCAACTCTCTAAGATACTTGTTTTCCATTTCAAGCAGCACTTGTTTGTCTTCACTTTTTGACGGCAGACAGCACATTATTTTTGTTTCATCGATTATTTTAAATTCTTGATATCTCTTGGCACAGCTTTGATGATAAATTGAAAAACAATTTATGCAGACACAGACTGAGCACTTTTTTGTATTACAACATTTCATATTTCCACTACTTTTACAACTTTTTCCTCCATCAGTTTCAGATGGAGGTAACCGGGGTGCTTCTGAATAATCTATTCATCCACGACTGATGTATAAAATATTCATAATACATGTACTTCCTCAAGCAAAACGGTAGTCATTTTCCACAACAGTGAATAATAGCAGTGAATAACCATAATTCACTGGTCTAGAGTTCCTAGGGTACACGATATTAAGGAACTTTAGAAAAATTGAATTTGATCTGAATCAGATGAAGTATTGTCCTTTTTGGCTTATACATATCATTAGTACCAATATGCACATTTATTACTCATTTTGTGAAATTAATTCAAACATGGCGTGCCGAAATATCATGCAATTCATCAGTGTATGTGATTAACTAAAGATTAATAATACTATAGGGAATTATAAAGATAAAACATTGTCAAAATATTGTTTAGTAGATCATAAAATGTTCCAGTAGATCAGTAGATCAATATGCAAATCAGGAGATCTACTAAAAACTCAGTAAAACTGGCAACCCTGCAGCGGACGAAGTGTTTGCGGACGAGAAGTTAGTGTCTGCTGACGAAGTAGTTGCCTTTGGAAGAAGTTTTTCATTCGGAAATCAGAACGTAAAATGTGACTTTGTAGAGGCCGACGAAAAAAATGATGAACACTGAGTTGTCAAAAATAATCTCTAACAATAACATCACTGAATGAAGGTCAGATTATGATAGTAACAATGAAATGACCGCACATATCAAACATGATGTACCGCAAGGATCAGTTCTTGGACCACTGCTATTTTTACTGTATGTGAATGACATAGTTCTTTTAGACATCAAAGGTAAAATCACTTTATTTGCTGATGACACCACTATCCTCTGGCAAGATATGAGTGAAGCTGTACTGCACACAACTGTTATGCACGATATTGAAGTAATTAAAGACTGGTGTAATTCAAATCTTCTTTCGCTCAATATAAAGAAAACGAATATTCTATCCTTCCATTGCAATCTACCAAATTTAGGTATGGGAAGCGATAACATAGAAAATAAATCATCGACCAAGTTTTTAGGTTTATACATTGACAAAAAACTAATATTCGATGAACATGTAACATTAATGTGTAGAAAGTTAGCCTCTGGATGCTTTGCTGTTAGAGCTATTGCTGCAGAATTAGGGTTTGTGCCTGCTAGAGCTGCATACTTTGCCCTCATCGAATCTCATTTGAGATATGGAATTGCATTCTGGGGAGTCTGCAATGATCAGCTATTCCAGAGAAGTTTTGTTTTACAAAAACGTGCCCTAAGATATATGTGTGGAGCGAAATCAAGAGACTCATGTAGACATTTATTTAAGAATGCTGGCATCCTCACAGTAGTTGGTTTATTCATCGTGGAAACAACGGCTCTGATACAAAAAAACATAGCTTCTTTAGAGCTTGTTTCATCACATTACAACACAAGACAGAACGGACAAGTTAAATTGATAAGACCCCGTACCACTATGATCAAAGACTCCATTATTTATAACGGAATAAAGATATTCAATCATTTGCCAAATCACATCAAAGAAATTCCCTGTAACAAAAAATTCCGGACTAAGGTGAAAATGTTGCTCGTTCAGACTCCACTATACAACCTCGAGGAATATTTTTCACAGAGATTCTGAAATTATGTTTTTCTTCTTGATTAATTCTTAAAAGGATCGTTCTATACAACATATATATACTCTAGAAATATTTGACTATATCTTTATAGAAGCTCTCACATGTGAGTTTTATTACAATATTTTATATGTTTTATTATTCATTGTCTATGTTGTTTTTTATTTCTTATTTTTAACTAAGGCTTTATACGAGCTTTTGATTGTATATTTTGAAATGTATTTTAGAAAGCTTCACATTTTGAACTGCATATTGTTTATTATATTTCATTTAAATATGTATACATATGTACGAGCTTTGTCAACAAATACGAATGTATTTATGGCAATAAAGCATATATTGAATTGAATTGAATTGAATGTGTGTAAGATTAAGAAGTTCCGAGACCAGCATCACGTGCTGATTTGGAATCATTAAGATCAGATTGTTAACAATGAAGTGGCAACTGTTTGTACCAATTTAAAGGTCCGAGGTCACCAAAGCGGCGATTCCATACATCAAACGAAAGGGGCGGAGTTGCACATCTGTAAGGTTTGTTTATCTATGGTTTGACATTGACGCTTACCTTCACACTCTTGATCGGGACGACTTTCAGCTTGGAGCCCCTGGATGTGTCCACTTTCTTCGTGGCGTCCAACAAGGACTTCAGCTCTTTGGGATCGGTGGCCGACACCGACGGAGGGCTAGTTTTCACTTTCGGCTCCAAACCCGCCAAATGGGGAGCGTTTCCGAACGGATCGGTGGTGAACGACGCCCAGTTCGTTGAATTTTGATCAGCGGACGGGAAGAACCTTGAAAATAAATAGAAGATGGAAAAACTAAACAAACACGCTTTCATAGCTAGCCCAATTGAAATGGAGTAGAAAATAATAGTATATTACGGAGCGGCGAGCGTAATTCCATGAGTGCGTAATTGCTTTACAACACGCATTACATACTATACTTTACCTACTGCCATATAGTACATCAAGAAATTGAAAAGGACTTTTCTCAGATATATTTATGAACACCAAAAAATGGATATATACAGGGTGATCCACGTTGGAGGGCCTATTAGAAGTATCTGGAGAACGAAAAAATAGAACATTCTGAAAATTGAGATGCTTTGATAATTGAACATTCTCTATCGGTCTAAAATATTTTCATCGATACAGTACTGCCACTTCTATCAGAAACAAGTAGCAATTCGTTATTTTAAATGGAGCACCCTGTATCCCTCACACTTGGGGTCTACCAGGAATCATTACAGAGATATAGGAAGTTCAAAATCGAGATTTTTCAATTTTAGGATTTTTTTGTGTCGAAACTATTCATTATCGATCAGTACGGCTTATATGTGCCTATCTAAATTTCGATTCACTATCTACTGACATTTAATTGGAACAGATACAAGGTGATCAGAATTCTGAATCTTGAAGCACCCTGTATTTTTTTCCAATTAAATTCCAGTAGATAGTGAATCAATAGTTGAGATAGGCACATGTAAGCCGTTTTGATCGATAATGAATAGTTTCGACACAAAAAAAAACCTAAAATTGAAAAATCTTTATTTTGAACACCCTATTTCTCTGTAATCGTTCCTGCTAGACCACAAGAAGTGTGATACATTGATGAAATCAGATCTGCAGGAAGAATCTAAAAATGCAATAAATTACAGGGTGTTCCATTTGAAATAACAAAGTTGTTAGTTGTTTCTGATAGAAGTATTTTAGACCGATAGAAAATGTTCAATTATCAAAGCATCCCAATTTTCAGAATGTTCTATCTTTTCGTTCTCCAGATATTTCTAATAGGCCATCCACCGTGGATCACCCTGTATAAATAAAGAAATACATTGAGAATTCGCATTCTCCATGTGATGAAAATATTAATTCTTTCTAGGTTTATTCTACAGGAAACAACTACTTTCCTGGCTATATGCCACGACGAACATTGAATTACATCTATTGAACACACACGATAAGAATTTGAAAACAAAATCTTCTGGCTATTTGCCACGTCGAACATTGAATTATATCTGTTGAATATCCAAAAAAGAGCATGAAAAATGAAAATCTTCTGAAATTGGGAATTGACATCATCTCTCAAACGGATAAAATAATATTATGTATTATGATATAAGAATATAACTTACCAATATGTTCAGTATTGAAATGAAAATTGAAATGTATAGGAGAAGTATACTTGTATGAACTCTGATCTTGATGAGCTTAGAATTTTTCGTTCGATTTTAAGGTGCTAAAATCAACAATAATGCCACGGTAATTTTAAAACGGCTAAAAATTTACCGCGACTGAAAAGTGACGTCACGATTTTATACGTAGGGACAGACCATAGCACAGTTGCCATTTGTTGAAATACGATTGGAACTTCAGAAATATCAGTTGATTCAATAATTCATAAATTCTCAATTTTGTATTGGTTATATTCCTAATTAGACATAAAAAATCAATTGACTCAAAATATTTCCTCATCTGTTGTGGCTTATTGCTCATGATTCATTTGTGTTAATAATATTATTATTATATGAATTCACACTAGACGACATTTGAGGGTAAACGTGACAATAAGGCGCACAAACTGTGAGCAGTGCCTGGTCAGTTCTCAGCATTCAGCTCATTGTTGCCAAGTCATCAACATGATATTTTGTTATGGCGTATAAGAGATATTCGGATATGCTGGTTGCTCGTATAAGTCATGAACGAACCGTAATATCATGGCTTCCTCATATTATGGTTTATTCGACGTATCGCCAAATGGCGGCCATGACGGTACGTTTGAAATGAGCTCTGAAATTCAACTATTTAGTACAAATCATAGACTTATTATTCACATAAAAAAGCGTGGGAAGTGTTGCATAAATTAATTCAGGTTCCTAAGGACACAGTGGAGTAATTGAATGCCAATTATTCATCATCCGACCACTCGCCCATTGTCAAGATCCATAACTATGGACTGTATTGACTTAATTAAAAGCTGGGTTTGAGAATTTCAATTTTTCTATTCATTTTCTTTTTGTTTCCTCACTAATGTTAGTGTTTATTTCATTATTCCTCGATTGTACGAACAAGATGACTCCTCAAACTATTAAGGGTGTCCCAAAATTAGCCTGCCAAACTTCACCAGCTGCTTTCACGACCAAAACTATACCTTTTCGACTTCAAATTGAGACTAATCATTTTCAAAATGGGAATAGTCATATTCAAATTGAGACAAAATGATTCGGCGTGGATTCAACACATCCAAATTGAAAATAAACAAATTCAAATTGAGACTAATCACTTTCAAAATGGGAATAATCAAATTCAAATTGGGACGAGATGATTAGGCACGGATTTAACAAATCCAAATTGAAACTAAACAAATTCAAATTGAAACTAATCAATTTCAAATCGGAACTGAACAATATGGAATTGTTCAATTCGATAGCGAACCTGTTGATGATACCAAACACGAAATTCAATAAAAACAGAGTTGTCGAATTTGTATTTTTACTTATATTGAATAATAATATTATAGCTTACATGATATTAATTAACAAACGACTCTAAAGAATACATTTTCATGGAAAAAAAATTCACATTATCATATCGATTAAATTCAAAGCATCAGGAATGAATCTTTGAACATGGGCCACATATCTAGCGCAATTATTAATATTAATTGAATTAATGTTTTCATATGTATGATGTTTTCCAGTTGACGAAGACGATACTCAGTTTGAGTTATATTTGCCCTATCTTCTCCAACTAAAATTTGCGGCAACTGCACAGATAAATCTCGCTTAACAGCAGCTTTCAAACTGGACCATGCTAGTTCAATGGGATTGAACATTGGACTATACGGACTCAGCCTCAATAATCGGTGATCTGTAAACTCTTCCTCTCGAAATACCTCTTCTAAGTCAGTATGGCAAGGAGCATTATCCACCACCAGCACTACAGGCGTCTGGTACATATCTCGAGCAGTACGCAAGCAATTGCGAATGAATTCTTGAGCATCTTGCTTTCTGAAAGCACCCCTTTTTACTTCGTGGTGAATCAATCCCATATTACCTATGAAACCTATGACATGGATATTTGCCCCACGGCTACCAGCTGAAATGTAACTGCAACGGGTTCCTTTTTTAGAGCGTCCTTGTCTTCGGGAAATAAATAAATTGAAGTTGGTTTCATCCATGTATATAATTGGAATGTTATCCCCTTGATAATTCAAAAGCTGCTGTACATAATCACGTCGTCTTATTTTATTTTCTTCGCAATAGGTTCTCTCGGGTTCTTTACGAATATCTTTCAGTGTATACAACAAAAAATCTAAATGTTTTCGTAAACATTCAGTTGAAACAATAATTTGATGGATTTCCTCGAATTTGTGTTTCAGTTCTTTCAATGTGAGCCTGGGGTTTTCTTCAATATACTGAACAATAATGTCGTGATGTTCTTCAGTAATTTTGTTCCTCCTTCTTCCTCCCCGTTGTTTTTCTATTTCGTCCCGATTCTTTACCCATCGATAAGCCGTTGCTTTTTTTACGCCGAGTGTATCTGCCAGTCCCCTCCAATCACCATTATTATTATACACTGCACAAATTTGGTTTCTAATATTGTCTGCATCCTTTTTCTTCATGTAAGGCATATCAACTATATAAAATATCAGGTAAGATGAATGATCGCTGATAATTAATCTCGATTTTGACACAATTTTGACAATTCGAATTTGCAGTTGTCGTTTCCCAATTTGAAGTTGTTTGGTCCCAAATAGAATGAGTTTATTCTTATGTTGATTGAGTTAATCAACTTGATAGTGTTAATCCCCAATTTGAAACTGTTAATTCTAAATTTGAAAATGATTATTCTCAATTTGATTGTGTTTATTCTCATTTTGAATTTGTTTACCAATTTGGATGTGATTAATCCCAATTTGGAATTGATAAGTCTCAATTTGAACTTGAAAAGGTATAGAAAGAAAACTTTCAATGAACATGAGTCGAGAAATGTCTCCTAAGGGAGCTACGGTCACCTGAAAGGGGGCTCCTGAAGATGACATTTCTTGAGTATTTCCGAAACTCCATGTGATGAAAAGATGCAATTTGGTACAAGAACTAAACTTTCTATGCCCAATGTAGTGAAAATAGAATCATTTGAAGATTTCAATCAGGAGTGTATAATAGGGTGGGACTACATCAAATATTGTTCAACATATTTTTGTATGCATATTTTTCGCAATTTAATCTCGGATTATGAAATTTCGCACCTCTTCACAGAAAAAATGTATTCTTGTTCCGTGACGATCAGATGTATTGTTATCGAGTAAAAGCTATTTGAAAATATTGTTACATCTCAGATATTATTCAAACCATTGCAATGAGGCGTAGTGGAAATGAAAAAAATATGCACAAAAATTCAAGTAGTTTTTTCATTTTTCTATTTTTCGCGCTTTTATGAGATTGTTCGGTAAAAATAAAGTATTTGATTTTTTAATAGCCACTATGATTTAAAAATTGGCAACATTATGTATAAGATGTGAGTGCATCAATATTTTTAAATCGATTTTACTCGAAAATGATCCATCTGACAAGAGCACCTTTTTTTGGAACGGTGTGGATTTTCATAATCCGAGATTTAATTGTTAAAAAAAATGCATATGAAACAGTTTGAGCAATATTTAATGTAGTCCCCCCCTGTATTAAACACTCCTGAATGGAACCCTAAAATGATTTTATGTTCAACGCGTTAGACATGGAAAGTTTAGTTCCTGTACCAAATTACATCATTTTATCACGTGGCGTTTCGGAAATATTCAAGAAATATCATCTTCAGGAGGCCGTAGCTCCCTTAGAAGACATTTCTCGATTCATGTTCATTAAAACTTTTCTTCCTATTTTTGGTCGAAGAAGCCGCTGGTGAAGTTTGGCAGGCTAATTTCGGGACACCCTGTATATAGGTAGCCAATTGTGTATTGAGCAGTATAAGTTGTTTATAGGCTGATGACTACAACTCAACCTTTGCTTAGGTAGCTCAGCCTTTGAAATTGCCTTTGTACGATTCAATGTATTCAACCTATATGTAAAATATGTAAGTACCTGAATAAATTTTAATCTCAATTTTCAATTTTGAGTTCAAAAGTGGACGGCTAGAATGAACATTTTTTCATTGTGAAAATTCTTGAAAACAAGTTGTCTCAAGTCGAAATTTTTGCTAAAAGTCATAATTAAATGATCAAAAACAGTAAATCATAACAAAATGAATGAATGAACTACTTACGACTGTTGCTGTTGTTGCGGTTGCATCGAAAGGCCTTGATTTTGCTGAAAACCTGTGTTGGTATTACCGAACAAGCCAGTACTACCGGTGTTAGAAAATAAACCGGGTTTATTTGCAGTGTTGCCCATCAAAGAATTACCTGCAAAAAAATACCACTGCACATCAAGGTTAATCACTTAATTTTACAGCAAAAAAATTAGGAGAAAAACTTTGAAAACAGGTGATGAGGATGAAGTTTCTAACTTTCTTGAGTAATTTTCAAAGGAAAAATATAATTCAAAGAAAATTCCATGAGGAGGGACACTAGTAAGGATTTTTGTGTATCAAGGGTGGAACTAAGTTTAATATTTTCTGCTCAAGTTATCAACACTAGACAAAAATTCGGTTAGCTTGAATCTTGTTCTTAGAATAAATTGGCCTATATGAAAAGACATACCAGTTAGTCTATCATACGCCATTTTGAAACTATATGCTGCCATTTTACCACAAAAGAGTAGGTTTTCATCTCATATTCGAGCCCTCCAGATTTCCTTGTGATATATCAGGTAGTTCAAAAATTAGTAGGAGGGTGGACTTTGAACGGGCAGTGACATATTAAAACTACTCTATTTTGGGCATGTTCAATCAGTCTTACAATATGGACTAGTGTTCTGGGGGTCATCTTCACATGCTGATAAGGCTTTCAGTGCACAGAAAAAAATATTGAGAACTATGTTCAACGTCATCCTATGTCAACATGTAGATATTTGTTTAAAAAATCACAAGTACTAACATTGCGTAGTTTATATATACTTCAAATAATTACATATGTTGAAGGAAATGAAAACAATTTGAAAAAAAATTAGGACTTACACTCGTATGACACACGTATGAAAGACAATATTTATCAGAGGTATTCTCGACTTCAAATTTTGCCACAATTCACCCAACTATATAGCAGTTGAGTTATACAATAAGTTTAAATGTATCTGTGATGAAGAATATACCAATTGTAATATGTCCTTCAGAAACAAACTTAAACATTCATTAACTGATATATTTGGGTCAATATCATTCATCATTGACAAGTGACAATGTATCATTATTTTTAAAGTATTATATCATTATCAGAAGTAAACATATTTATAAATTATTCAAACTATTTTTGAGATACCTACTACTCACTTTTTAAATTAAGAAATGGAAGAACACCAACTTGAACAGTCAATAACGTTGAAAAAGTTGTACATTTCATTCGAAATAGCAAATCACACCACATCATTATATTTATTTATCCAGTCCATATGATTCACTCTAGGATGAAAATAACTTTCTGAAAATCGTGGCTTTATAATTGTACTTTGTAAAGTTGAATGGGATGAGACAAGTACAATCGAAGTTGAATCAAACAAATCATCAATCATTGACAGTAGTACTGTTAGGAACATTTTGAGATGATTTTTGTTGAGCCACCGGAGCGGCCGGAGCCAACGATCATGCAACCAAAATGTAACTGTCCATTTATTATGATCGAAAACAAAAATCCCAGCTGACAGAAATCTGAACGGTTAACCGGTTCGTTTCCGTGAGAAATCAAAGGATGAACGGCCTTCGCTTTATTTTTTGGTGGGGGTATAACCGCCCTATTACCGGTGGCTGATCAACGGGAACTCGCGAAAAAATACCTCATGTTCACAGATGCGGGAACTGAAACAGTTCCCGTTTTATATATTGTGACGTCACTGATGGCGTCATTATCATACTCCCCTATTACCGTTATGACGCGAAAATGCAACGTGAACTGAATATCAGTTCCCGGCAAATCAACGGAATCTCGCGAAAAAATACCTATGATTACTGACGGTTATAGAATTGACAAGTGACATTGTATCATTATTTTTGAAGTATTATATTGAATAACCATGTTCACAGGTACGGGAACTAAAACAGTTCCCGTTTTATAAATTGTGACGTCACTGATGGCTTCATTATCATACTCCCCTATTACCGTTATGTCGCAAAAATGCAACGGGAACTGAATATCAGTTCCCGGCAAATCAACGGGATCTCGCGAACAAATAGTCCATATTCAGAAAAAGAAGCCTCACTTCACTTTCAAAAAATGAAGCAATTCCTTCAAGGTATATGCATAAAAATAATTGAAAGAAAAGCTTATCCTTCGAGGGGTTTGCTTCAAAGTAAAAGGTTTCTCTTTGCTTATTTATAAAAAGAAGCATTCGCTCAAAACAGAAGGATGTGCTCCTGAAAAAAAAAGGAATCTAGGTTCACAACAACTATTCATACTCCATTCAGAAGCTGCCCAGCCATCACACAGCTTATTGTAACGTCACATTTGCATATTTTAAAGAGTGTGGACGGGCTTGAGTGAGCGATCTTTGGTTGTGTAGTCCCAGTGCTCTGTTTGTGAAGAAAATACTACAAACCAAGATGCACGCCACGTGAATCAGATTCCAAAACTTTATTCAGATTTGAGGAGGATAATGTGGTGTTGTTTGGCGGACCACTTTTTTGGGGAGGATCCCGAAACTCGTGGTGCAGCCCTGTCACCTGTGATGAGAATAAAAGTATTTCTGCGTTATTGCACGAAAACTGGATTCCAGAGCGGAATTGCTGAAGAATTGGGATGTAAACAGCCCACAGTGTCCAGAATATTTCATGAGGTGTTTGAGTGGATTGTAAAACAGAGCAGCGAATGGATACGGTATTAAGTATAAAACGAATAAACTATGCTGTCGCAGAACATACAGTGTGTTCCACTTACCATGCTCACCATGGGTATCTTTTTAACGCTGAGAGATACGAGGTCGGTTAAATGACACCAAATGTGGAGTTTGTCAAGGCCAACTATAATGTGAAAAAATATTAATATAAAATCAATTCGTTTTTGTGTTATACGCAAAAAACAGATTCTGATCATTTTCATGTCTCCTCCATAACTTCTTTATTTATGAAAATATTCAAATAGGAATTTCACATTCTCATGGCAGTTTTTCAAAGTGATATCGAGAAAAATATGAAATTTATACCAACTCTTCTAGAATTTGAGATATCAGCACCAACTTTAGTTTTTCAAATGTAGGTCATAGCCCACCATGACTTAGTTACAAACAACTTCTTTTTCTCTTACAGATGATATGTCGCAGTAATAGTTTTGTGTTGATAACAACGGAGTTATCGTCATTTATACAAAAACAAAAAATTATTCGGAAGCCGCCATCTTGAATTTATAAATTTCAATATAAAAATCATGATCTCCGACCTCAAAAACCTCCACTCACCAATTTTGAATGGAATCGGACCAAATCTTGTCCGCCATCAATTTAAAAAAATGGCTGCTCCAAGATGGCGGACAAGATTTGGTCCGATTACATTCAAAATTGGTAAGTGGGGGTTTTTGAGGTCGGAGATCATGATTTTTTTCTTATAATTTATTAATTCAAGATGGCGGCTTCCAAATAATTTTTTGTTTTTGTATAAAGGACGATAACTCCGTTGTTATCAATACAAAACTATCACTGCGACATATCATCTGTAAGAGAAAAAGAAGTTGTTTGTAACTAAGTCATGGTGAGCTATGACATTCATTTGAAAAACTAAAGTTGGTGCTGATATCTCAAATTCTAGAAGAGTTGGTATAAATTTCATATTTTTGTCGAAATCACTTTGAAAAACTGCCATGAGAATGTGAAATTCCTATTTGAATATTCTCATAAATCAAGAAGTTATGGAGGAGACATGAAAATGATCAAAATCTGCTTTTCTTTATAAAACAAAAACGAATAGATTTCATCAACATATTTTTTCACATTATAGTTGGACTTGACAAACTCCACATTTGGTGTCATTTAACCGACCTCTTATCTCTCACCGTTAAAAAGATACCCATGGTGAGCATGGTAAGTGGGACACACTGTATATAAGCGTTGATCCGTTGATTGCACACTACAAGTCTCAACCTGTCATAAACGCTGTACATTTTCTCCTTCTTCTCTTGTGAATATTGATTTTCTGACTCCTTGCCAACTTCACCAGATCCGGTTAGAGCTATACCTTTTGCTTTATTTATCGGAAGCATTTACTTGCAAGGAAGAGGTAGAGAATATGAATACGAATTAAAGCAAATCCTTTTACTTCTACCTCTTGCTCATACCTTTCACTTGAAAGTAAATGCTTCATTTTTATAAATATTGACTAATATCTAAAGAAAACGATTATATCCGTTACCACCGATACAAAAAGGCCAGCAGACTCTGACGTAAACAGGTCGTGACGTCGCCAAGTGAGGCCAGTGTTTTATTTTATCGCTTGTCGACTAACGCGTCAGTTCGTGTTAATTCATCGGTGATTCACGTATGTTTTTGAAACGGACCCGAATTCTTTTGTTGTTTATTCATCAAAATAATTGGCGGAAAAATTCCTGTTTTGTGAAATATTTTATGTTGTGATCGGCGAAATAACAATGCCTTTCAAGTGTTGTGTTCCCTTTTGTCGGGGGAATTATGTGGGTGGTTCAAAAGTTCATGCTTTTAGTTTCCCGTTGGACGAGGAGCTATCGAAAATGTGGGTAAGTATATGCAATTCACCGCGAGGATTTTACTCCATCTAAGTATCTAAGTTCAGTTATAAACAGAGCTTAATTTATAATGATGAATTAATAATAGAAGACAATTACTCTCTCATAAAAAGTATAAGTAGAGGAAAAATAGAAAAGCTTCGATTGCGCAGTTAGTTTTGTATTCCTATATTATAGTCAACAAAATCATCTCTGAATTCGAGGAAATTTTCTTGAATGTTCATAATAAACAGGCATTTTCAATTCTCATTCTCAAATTTCTTTCTGAAAACGGTCATTTGCCTCGTGGCGATGAATGCAGAATTCATTCCAATGATCAAATTGCAACTATCATATTAACATGAACTACAAACACTCTACTCAAAAAGGTAAAACTGCATTTATCATGATATTTATCATGAAGATATTTGACTGAAAAGTTCCAAATTTCACCTTCTTTTTCACCTGTCATCTGGATGGCATTTAGAACAAATTTCCCTTCTTTTTTCATCATATTGGACAATTTATACATAATTCAACTATAAATATGATTTTTTTGAGATTAATCTATATTTAGTAAAAAGAAGGAAGAATATCATTCAAAATAATGGCGTAATTGACATCTCGTATTTTGATTGACTATTGATTAAATGGTCGTCATCTGGAATGCTTGTTCACTAAATATGAAAAACTCGCCATAAAAATCATATTTCCTGTTGAATCTTCTAAATAAAAATGTGCCATCGAAGTACAACATGAGTATATAAAATGTCCAATGACAAAATAAGAGCAGGTAGCTTCAAATGCGTCCAACACAAGGGGAGAAAGAAGGCGAAATTTCGAACTTTTTCTTGAAATATCTCAATAAATAGTGGTTTGTTCACATTTTCATCATAAAATTCGGTTTATCAGACAAAAATACGTGAGTACCGAAAAAAATTTTCAAAAAAAAAAAAAACATCGCATGATAAATGCAGTCTTACCCTTAAAGATTACGGTTTCAAGTGTAACGATCCACTTGGGTGAAAAATCCAACAACAGAAAATTGAAAACACTCACTGGTTATTTTTTCAGGTAATAGGAATTCTCCAAGATAAATATAGGTAATTGTAACAAACGGCATGTCAATCAAAATAAAATACATTTTCCACAATTTTCTTTCGATCAATCTCACGATAAGTTTATGTTCTGCGGGCCCTGTATAAGTAGGTGTGAAGTTTACCTTCACCACAATTTTTGCCAATATATTTAATTCGAATGGGTTGCTGTAGGTGGATATTTGTGTTTTATCCTGGTTTTTGCTTTAAAACTTCGTTTTTCCATAATAAAATCGAATGGGGTGCGAAGAAGCGCTCAGTTGACGACTGGCATCCTTTTTTAACCGGAAGCCCTTCAAAAAACAGCAAAATCGGCTCAATGATGATCTAAAACTAAAATCGAAATACGCGGTCGCCTTATAGCGCTATGAGCGCTTGTCGTTTCGAGCCGCTGGTTAGGCCTGACTAAGTGACGTCACCCACGGAGCATGCAGGCCTTGTTGTATCGGTGGTAACGTTATATCCCACTCACCCAAAGAATTGCCGAAGACGGACGGCTGCGCGGTCCCGAACCCCACCGCCGCCTGCGCCGGCTTTCCAAAGGCGTTGTTCGTCGCGAACGGAGACTGCGCGAACGGCGTCGTCGTCTGCTGCTGGCCGAACGCCGGCTTGGCCTGCTGGCCGAACAGGCTCGTCGTCTGCTGCGGCTGCGCGGCGGCGGGGGCGGCGAACGCGAAGCTCGAGCCGGTGGCGGCCGGCCGGAAGCCGGTGGTGCCGAACGTCTGCGCGGTGCCGTCCTGCAAATGATAATAATAATAATAATAATAATAATATATGCTTTTATCAACTGCAATGTATATACTCAATAGTACAATTGTATGAATAGGCAGTTGCCCATAATATAGAAAGAATGCAGTCAAAAGGCAGAGTTAACGCTTACTCGTATACATGGGTAGTCCGAGTAAGCATTCTCTTCCACTCAACCTACAGTATCACAATGATATTATAATAATATTATAACAACTAATGAGGTGTACTAGAAGAAGAAAAAAAAAAGGAGAAAGGATTTTGACATCCAAATGAACACTGGTATGATATTATATAATACAATATTTTTATTATGAATTCAAAAATTAGTGGCATCTGTTGAAAGTATATTTTTGAGTTTCCTTTTGAATGACGGCAGCTCATTTCGTTTGATTTCATCGGGTATCCTATTGTAAAGCCTGATTGTACAGGGTCATTTCAAGAAGGAAAGTTCATACAGGGTGGCCCACTTATGTTCGCTCGGACCATAGCTGCTAGGCTGATGGAGATAGAAAAAAAAATGTCATCGGAAGTTATTGGAGACTTCACAAGCTACTCTTCGAAATTATTTTCTAGTATACAGGCTGCACCATGAATCTGGGGTGAAAGAATCGATCTTTTTTTTTAAATGGCACACCCTGTATATTATTTCATTTTCGGAATCTCTCTCATGTAGGCTTCACACACCTATTTTGTTTTTAAAGATCAGATGCGACGTTGTCAAGTTATTAACATTTTAATAAAATTTTACGAGAAAACATGAATGTTGAAAAATATTCAGGGAAACTAAATTTTCCAAGATTTAAGAACAAAACTGGGTATACAGATACTAAAACTATGTATAGAAACTCAGACATTATTTGGGTTCACTCAAAACATACAGGGTGTTTAAAAATAAGGACCGAATTTCGCTATTTTCAAATCGCCGAAACTCATTTTTTTCAAATGTTGAAAAATATTCAGGGAAACTAAATTTTCGAAGATTTAAAAACAAAACTGGATATACAGATACTGAAAGTATGTGTAGAAACTCAGACATTATTTGGGTACACTCAAAATATACAGGGTGTTTTAAAATAAGGACCGAATTTCGCTATTTTCAAATCGCCGATACTCATTCTTTTCAAATGATTGACCCTGTATATTATTTCATAATTTGAAAGCTTATCCAATGGGATTTTCGGTGAGACCATATAGACCGTATCCAACGTTTCTCTTCGATAGGCGAATTACGACGAATTGAATGGATTGAATTTGGAAGAAATCCTGTTCGATGAGGTGTTTGAAGTGTCTTTTTTCATGTTTTTCGAAGTCAATATTTGATTGTTTTATTCAGATAGCTCAATTCACGTGGATAATTATTGTTTATCACTCTTTCGTGATGAATGAAAAGTAATCACTGAAAACAGATGAACATCTTGACAGTTTCTACAACAAGATTCATCAATTACATTTCAACCGAAGTTTTAGTGACATATACAGTTGTCAGTTTCTCTTCTTGGTGTAGCACATTACTGTTTGGTAATGAATCATTCAAAGGACGAAATGATATACATCTTGGGTAAGTGTCAAAAGAACTGTCTTTTGGCAAGTAGAGTATATGCCCAACGATATCCTGACAGAAGACGCCCAAAAGATGACTGCTTTTCAAATCTAGCTGATAGATTCAATAGTAGTGGTTTAGTGAATTATTTGAAACATAAAAAGCGAGCTACTATTTTAACCGAAGAGAACGAGATGATGGTAATGAAGGCTGTGGTTGAAAACCCGAATATAAGTAGCAGAGAATTGAGCCAATATGTAGAAATATCAAGAACTTCAGTACAACGCATAATAATGAAAAATAAATTTCATCCATTCCATATCCAATAATTACACCAGGAACTTCTACCACAGGATTTCAATCGCAGAATAGAACATTGTAGGTGGTTAATTGAGAAGATCAATACTGACAGAAATTTTTCGAGAAAGGTTCTTTACACTGATGAGTCTACATTTAACAAGAATGGGGCAGTGAATCGTCATAACTATCATTATTATTCGGATCAAAATCCTCATTTATTCAGAACCACTTCCCAAGAAAGATGGTCTTTGAATGTTTGGGGAGGTATGTATTATGTACCACAAAATGTGTTGAATAATATGTGGTTTTAACTAGACGGTGCATCAGTACATTTTGTAGCACCAGTTCGCCAGTGGTTGAATGTGCGTTTTCAAGATAGGTGGATTGGTAGAGGAGGTCCAATACACTGGCCTGCAAGGCCGCCAGACTTGACCCCTTGCGATTTCTTCTTATGGGGCTATGTTAAGAACAAAGTGTAATCGGAACCAGTAACAACGAAAGAAAACATGAAGATGAGGATAAGGGAAACTTGCAAATATAACACCAGAAATGTTGTCAAAAGTAAGGAATTCGATTAAACATCGAGCTCAAAAATGTATCCAGCAGAATGGAAGACATTTTGAACATCTCATGAACTGATATGTTCCATGAGTTTGAACATTTCTCATTGTCAGATGAATTTTCTCTATGTTTGTTATTGTTTTTGAATAAAAATGTACAGTTGAATTGATTTATCATTATTTACCTATCGAAGAGTACCGTTGGATACGGTCTATATGGTATCACCGAAAAGCCCATTGGATGAGATTTCAGATTAAGAAATAATATACAGGGTGATCCATTTAAAAAAAATGAGCTTCGGCGATTAGGAAATAGCGAAATTCGGTCCTTATTTTAAAGCACCCTGTATATTTTGAGTGAACCCAAATAATGTCTGAGTTTGTACACATACATTCATGTTTTCTCGTCAAATTTGATTAAAATGTTAATAACTTGACAACGTCGCATCTGATCTTTAAAAACAAAATAGGTTTGTGAAGCCCACATGAGAGAGATTCCGAAAATGAAATAATATACAGGGCGTGCCATTTAAAAAAATGATCGATTCTTTTACCCCGGATTCAGGGTGCACTCTGTATACTAGAAAATAATTTTTAAAAGTTGCTTATGAAGTCTCCAATAACTTCCGATGAAATTTTTTCTCCATCTCTATCAGCCTAGCAGCTATGGTCTGAGCGAGCATTAGTGGTTGTTTCACTGTCACTGCGTGTCCGTACTCTAATATACAGTGTGTCCATTTAGTGCGTAATTCTTCGATATCTCCAAAGCCATAACCTATAGAAAAAAACTTGAAAGGGAAAACTTCTTCAGTTACTCAAGTTGCTTATTTCAAAAATATTTTCAACATTAACGGGTGTTTTATGAAAGCGGGATGACTCGGAGACGAGTTTTTTTAAATGGAACACCCAGTATTGTTTATTCGGAATTTATTCCGCCGAGGTTTACTTTCACATCGATGTAAAAAAAATTGAAATCGGTTACGGTGTTGCCAAGTTATAATTGATAAATCTATTTTTACCACTATTGAAGAGTCATGTTGAATTGGGCATGGTATATTCATTTATTCAAATTATGAAAATATCTTTGCCATACGGTAGAAGCAAGGTCTCACGTATACAAATTCAGTAATTTTGCGACAAGTTCTTTAACAGGGTACTCTATTTTGCATTTAGAATTTCGCAAGATTCAGATGGCATTCATTAGAATTTTTCAAATGGAACACCCTGTATTTTTTTTCACGAATTTATTCCGACATCTTTCACATTTTTGTCGCTGCAAACGAAATCATAATCGGCTGAGGCGTTGTCAAGTTATGGATAATTTCCTCATTTTTACTACTATTTCGGAGTATAATTTTTACGTCATAGTTCTTTCATTCAAATAATCAAATTTCTTCATTGACCATTCATATATTTTTTAACAATAGGTACATTTGCACGCTCTCCAACTTTGAATTTAAATCAGAGTGGATTTGACAAATTGATCCAAAATGCTTCTTTCACAAATTTTTTTGCAGACAACGAATTAATTTTCCGAAATACACTTTCATTATTCGTGTAATGACCTGTCAAACATGGCCACAATCAAATAATATCTTGAATTTATTCAATATTTTGTTGAATTCCCTCCCGAAACCCGCGTAGTAAAGAAATATTGTTTGTATCATTATGTAGAGTTTGCCTTCTTCAAGTTTGATGGAGATTTGGATTGTGGGAATAACGACAATAAAAGTGGTCCAAATTTCAATAAATTGTCCTTATTCTCGCAATTCAAATCTCCATTGTTTGTATTGTAGAAGTTGTTTTAAAGGCAGGCGTTCTGCTTTTGGCATGTTTGTTTCACATAGGTACATATTATTTAAATCATAAGTAACAAGATTACGGAATATTTCAAATTTTGACAATGCTTATATCGCAAAGATACCTGAAAGATCTATCTAGAACCTCGAATGTCATGTGGCAAGCAATATTCCCACAATCAAATAAAATAAAGGAACCATGCCTCATAAGTTGCCCTGAGATAATGATAAACATAAGGAAATTACTCATAACTTGAAAACCCCGCAACCGATTTCAATTTTTGTTTCAGCGATGAAAAGGCGAATGATGTCGAAATGAATCTGTGATGAAAAATACAGGGTGTTCCATTTGAAAAATTCTAGTGAACGTCGTCTGAATCTTACAATATTCAGAGTGTAAATTTTAGCACCCTGTAAAGGATAATCTTGCAAAATTACTGGATTGTTGTACTTGAGACCTTGCTACTACTGTATGCCAAAAATCTTCTCAAAATTTTAATAAATGTATATACCATACCCAATTTAACATGACCCTTCAATAGTAGTAAAAATGGGTTCATCAATTATAACTTGGCAACGCCGCAACCAAATTCAATTTTTTTTCACAGCGATGTAGAGCTAATCCTTAGCGGAATGAATTTTGAATAAAAAATACTGGGTGTTCTATTTGAAAAAACTCGTCTCTGAGTCCTCCCGCTTTTATAAAACACCCAGTATTGTTGGAAATATTTCTGAAATGGAACCTTTAATAACGGAAGAAATTTGTTTCCAAAAGTTTTTCTCTAGTGATAATGGATTCTGAGATATCGAAGAATTACGCACTAAATGGACACACTGTATACCAAGCAAAATCACTCACCTGTGGCTTCCCAAACATGTTCGTCGTACCGAAAGCGGACTGCTGGGTGGTGGCGGTGGTGTTTGTTCCGAAAAGGGGTGTGGCGCTACCGAAGGGTTTAGCTTGATTGCTTCCGAAGGGATTCGCCGATTGGGTGTTGGTGCCGAAACCGAAATTCGTTGTAGAGCTTATAGGCGCGCCTAAACCTACGGAAAATTCACCATTGAAAAAACAATCGGATTACAACATTTGGGTCCTATTTTCGTCTTATTGAAAATCAGGACAAAATTGACGAGACAAAGGGTGTTTCCGAAATTGAAGCAACAAATAAAATGTATTTTCTCTGTGACGGGAAAAAAGTTTGACATTTCATCTCTGTTGACAGGTTATAGAATGTCACTTTTCAAAAATTACTTTTTTCCCGTGGGAAAAAAATGAGTACTTTTTTCCCGGACACTCATAAGTATGGTAGATATTTGATTCAGAATATTTTATTAAACGAAAGTTACATTTCCTTCATACCAAAAGTACAATTATTGAATGTGCATTGCATGAATGACACGTTCCTTGAAGTATTCGGAACAACAGTAGAATTTTCTCGTGTTCAAATTATATTTCTTTCTGCCATGGATATAACTGCCGTTGATGTACCTGGTTGCAAATGGGGTGTTATTTCGGCAATGCCACAAGTTCTGAATACTTTATTAGCTATTTCTGTTCTGTGTGATTCCGATTCATCAACATATCCTTCAGCGACCGTTGATGACTTCCAACCGCCATGTTTCTTCAGTGTCAGCAAATCTCCCCCAGATTCAACTTAAAGTGTAGCAGACGATCTTCGAAATTAATGACCTGTATATGAGGTAGCATTTTCAAGTTTTAGAAAACTAGCTACTGTTTCAGGTACCTTATAAATCTGATTTTTACCCACAACTTGATTGATACATTTTCCATTGCGATATGCATAAAACAGGCGGCGATGCTTTGCTGTTGCTGGACGCAGGGCTATGTATGTTCGGTAAAATTTAATATATTCTTCAGTAACTACAAATCTTCTGTCCACATCATTCTTTGTTTGCTTGAGTTTCACAATTAATATCGTTCCTGAATCTTCAATATCATCTGTTACCTGGCTGATTTCACAAATTCGACAAGCTCCTGCAATCCCAAATACAACAACAACTTTGGCCATTAAATAAACTTCATCAGGATCAAATTCGCCAATTTGTGTACTCGTGAAAATCGCTGCTTTCTTGGGTTTGTAACCTTTCCCATCAAATCAAAAATCAAACCACAGAATTACATTGACAGAATATGACGATAGAATGACATAGCAACAAAGATGCCCACAATGGAGGTGTAAAAAGTACAAATTTCACATTGATAATTTTCTGATTATACGTAATTTCTTTTCAATATTGAAGCGTCTTTCTTTCTGTCACAGAAAAAAATTGTGTATTATACACGGGAAAAATATTAGATTTTAGCACACGGTTTGTTGTCTTCCGCTACGCGTCGGGAGACAACACAACCTGGTGCTAAAATCTACTACTTTTTTCCCTTGTATAATGAATAACTATTTTTCATTTTGTTTGTTCCTCCCCTATTTCCAAATTCGTTAACGAATCCGATTTCCGAAACACCCTGTACATTTATACTTTGCGAAAAACACGGTTGATGTTTTATGTGAGCTAAAAATTAATTACAAATTGAGAGTATTTATGAATTGTTCAGTTTAGTTATCAAATGATAAGGATTGTTATATTGTTCTTATTATGAATAAGAGAGTTTATCACCTGATGTCTATTGTTTATATGTCATGTTGAAATAAGTGTCTCAACCTGGTGTTGAATTTTATGTTGTCAATTTCTGTTTTCAGGCTTAAAGTGTGTTTGAAATACTGATAATATCTACTAGTCTCACAAAGACGTATAATTATGTTACAATACATTAAGGTCATTCTATTATCGCACCAATACAGACATACTGTCATGGTCATTATTTAATTAACAAGAAGAAGATTTTATGATAATCTAACCTCCCTCTGCCTGGCACTGAAATTTTACAATGATATTATTCAAATTGACAAATTATTTGCATCTGGAGAATTTAATTATTGTATTCGTGCAAGTTGTGCAAGTAATCAATCATGTCCCGAAATAAGAAAACAACCAAAATCCAGATGAAAATGATCGTAATCTTTTATGGAAAAAAACCCGATTCAAGCGAATAGCTGAGTGAGCTTTCCATCAGGAACTCCATTGGATCGCTGGTATTTCTGATGATATACCGAAATTGTAGTCTTATAGGTAATTCCTCGACAAATTGAAACAATAAGGAAAGGTTTTCCAAGTAGTTGATTACACAAGTGAACTTCTGATGTTCATAATCATCAATTTCCAAAATTTTCAATAATTCCTCTACAAATGGAAATAATAAGGAAAGGTTTCAAGTAGTTAGTTACACAAGTGAACTTCTTATGTGTTTTTAATCACCTATTTTCTAAATTATCAAACCCTTAGAAGAAATTGAAGTGCAGAAACACAGAAACCACTGCCATTTTAAACCTTGTTATGAGATAGCAAGCACAAAATTAAAGTTGCCGAGATAGCAAAAAAGATAACATATCATATTGCCAAAATTTGATGATTAGAATTCCAATTTTTCGAATCCTGCTGTGACAGTAATATCTTCTCTTCAATCAGATATTTGCAAACAGAATCGACCGGAATATACACATTTTAGTTCATTTATTAATTCAAATCAAAGTACACAACAGAATATAGTGAAATTACAAATGGTACATAGAGTATAAAGTAACAGAAAAAACAAAAAACATGTTGAAATCATAAAAAAATATATTAAACGGACAATAGTTATTATAATGGTTAGTTACTTTCACACAAGATACAAGATACACCGCAGCTTCAAAGTTGCTTGTGATTTAAGGCGACTCAGTGGAATATTGAAAATATCAAGGGAAGCAAAATGCTCATTGTAATTCTTCTGAAGTTTAGATGTGAATGCAGTGCTGCCATAATTAGTTCGGTGATCTTGCAAGAAGAAAAACTGTCTATTTCTAGTATTAGCATTGATGAACAATTTTTTCAGTATGTCAGAGCAATCAATGGAGTATTACAAATTTTGTGCAGAAACGTCGAAAGATCAGGGCAAGATAAAGTGGCGACCAGATTATACTGTTGTATTCCAGAACACTACGTACAAACAATAGATATAATGTTTTTATTGATTCAATATTGGATATATTTTGAGTATCTCTTTTCACAAATCCAAGCATTCTCAAGGCCTTATTGTTAATACTATTTATGTGGTGATTGAAACTAAGGTCTTTGTCAAACACAACACCTAAATGACTTATATAATCAACAGATTGCAAATTGACATTATCAATATAATAATCACATACAATTGGAATCTGTATTTCATAAAAACGCATCACCTTGCATTTTTCAACATTTTCAACATATCCAGTAAATTCAGTTCACAAAAGTTACAAAACTTCTCCAAGTCTTGTTGAATTATCTGGCACTCACTCAAACAAGTTACCTCTTTATAGAATTTGAGATCGTCAGATACTATGGAATTTTGAAATAAATCACTAACATTATTAATGAATAATAAGAACAGCATAGGACCGATGTAAGACCCTTGGGGGGCTCCAGAAGTCACATAGATTGGATTTGATATACTGTAAGAAATTTTTACGTACTGTGTCCTACTGCTCAAATAAGATTTTCTCAGTGCTATAAATGACATCCACCTGGCAATGGTTCCACAAAGCTATACCCGCCGCATTCATCCGTATTTGACTCTAAGGATTTTCAGCATATAACCAGCACCTACTCATTGTTTTTCGGTCTGAGCTTCTACCAGCCGTTACCCCCGATACTAACAAGGCCTGAAGACTCGTAGTGAACAGCTCGTGACGTCAGCTAACTGAGGCCACACGTTCGCGTGTCGACTGTCGTCAGTTTGTTTAGTTATGTTCGAGAAGCGGTCGCGTGACCGAATTCTTTTGTTGTTTATTCATCAAAATAATTAAACTGTTTTGTGAAATATTTTGTGTTGTGATAGGCAAAATAACAATGCCTTTCAAGTGCTGTGTTCCCTTTTGTCGGCGGAATTATGAGGGTGGTCCAAAAGTTCATACTATTAGTTTCCCGTTGGACAAGCAACTATCGAAAAAGTGGGTATATGCAATTCACCGCGAGAATTTTACTCCATCTAAGTACAGTAGCGTATGTGATTTACATTTCACTAAAGATGCTATTATTACTTCATCTACTGCAACCGAATCGAAAACTAGCAAAACTGTAACAATAGATTTGAAAATTCCTAGGCTCAAACGAGATTTCCTAACTGTCCATCTTATTTAACGAAAGATGTAAAATTACGTAAAATTACAAGTCGTGATGAAAAACTTAAGATACTAGGGACTAAAAATTTGGCAAAAGCACTTACTAATAGTAAAACTGAATTCGAAAATTACCAAAAATCATTCTGCTACACATAATCTCAAGAATTTCTAGTTGTATGAGTCTTTTCAGTTGCCGGAAAAGTGGTTCAAAATTATCGATTTGCATAAAATGATAGATTGGTTAGAAACTCAGAAATATATAAATTCTACTAATAAACTAACAAACCAAACACATACTGCTTTGATTCACACTATATATGGAATGACATAAGAATACAATATTGTTTTAAGGAACTCAACATGAATTATGTTTTACTAGGAAAATTTCAAACAGATGATTTGGAACATAGGTTTGGGAAATATCGTCAACTTTCAGGTGGATCACATATTATTCGACAATTGAAAGAATCGGAAAAAAGGCTCAGAATTCAATCACTGCTCACGCTGAAATCTCGTACTTACGGTAATATATAAATCAGGCGCTTCCACGAAAATATTGATTTATTATGATTAAATCCAAAAAATCATGTCTGAATTCGAGGAAATATTCTTGAATGTTCATAATTAACGGGCATTATATTAGTCTAACGATCAATTGGGTGAAAAATCCAACAACAGGAAATTGAAAACACTCACTGGCTAATTTTTTAGGCAATGGGAATTCTCCAAGATATATATAGGTAATTATAGCAAACGGCATGTCTATCAAAATAAAATACATTTTCCCAAATTTTCATTTGATCAATCTCACGATGAGTTTATGTTCTGCGGGCCCTATATAAGTAGGTGTGAAGTTTACCTCTAATGAGATTAAATCACTACAATTTTTGCCAATACATTTAATTCTAATGGGTTGCTGTAGGTGGGTATTTGTGTTTTATTCTGGTTTTTGCTTTGAAACTTCGTTTCTCCATAATAAAATCGAATGGGATGCGAAGAAGGGCTCAGTTGACGATTGGCATCCTCTTCTAACCGGAAGCCCTTTAAAAAAAACAGCAAAATCGGCTCAATAATGATCTAAAAACTAAAATTTAAATATGCGGTCGCCTTATAGCGCCGTAAGCGCTTATCGTTTCGAGCCGCTGTTAGGCCTCACTAAGATGACGTCATCACGGAGCCTGCAGGCCTTGTTATACGACGCTATACATAGTGGAGTATACTACGGCCTTGCCAAAAATGCTATCTCGGAAACTAAGCGAGATAGAGGTATAGTTACTTTGGAGAAAATGATCCCCATCGAATTTTGAGCAACTTTGGTTTTTGTGTGTGGTCTGTCTGTCTGTCTGTCTGTCTGTCTGTACTCTGTGTTAATCATAAATCGATATATCTCCGGAACCCTTTGACATATCGACTTGAAATTTTGCTATCTTATTGTACTCAGAACAATATTATGCCATTAAAATATGAAGGAAATCGGAAAACTCTAAGGTGGTTTTTCCGGGTTTTTTCGATTTTTCACCGGAAGTTTCTTGTAACCACTCTACAAATCGCAAAAGTGGTCCGATCGATTTCATTTTTTGTGAAAAAAAACTCTATCAGGGATAGACGAAGCCTATTGAAATTGAGCAGGGTCGGAGAATTCCTAATGGGTTTTTCAAGGAGATTTTCCGAAACACACGGTTCGCTTTAAAACGACATATCTCCTGAACCAATAAACTAAATCCAAATTTGAAAAATGCACCGTATGCCTCTTCGATGACGCAACAAATTATTATATCACCATTTTTTCGTGATTCCATCGGAAAATGGAAAAACAAATGAAAATCAAAACATCAAAATTTGAAATCCTGTCAATTCAATATATATCGAAAACAAATGGAAAAATCGAAAATTATCAGGAGTGCAAAGTTATCCACTGGAACATTTCCTACAAATTATAACCCTAAATTTTTTCTGCAAACCCAATAGTACAGGAAATAAAGTGAAAAATATGAAAAAAAAATTTGAACGACCCATGAAGATATATTGAAAAACAAAAGATTAACGATAGATGAAGATCATAGACTTCCACTGAACCATGAAATATTATTTCCTTTTGTTGATGGAAAGATGGAACAAAAGTGTTGAAAATTGTATTCTCAGATAATTCCAAATATCTCGAAAACAACTGAACATATCTGAAAATGTTATGAAACCAAAATTATTCCTTTTGATAGAATCTACAAAAAATCCGTATAACATTTTTCTCTGAATTCAATAGTTTGGGAGATACGATGGAAAAACTAAAAAATTTACAAGTTCCTAGATAATCACTTGCCAATAGAAAACAAAACAGAAAACAAAAAAAAATTAAAAAAAGCACACTCGACTGTCTTGATTTTTTTCCCATAAACTACATACCTAGCTCACTCAACTGTCTTCATTTTTCGCCAATGAACTAGGTACCTAGCTCATTGACTGTCTCAATTTTTTGCCCATAAACTACGTACCTAGCTCACTCGACTGCCTTGATTTTACGCCAATAAACTACGTACATAGCTCACTCGACTGTCTTGATTTTCCACAAAGAAGAAATATGTTGGCATTGTTTTAACTTTATTTTGTTTTTGTTTTTTTAGTCCCTATTAGCAGTCGAGTGGGCTAGGTACGTAGTTTGTGTGGAAGAACCAAGACAGTCGAGTGGGCTAAGTACGTAGTTTGTGGGAAAAATCTCCAGTTCTCTGAACTGTCATAGCGTCGTATACACATCTTTGGTGCCCAATGATAGTTTAAATATAAAAATATGCTCATGATATGGTGCCATGGCCTCTTCTTCCATCTTACATGAGCAATGATAAAATATCATCTGCTTTTATAGCGTCGTATAAATTATCTGACCTCTATACTAATCTAATACCTAATGGAATCTACATCTATACTAATCTGATACCTTTCAAAAACTACGTACCTCACTTGTTAGTATCGGGGGTAACGCACCAGCCCACTTACCAGTCGGTTTGCCGAACAGCCCGCCGCCAGCCTGTTGCTGCTGCTGCTGCGCGTTCATCCCAAAGCCCGTGTTCGTCTGACCGAAGGCGGACCCGGCCTGGCCGAAACCCGTCGTCTGCTGGCCGAAACCGGCCTTCGACGCGTCCGGTTGGCCGAACAGAGAGGGGGCAGACGAGGCGGGAGCCCCGAATGGTGCCGCGCCGAAGCCCGCCGTTTGCTGCTGCGGGCCTGAAGAAAGAACCAGGAGACTGAGATCCAAATACACTCACCGGCAAAAAAACCGGACACCAAAAAATTGTTCGCCATGTAACTTATTCAATTCTTGTCCGATTTCGGTGAAATTTCGACCAAATCGTATATACATGTTTCGGAATGTTAGCCTGGATATAAGGTCCTAAGAAAAGCTGATGGCTTGATCATTATACAGGGAAAAACAAAAGTGACTCTCTAACCCTCAACTTCTTGACGCCCTGTGGCAAAGGTGAGTGGTTAAACTGAGCTTCGTTATGTTTTGGATTAAAGTGTGATCCCTTCTTGACACAATGGTTTTCGATTCTCGTCGATAACCATTTTTTAAGAAAAGATACGAGTCTTTTAAGAAAGTATGAATTTTTTTGAATTTTCATCAACAATAATTTAGAACTTATAGATCATCTCGGGGATGAACTCCAGAGGCTCATTCGCCTTAGTTCGGCCATGTCAGAGATTCTTCAAGAGCTACGATTCGTCCTTCAAGGAGATTTTCAGGCAATTCTTCAAGACTACTTTAGAAATTTGATCAACTCGTTGCCACGGCGGTTGAATGCCTCGTTGAATGACTCATTATTGACTATATACAGTTCTGTTTTTTTTTGTTTGTTTTTGTAATTAAGATTTTTTGTGTAAGTGCTGATAAAATGAGTTAGAAATATGTGATATTAATTCTTCAAGTTGTTAATCAATAAGTTTATGAAGGTTCTGATTATTGTTAATATGAGTTTTAATGAAATTTGAAAACGGCCATATTTTTCTAAAACACTTGTATCTTCTCTTGAAAATAAGATATTGACGTGATTCAAAAACTATTGTGTTAAGAAAGGATCACACTTCAATCCGAAGCATAATGAAACCTAGTTCAACCACTCAATTTTGCCACAGGGCGTTAAGAAATAAAGGGTGAAATAGTGACTTTGATTTTTCCCTGTATAAAGATCAAGACATCAGCTTTTCACTTAAACTAAAATTCAGGCTAACATTTCGGAACATGAATCTACGATATGATCGAAATTTCACAAGAATCGGGCAAGGTTTAAAAAAGTTACAGAGTCAACAATTCTGGCAATTTCTTACGATAATGGAACTTTATCACTAGAGTACAGTTTTACATACAATAAGGAACTAGCTCTATAAGTAGGTATATCCATATGTGTTTATTTTGTGATATTAAAATGTTGTTACATGAATTCTTTTCATTTTTATAACTATATGGTTCTGCGAAAAGTGAATCACTATATGAATTGAAGTGGGTGTTTATACCCTATTTCTATTTTCTCTCTACTGCTATGATTGATTTGACAGAAAATCTAACCTCTAAAATCGTATGTGACAATCAGGCGCTACTAGGGAAATTGAGAAGACAAAGAGCAGAATAACTGTCTTATTCTTTTATTCACTCAAACCATTGTAATATAGAAAATAGGAAAGGACATAAGTTCAGCTGTGTCCAAAATCTTATCCAACTAATACCATAAAGTGACTTTAGGTGTACCTAGTTAGAGTTCGAACACAGCTGAATTTCTGTCCTTTTCTATTTTCTATATTGCAATGGTTTGAGTGAATAAAAGAATAAGACATATATTCTGCTCTTTGTCTTTTCAATCACTCTAGTAGCACCTGATTGTCAGATACGATTTTAGAGGTTAGATTCGTAGTCGTAGATGGAAAATGGAGATAGAGGTGTACCTAGTTAGAGTTCGAACACAGCTGAATTTCTGTCCTTTTCTATTTTCTATATTGCAATGGTTTGAGTGAATAAAAGAATGAGACATATAATATTCTGCTCTTTGTCTTTTCAATCACTCTAGTAGCACCTGATTGTCAGATACGATTTTAGAGGTTAGATTTCCTGTCAAATCAATCATAGTCGTAGATGGAAAATGGAAATAGGGTATAAACACTCACTTCAATTTATAGCGATACGGAACTTTTCGGAAAACAGTAGTTATAAAAATGAAAAGAACAACATTTCAATGAAGGAATAGACACACTTATAGCTAGTTCGGTCGATATCAAAAACGCCATTCAATGATATATCACGTTGCAATTGACCATTCCAGAACACGTGATTTTGACATGGTTTCTTGAGGGGCACACAAACTATCTGTTAGGTTACCATTGATGAGCATAGCCCTGGCCATCCCTGCCATATCCACAATATAATAACAGTTTCACCAAACAAAATTATGACATTATTTCTGGTTCCAACTCGGATTCCAAGGAAAGCGATCCCACTAATTCTGGTTTTATATGACAAAACTTGACAAAATTCGATGTTTGCCCCTCAACAACCTGTCAAATGACGTAATTCTGGAATGATTAATTTACTTGATTTCCTCAGTTTCATTCTCGAACTTTCAATTTCATTACGTACTTTTGCAATATATTCCTCTTTCTTCATGATAGTTTTATTTTGTATTTCGTGTGATGATTATAAAGAATTCTTCTTTCAAATAGTCTGTTTTGTAAATGAATAGAACAGCAGATTCTGTCAATCTTCAAAATCTTCTGTTTGGAAATATGGACCTAAAATCTAGTTTCATTCTAATCTGCTCTGTTATAAAAAGTAAATTTTAATCTATGTACCTCACAAATTTCGCATGTGTTCAAATCAATTTTCCATCCCGGCCGTTTCATACATTCCTTCCATAAGAGAATCGGGTCGATATTTCCTTTGGCGGAATAAATAAATGAAATCCATTCTCTTCAGAATTCCCACAATTCATTACACTGCAGGACATCTTCATTTATGCTTTCTCCTCAATAGTTTATGAAATTATATTTCAATTCTGACGTTCATATATTATTTATTGTCAAATTCTAACAAATGAAAAAGCGTGGAACGACTATGGTGCTCTTGTCACAATGCAAGGTGTGTAACTAAACGAATCTAAACATTGAAAAACACTAACAGTTGCCATTTCTGTGTCTAAACTCTTATCTAACTAATATCATCCAGTGACTCTAGGTACACCTACGGTTCCTTGATGCAAACTGACGTATTTGTCATCTAACAGGGTACGGACAGATCATAGCTCCTTTCTCTTTCAATCATCTAGTGACTTGGGTTTCGTGTATTGGCGTCCCTGACATGACATTGCTGTCACGTCACATTCATAGGCGTTAAGAGAGATCTTACAAAATTTCAATTTCCTACTTGATCTCAATACGACATTATTCAATTCTCAGCTTTCCATCAAATTCAAACGAACTTAGAACATGGAAAGTGAAGTGACCGAATGGGGAAAATTGGTAAATACGTCAGCAAAATATTCGAGGTAAAACTAATACGAAATCACATATTATACTTTCTCATTGTGCCAATAATTATCCACTTCACCAGTTTTGAATGCATTTTCGTAGAAACAGTTTTGATTAGAACGGAGGATTAACAGAAGAGGCATATGCTCGCATATACAGGGTGGGCCACCAGTAACGCCTCGGTCTCTAGAAGGCTAACCACTTATCTTCTTGGAATTCTTCCTCTCTAGGAAGTTACATGTCAACATAGGCTACCATTTAAAATTCTTTCGAAACATACAGGGTGTCCCCAAAAACCATAAAACACTGAAGTTAAACTTTTTTCTATCGAACACCCTATATATTATTTCATTTTGAGATTCTCCCTGATGAGCTGATTTCAACGACCCATCATACTTGGGGTCTAGCAGTTATAATTACTGAAATATAGGGTGTGAAAAATCGAGATTTTCCAAGTTCAAGAATTTTTTGTGTCGAAACTATTCATAATTGGTCAAAACGGCTTACATGTCCCTATCTCAACTTTTGATTAACTATCTACTGATATTTAATTGGGACATATACCGGGTGATCAAGATTCTGAATTCTGCACCACCCTGTATTTGTTTCAATTAAATGTCAGTAGATAGTTGAGATAGGGACATGTGAGCCGTTTTGACCATTTATGAATGGTTTAGACACAAAAAATTCTTGAACTTGGAAAATCTCGATTTCTCACACCCTATATCTCAGTAATTATAACTGCTAGACCCCAAGTATGATGGATTGTTGAAATCAGCTCACCAGGGAGAATCTCAAAATAAAATAATATATAGGGTGTTCGATTGAAAAAAGTTCAACTTCAGTGTTTTGTGATTTTTGGGGACATTCTGTATGTTTCAAAATAATTTCAAATCGTAGCCTATAATGACATGCAACTTCCTAGAGAGGAAGAATTCCAAGAAGATAAGTGGTTAGCCTTCTAGAGACCGAGGCGTTACTGGTGGCCCACCCTGTATATTAAGTGTTCGTGAAAAACTGCAAAAATGATTCCCAACATGAATATATATAGCACACATGACATATGAGCACATTAGTTTAAATACCTACATAAAATTTTTCACCATTTCTCAACCATAAGGCTTAGTCTGAAAACAAAATTCATATTGATAGGTACTGCCTAAGAACGTATCAAACTTTCAGAAAAATTTGCTCACTGCCTCACAAAGATTATGCTGGAGTTGAAAAATCAAAAACTCGAAGATTGTCATCATCATTTGGATATAATATGTAGAGTTGAATGAGAAATTACATGTGGAAATTACGTATGACACGCCAATGTCCTCAATATAACCTAAAAAACAACAAATGTCAGAAATGTAGTGTTTATCCCCAGAAATGAATAAAGATGGAACTATACAGTGTCATTCATAAAGTCGGCATCATATGGGACAAACTTTTATCAATGACTTATTTTGAATTTCGAGTTGGACGTCAAGTTTTGCTTCAAAAAAGATGAAAAATGGCCTACTCAATCGGGGTCACGTGACTTTCGCTACATGTCAAAAGTGACATTTTTTCAAATTAATCGCTGAAAGTAGGCTTATTTGTTCGAATATCGAAAAAGTTTACTTGAAAAAGTTGTTTCTATTTGAATTTTACATATGTGACTCGGATTTTATCTTTCTATCACATTTTTTAGATTTCGATATTTTTTAAAAATTTTTGAAATTTCTGTAATATTAAAAAAATTGTAAATTCGATAAAACTACTTCATACCAGTAGCTTCATTATGTTACTGATTTTAAATTACTAATTATCACTTATTATCGACAAAAATATGATTTTCTTCAGAAAATGATAATCTCTTCAAAATTCTGTTATGTTTGATCCAAATATAACATCAAAATTCTGTTATGTCTGAGTCAAGCATTTAGAAACGAAATTCATTTAAATTTATTTTTTCAGTACTGAAAAGATCAGTTTAAATGAATTTCGTTTCTAAATGCTTGACGATATATCAACTTTGCATCAAACATAACAGAATTTGGAAGCGGGTATTATCATTTTCTGAAGAAAATCATATTTCTGTCCATAATCAGTGAAAATAAGTAATTGAAAGTAAGTAACATGAAAAAGCTATTGGTATGAAGTAGTTTCGTGGAATTAACAATTCTTCAAATATTACAGAAATTTCGAAAAATTTAAAAAAAAATCAAAATCTAAAAATTGCAATAAAAAGATCAAATTCGAGAAGCATGTGTAAAATTGGAATAGAAACAACTTTTTCAAGTAAACTTTTTCGATATTCGAACAAATAAGCCTACTTTCAGCGATTAATTTGAAAAAATTTTACTTTTGACATGTAGCGAAAGTCACGTGACCCCGATTGAGTAGGCCATTTTTCATCTTCTTTGAAGCAAAACTCAACGTCCAATTCGAATTCCAAAATGAGTCAATAATAAAAGTTTTTCCCATATGATGCCGACTTTATGAATGACACTGTATAACTGTTTCACAAACACTTAAGAGTGAGAGGAGACGAGGATCAGTCCGTACCCAATTTACATCAAGGGACCCTAGGTACACCAACCGTGCGAATCCGGGCCGGACAGATAGATATTAATATGGACGATTAGCAGTCCCTTGAGCGAAACAATAAGCAGTATTCGAATTTCCATCTCTCATTCTCTCATCATAGAAATCACCAACCCACAAAAAACCCACCTTTCCTATTGGCCGCGTAATCCTCGAACCTCAACTCCTCGAACGACTTGTTCTCGTACTCCTTCATGCAAGTGATACTATGATGCTTCGTATTGATGCTCTGCGTGAGCCCGGACTTCATCATCGTATCCGTGCCCGTCACCGGATTGAACTTGACGACGGTGCCGGCCTGCTGCTAGGATTGGGAAAATTTCACTTTTAGTAAGTGTATACAGGGTGTTTCAAAAAAAAACCTAACCCCCTTGCTAGGGTAGGTGGAACATTGCAAAATAAGTTGGGTTTTCTCAGTGAAAAAATGTAACGGCATCCGTTTTCAAGATACAAGGTGTTAAAAAATATTTTTGTTACAAATTTTTTACGATTATGTCGAAACTGCTGGCAACATTGTGATGAAGTGTCGTATGGATGTGTTCTGAAAGCTGACACACCGCATGATTCTTTTTATATCTGTATATCTGACACTCATAAAGGGCGCTAGTTACACGGTTCGTACAGAGTCCTTTTTAACATAACTTTTTTGAGGTTGGATTTTTCAGTCCAAATTCAATATGAACTCAAACACCATTCAATTTTACACCAAAATCCTCGTGGTAAAACTCGAATACTGTGTACCGTTTTTGAATTATTTCGATTTGAAAATGCTGAAGCAATAACTCTGATTCTGGTTTTAGAATAAGCATTATAAAAAACAATTATTATCTATTTATTAAGGACAAAAAAACATCAACATTATTTTACTGCTGAAGTTATCGATTAAACAAAATCAATATTCACTCAAATTGTAAAAGCAGAAGTGCTAAGACGCACGCGCATAGAAAAGTGCACAAAAACGGCCAGGACTGTAAGTTTTGAATTATTCGAGATGGGGTTTTGAAAATTGGTGGGCAGCTAGTATACCAAATTGCTCATTAATTGACGAAACAATTTTTGTTCTATCATTTCCGGTTTTACTGGAAACGACCTCAGCTTTTGATTTTCAAATGGGACACCTTGTATTGTATTCAATAATCGTTAGGGATTCTCATTACAAATCATCGATACCGAGTTTGATAGGGTGATTTCAAACAATAACGCAGATATTCGCGTTCTAAGTTTCCATATGATCAATGAGTGTGACAGAGAAAGAAGTTTTGATATTGCGAAGTCACACCCATTGAGCATATAGAAACTTCGAACGCAAATATCTTTGTAATTGTTTGAAATAACCCTATCAAACCGCGTATCGTTGAATTCGTCATGATGATCCCTAACCGATTATGGAATACAATACAGGGTGTCCCATTTGAAGATAAAAAGTTGTGGTCGTTTCTGGTGAAACTGGAAGTGATAGAAAACATTGTTTCATCAATTAATGAGCAATTTGGTATACTTGCTACCCACCAATTTTCAGAACCCTATCTAGAATAATTCAAAAGTTACAATCCTGGCCGTTTTTTGTGCACTTCTCTGTATATCGCCCTTGCTATTTTCTAATTGCATAATTGAGTGGCCCTTATCAAGCAGGAAGATCGACCTGGGTACCCAGCAACGGCGAGTTCAGATCGTACTGGTGAGTCATCTATTGATCTCTGAAAGGCAATTAATTTTTAATTATACTAATTGAATTTCTTATTATCAACTTTTCTGTGCCGTATGCGCACAGTAAGAAAATGAAATTTCACTTCAAATTTCATGAAATATACCGGTTGTTTCTCAAAACTGGCTCATCCCTATAATTTTTGTATCTCTACAGGTGAACAAATGAAATTAGGTGTGTGGGTATAGTACATAAATATGCATTATTTGACGCATTCCATTGTTTTCTCATTTCAAATGGGACACCCGGTATATTTTCAATTATTTCCATAGAGAATAACATTGTGAGTACAATGACACCCCATTAGCCACTTTTTGTCATTGAGCATTCTGAAATTTTGGTTTTTCAATTTTCAATCTAGAGTGATTATGATACTGGATATTTAGTAGGGGAGCCGACTGTAGATTTCTACCGTCATCTGGTAACGGCACCTGTGCCAATCGGTATCCTGAGCGAAATGATTAAAAAATTGCAAAGGACCCCGTTCCGCTCTTATGGGTTTTTGGGTCCTGGTCAAATCGGCTTGTAGTTTGTGATATCCTGATCAAAAGCTCACATGGGCCCAACTCTATCCTATGACTAGTTTTCGAGCAACAGCGATTCAAATGTTGGATTGTGTGCCTTCAAGGGTGATAAAACAGACATATTTTTCTAAGTGAAAAATTTGTGCCCTATAAGCTTCAAAAAACGACTTGTTGATAGAATTTCAACCTTCAGGATAAGTTTGTTTGAAGAATAATTCGATCAACTGAAATATTGATAACAGGGTGATGCCTAATATCTTGACAATTAATTATGTTTTGTAATAATCATGAATTTTTGTATATTGTAAACTTATTATTAAGGTTGAAATTCTATCAACAAGTCGTTTTTTGAAGCTCATAGGGCACAAATTCACCTAGAAAAATATGTCTCTTCAATCACCCTTAAAGGCAAACAATCCAACATTTGAATCGCTGTTGCTTGAAAACTAGTCATAGGATTGAGTTGGGCCCATGAGAGCTATTGATCAGGATATCACAAACTACAACATACTATAATTCCAGCCGATTTGACCGGGACTCAAAAACCCATAAGAGCGGTGCGGGGTCCTTTGATAACGAGATGAGAATTATGCCATCCGATACCAATTGAATGGTAGATCTCAAAAACCTACCTGTGTCATACCTCAGTCTGAGCCAAATCCATGGCACAGCGATTTATTTGCTCCTATTATTCCGGACATACTTCTGTCATGTGATAACGAGTTAAAACAAAATTCAAATGAGGGGGGAAAATGTTCCATTTGCGAATATCCAAACGTGCTGGGATTCAAACAGATCTAAGTTAGTGGCTGCTATTGCTGCTGTGAGGAGTGACGCGGAACGTATGTAAAAGTGGATTTAATTCACTAGAAATTCGAAAAATCTGCGAAATTTTAATAATTTACAGATGTCACAATCGTGCAATGTCTCCATCTATCACAAGACAACTGAAACCATTTTTCCACAGCCGTCTTCAACTAACAAGCCGTGAAGAAGCAGTCTGGCAACATTGTCCGAACGACCGAACTTGCACCTGTCGGCCATTCAAAGTGTATTGTGTAGGAAGTAAACAAGGAGTTTATGGAAGGTTTTTTTAAAGTTTTCAATTATTAATTGGTGTAATATTGAGATCAAATAATTTTAAAAGTATTAGCAACAATCTAGGAATCGACTCGAGACTGAAAGTGTGTGGCAAGTGCATTCAAAATTGTGTTAAATTGGAGGTTATAGTGAATTGTACTAGTGCTGGTGTATTTGCAAGGGAATTTGTATTGTTTTTTCAATTTACTCCTGGAAATAAGTAAGTTATTCATTATTCCTTATGAAATATGCCTACTCATTGTTGTGTGCCAGGATGTAAGTCAAATTACAGCTCTGAAAAAAAGCTGGGAAAGGATCATGTCTCAGTTTTTTTATTCCCAAAAGGGGAAGAATTGTGAAGTAAGTGGATAACAGCAATACCTCGAAAAAACAGGACACCATCTCAACGTTCTACAGTATGTGCAATTCATTTTATTGAAAAAGATATCATCAGGTATATACATTCCCTCTGCCAGATGGATCAATTGGAAAAAAAATTTTACGAGCACCAAAGTTAGTCAAAACAGCAGTTCCTTCAATTTTTCCAAATTTACCAAAATATTTTTCAAAACCAGCCAAACCATCAAAAACTGATCCAAATGAAAGACGTCAGAAATATTTAGATATTCAAAGTAATATAATAGAACAGTTTGAAAAATCACACCTCATCCACAACTACACAGCCGTCTTCTGAAGACGGCTGTGACAACTATGAACAGTTAGTTAGGGAATATGTTGAGAAAGTTGAAATTGATACTTGGAAAATCCATAAGACTGATGATAAATTGTATTTTTATGAATTAGATTTGCAAGCAAATGTTTTTTATCCCAATGATGTAAATACTTTACAAATTGTTTCTCAAGTTATAATATCCAATGAGATGGAGGTCCAAGTTTTTCTTGGTGATAATAAACTTGGATTCAATGAATTGAAATGGATTCTTACTCATGATATGAAATTGAATAGATGGTCACAACTTGAAAATATTCTAGCTAGATTCAAAAACATCTCAGATCAAACTGACAAACACTCAGATATGAATGAAAGATTCCATATCTCCATAAGTTTTATTTTAACAAAATGTTCAAAATTACGGCTTCAGTTCATGACCAAGGGAATTATTCAACCACATTATTCCTCGTTCTTCACTCTGTAAGTTCACTCTCCTGTATTTTTTACCTATTCGACAAAATAATCCGAGAAAATTACGTTAAACCAAACATTCAAAGCTCGCGCTCATATAAAAACCATTGTATTGCTAGGCTCGAATGGGACCGACGGTTTCCGTTCGTGCGACGTTGCCAGTATCTCAGCACGGCTTGTTAGTTGAAGACGGCTGTGATTTTTCTCGGGAGGTCGAGAAGAATTTTTGGAACAAAAGCGCATCAGTAAGTACACCAGCTACTTATCTCAATCACTGTCCTGATCCTACCTGTTGCTGCTGCCCCCCAAAGCCCCCGCCGCCGAAAAGGCTGCCCGCCGCGCCCGGCTGGAACATGCTCGCCGCCTGCTGTGGTTGCGCCTGCTGCTGCGCCTGCTGCCCGAACAGCGTCGGCTGCTGAGCTCCGAAGCCGAACCCGGCCGGTTTGGCCGGCTGGCCGAACGACGAGGCGGTCGTGTTGAACATGCCGCCCGCGGACGGTTGCTGGGCGGCAAATAGGTTTGTGGTGCCTGAAAGCACGAGAAACTGAAGTTCACGAAGCATATATGTTGGTCATACAGGTAAAACGTTCAACCACCGCATACACGAACATCATAGAAACCTTCAAAGAGAACAATGACCGAACGACGAGGCGGCCGTGTGGAACATGACGCCCGCGGACGGTTGCTGGGCGGCGAATAAGTTTGTGGTGCCTGAAAGCACGAAAGAAACTGTAATTCACGAAACATACAGAGAAAAATGGCTGCATTCAAACCTCTTATCAATAAATACTGATAAAACTGAATATATGATTTTTCAACAAAAAAATAAACAAAATATAAATTTAAATCTCAGAATTAAAAATGACTCTTTGAAACAAACGAATGAGAAGAAGTATCTTGGGATTTGGTTTGATGATAAATTAAAGTGGGACAAACATATAAATGTTTTGACGAAAAAAATATCTCCTATTATTGGAGCCCTGAGAAGATGTCCCAAGATGAATAAAAAAGTTGCAAATGTAATTCTATATTCTCATATACTCAGTCGTATTAACTATTTGATAAATGTTTGGGGATACTGTTCAAAAAACAATTTTAATAAAATATCTGCATTATATAAAAAGACATTGAAAGTACTGTATCGTTTACCATATGATACACCAACAAATCAATTATATAAAATAACTGAATCATTCTCATTAGAAGAAATGTTCAAAATCGAAAGACTGAAAATTACATACAATATCATAAATAAAAGATTGAAATCTAATTTTATTTTAACACGAAACAATGAAATTCATAATTATCAAACTAGACAACATGGTTTATTTCATCTTGATATCGCTAATACTTCTATAGGCCAAAAAAGATTCACCCACGCTGCTCTCTTGGAATATAACAAATTACCAGATAATATAAAAAATTGCAGAAATACAATAAAATTCAAATACCATCTTAAAAAATTTATCATTTCTGAACGAAATAGATGACTTTTTTTTTTTCAACTTTTGATTCATATTCAAATTGATTTTTGCTCACCAATATGAAATGATTCGTCAAAATTTAATAATTAATGTTTTCAAATATTTTATTATTCATCAATTTATTATAATTGTATAGGTTTAGGTATTATTGTTAACTATACTTCCTTATACCAGAACTTGATTCTGACTGGAAGTAACATTTTCAATAAATAAATAAATAAATAAGTGCACAATAAACGGCCAGTGCTGTAACTTCTGAACCATTTGAGATCGGATTTCGAAAATTGGTGGGTAGCAAGTATAGCAACTTGCTCATTAATTGACAAACCAATTTTTGTTCTATCACTTCCGGTTTCACCGGAAACGACCCTAACTTTTAATTTTTAAATAGAACACTCTGTATTTCATTCCATAATCGGTTAGGGATTATCGTAACGAATTCAACGATACCGGATTCGATAGGGTTATTTCAAACGATTACGAAGATATTCGCGTTCTAAGTTTTCATATGCTCAATGGGTGTGACTTCGCAATATCGAAAATTCTTTCTCTGTCCCACTTATTGAGCAAATGGAACCTTAGAACGCGAATATCTTCGTAGTCGTTTGAATTAACCCTATCAAACCCGGCAGCGATTTTACTAAATATACTGCACGCTAGCACAAACCACGCCCACCATAATACGTCATATCTCCAAACATTACCGATATACTCGGACTCAGCACATCGCACTAAATATACTGTCAAAGAGGAATAAATTCATATACCCAAATGGTCTACTGGTTAGCGCTGTCGACTCTCAGTCTGAAGGTCCATGGTTCGAATCGCTGTGAACTTTTTTTGCAACTTTTTTTTCACCAATGTTTTTTTACTTCATTCTGGTTTTCCTTTTTCATAAAATATTTGAAGTCAAATAGGTTAGTGTGTTTAGGATAAACAGTCTCATTTTATTCAATTTTGTTGAAGAACTCAACTTTTGAAATATATTATTAATCAATGTGTTTCTACTCCATTCGCGGTTTTCCTTCCTCAAAAATATTGCAATCATGGATAGGTTAGTTCGTTAAGGATAAATAGTTTTGCCTAAGTACTTCGAAGATGAGATATTACGGTGGGCGTGGTTTGTGCTAGCGTACAGTATATTTAGTAAAATCGCAACCCGGCATCGTTGAATTCGTCATAATATTCCCTAACCGATGATGAAATAAAATACAGGGTGTCCCATTGAAAAATCAGAAGTTAGGGTCGTTTCTGGTGAGATCGGAAGTGATTGAACACAAATTGCTTTGTCAATTAATGAACAATTTGGTATACTTGCTACCCACCAATTTTCGAAATCCGATCTAGAATGATTCCGAAGGTACAGCACTGGCCTTTTTTTGTGCACTTCTCTGTATACAGGGTGTCTATAAAAAGGTTGGGACATGGCTCGGCTGTGGACTCCTGGGATAAAAACAAGTTGATTTAGGCCAGCTCACCTATATCCAAAATGGTCTCGTTGAGTTGGTACAAGGCGTTGAAGTTTTTTTGGAAAAAAATAATTTTGCTCATAAAAAGAGTAGGCTGAGATCAATTATTATAAATTTTGGCATGGCATGTTCTGTGACTGTGAGTCACGTTTTGAGATGTTTTTGATCATCATCAGTGACCTGCAAGTGTTTCAAACAGCCGTGTTGCCGTGTTGCGAGCGAGTATACTTATCAACTAGATTTAATCATTGGTGATTCATTAGCGGATTTGGTACATTGGTTGAGTTGACAAAAAGTAAAATTTGGAATGAATATCTAACTGCAACTGCCTGCGTGTGGCTTCGGCAAGTTTATTTAAAGAACATTCAAGTCACGTGACAGTCATAGTGCATCACGTCATCAATAGACAAAAAGAGAAATATAAAAATAAAGATAGTAACAAATAACAACATTGTTTTCTGCAACAGGTCGTTGTTACAATAAAAGTGTAAAATAAGCAAATGTTGCAATAGTGTAGACAATGTTAAATAGAACAACTGAGTTATAATATTATAATATTCATATACAAGGTGATTATTATATAATGGGTGAAACAGCATAGCAGTTCACAACAGCCGTACAAATTGGGTGATAACTTTTCAAAGGTCAGACTGGAAAGTTCCAGTTTTTTGTTTCAGAAAGATATTCCCTTCAGAAATATTTTTTGTATCGTGTTTATTTTTGATGTCTCGAGGTTCATTTGCAAATAAATAATTTCTGATATGATGCATCATGCGCATTTTTGAAATTTAATCTAATTAGTCGGACTGTTTATTGATCATGACTACAATGTATTCTTATTGTTAACAAACTGATATGTTGCTGGTCCTCGCGGGCTTTACAAGAACTCTCACGTTACAAATTTAGCGATAACTATTCAGGACCAAAGGTGAGCACTTTAACGCCTTGTACCAACTCACCGAAACGATTTTGGATATAGGTAAGTTGGATAAAATCAACTTATTTCCATCCCAGGAGTTTACAGTCAAGCCATGTCCCAACCAGATTATGTTTCTAAAAAATGCATAAGATGCCTCAGATCAGAAATTATTTATTTGCAAATGAACCTCGAGACTTATCAAAAATAACACGATACAGAAAATATTTATGAAGGGAATATCATTCTGAAAAAAAAACTGGAGGTTTCCAGTCTGACTTCTGAAAAGTTATCACCTTTGTACGGCAACATGGTTGTTTGAAATACTTGCAGGTAACTGATGATGATCAAAAACATCTCAAAACCAGTGGCGGCTCGTGACTTTCATGACAGAGGAGGCTGAATGATATGAGATTTATTGTGAAAAACAACTCTCTACTCACCCAAATCAATAGCTTTGATGACATTCTGTTTACCAGTTACCCTGAACTTAATACTTGAAGATATGTGTTCCTGTGATTTGCAGTGTCTATCCAATCCGCGAGGCAAATTTTTCAAATCATTATATCCTAATCGCCCCCAACATGATGACATCGGTTGAAAATAATACGCAGTTCCAACAAAATAACTTATTCCTTACCTCAGATCCCGTCAACCAGATAAATTTTTTATAATTATCAGAATTGAACGAACGATTTTGTTTGTTACTTGTTACAATCAGATTTTTTAATTCCGGTGTCGGACGTTTATATTTCACAATCAATTTATTTTCATAAGACAAAGCACTGAATGGGCCCACCAAAAAGTATTCCACTAAATCGCAATCGTTTAAAACACTCATTTTTCAGAAATTTATAGAGCCCATAACTATTAACCTAACAAAAACATAGACAATGCACTCGCGTTTGTCCGCAATTCGCGAAGCGACACGACAAACACGTGCTATTCGGGCGTATTCGGGCATTTGCATTGCGCGCGTAGGTTTCGATTTGTGAAGGAGACTAGCCTCCTATAGAAGTTGAATATTTTACGCGTGATTTGCAGACTTCAACGTGTGATGCGTGGGCAAGCACTGTTGCCAATTCAACAATATTCAACTAAAAACAGGAAATAAAATCAAAATCCATGTATTTTGGTGTCCATTCAATGAGAAAGTATAGATAATATTAGTTTGAGGAAAATCTCTGAGGAGACTCAGCCTCCGTTGCTTCCTCTGAGGAGCCGCCTCTGCTCAAAACGTGACTTACAGCCTACTCTTTTTATGAGCAAAATTATTTTTTTCAAAAAAAAACTTCAACGCCTTTTACCAACTCAACGAGACAATTTTGGATATAGGTAAGTTTTCAAATCAACTTCTTTCTATTCCAGGAGTCCACAGCCGAGTCATGTCCCAACCTTTTACAGATGTTCGTCGGACAGGTAAAACGTTTAACCACCGCATTCACGAACATCATAAGACTTTTTTAAAGAGAACAATGGCCGAAAGCACGAGAAACTGAAATTTACTAAGCATATATGTTGGTCAGACAAGTAAAACGTTTAACCACCGCATTCACGATCATCACAGAATTTTTTTGTAAGGAAAACAATGGCCGAACGACGAGGCGGCCGTGTTGAACATGCCGCCCGCGGACGGTTGCTGGGCGACATTCAAGTTTGTGGTGCCTGAACGTTACCACCGATAAAACAAGGCCAGCAGACTCTGACGTAAACAGCTCGTGACGTTGCATACTCAGGCCATCTTCCAAGGCATTCGCGTCGATCGATCGTCAGTTTGTTTTTGTTTAAGAACGGTGGCGTAGGTAAATCGCGTGTGCTCCAATTCTCTTGTTGTTTATTCATCAAAATAATTGGCGGAGAAATTACTGTTTTGTGAAATATTTCGTGTTGTGATAGGCGAAATAACAATGCCTTACATGTGTTGTGTTCCCTTTTGTCGGGGGAATTATGTGGGTGGTCCAAAAGTTCATGCTTTTAGTTTCCCGTTGGACAAGGAACTATCGAAAAAGTGGGTACATGCAATTTACCGCAAGGATTTTACGACTCCATCTAAGTACAGTGAAGTATGTGAATTACATTTTACTAAAGATGATATTATTACTTCATCTACTGCATCCGATTCAAAAACTGGCAAAACTGTAACAATATATTTGAAAATTCCTAGGCTCAAACGAGATGTTATTCCCACTCAATTTCCCAACTGTCCATCTTATTTATCGAAAGATGTAAAATTACGCACAAGTCGTGATGAAAAACTTGAGATACTAGAGACTAAAAATTTGGCACAAGCACTTACCAAAAGTAAAACTGAATTCGAAAATAACCAAAAATCATTTTGCTACACAGAATTTCAAGAATTTCTAGTTGTATTAGTCTTTTCAGTTGCCCGAAAAGTGGTTCAAAATTATCGATTTGCAAAAAGTCACATTATTCAATTGTCTTATTCTCCAGGGCCCGTAATTACATATTCGGTTGTGATTGATTTTGTTTTGAATGTGGAATCATTTTTGTATGACCTAGCGATACAAACATCTCTAAAAGCCAATCTGAAAACACCTTTTATCTCTAATAATATCAATCAAATCAAGGAATTACTAATTGAAATAGATAAAAACGAGATACATAATTCGGGAAAATGTCTTGATAATCAGAAAAAGAGGGTTTTGAAACATATTTCGAATGCATTGGACTCTTTGGTTTCTGACTCAATACATTCTCAAATTTCTTTCTGAAAACGGTCATTTGCCTTGTGGCAATGAATGCAGAATTCATTCCAATGATCAAATTGCAACTATTATATTAACATGTACTACAAACACTCTACTTAAAAATTACTGTTTCAAGTTTAACGACCAATTGGGTAAAAAATCCAACAACAGGAAATTAAAAACACTCACTGGCTAATTTTTTAGGTCATAGGAATTCTCCAAGATAAATATAGGTAATTAGGTATAACGAACGGCATGTCTAACTAACTAAAATACATTTTCCCCAATTTTCTTTCGATCAATCTCATGATAAGTTTATGTTCTGCGGGCCCTGTATAAGTAGGTGTGAAGTTTACCTCTAATGAGATTGAATCACTACAATTTTTGCCAATATATTTAATTCGAATGGGTTGCTGTAGGTGGGTATTTGTGTTTTATTCTGGTTTTTGCTTTGAAACTTCGTTTTTCCATAATAAAATCAAATGGGATGCGAAAAAGGGCTCAGTTGACGGCTGGCTTCCTCTTTCAACCGGAAGCCCTCAAAAAAAAAATGAAAATCGGCTCAATAATGATCTAAAACTAAAATCGAAATACGCGGTCGCCTTATAGCGCTATAAGCGCTTGTCGTTTTGAGCCGCTGGTTAGGACTGACTAAGTGACGTCACCCACGGAGCATGCAGGCCTTGTTTTATCGGTGGACACGGCCTGAAAGCACGAGAAACTGAAATTTTCGAAGCATATATGTTGGTCACAGGTAAAACGTTTAACCACCGTATTCAGGAACATTAATAGGAACTTTTAAAGAGAACAATGACCAAACGACGAGGCGGTCGTGTTGAAAATGCCACCCGCGGACGGTTGCTGGGCGGCGAATAGGTTTGTGGTGCCTGAAAGCTCATGTTGGGCACAGTGAGATCGGCTTGTGTTTTGTTTGCATTGAAATCTACCAAGTTATTGTATGGTGACAATTCATCGAATTATGATGTGAATGTCAACCAATGTTATATGTATAAAGAAGGTCGTAGATTTTTACTCCTTGTTCTAAGTGTAATTTGAGTGGTTAAAATTTGCAAAATACAGTTGAAAACTATACCAAAATGTGCAGATTAATCTCTTCAAGCCTTCAACAACCTGATGTATAGTGCATCAAGGTTTCTGGATGATTTTGAGTGGCAATTTAAATAAATCAAAATAACTACAAGTGGAACCCAAACTAATAAATTGTAATCTAGCTGAAGTGTTACCAGTGGCGCATCTCCCGTGGATGTAGGCAGAATTAAATGATATGTCTGATACTAATACTAATCTAGAGGAGTGACTATATGATTATCTTACAAACTGTAAGCAGAGGGTATGATTTAAAGACCAAATATCTTCTGATGTGGTCAATCTTGTAGGTATTCCACAAGGAAGTGTTTTAAGCCCCCTGCTTTTCATTTTGTATTTGAATGATCTTGATCTTTTTGTAGAATGTGAATTCATTACACCTTAATTGCATGTAGTGATGTCAACATTGAAACAGCTGTTGAAAAAATGAACACTGTCTTGGTATTGATAAGCCATTATCTGAATCTGAATAAACTGGAACTCAATGTAACCAAAATACAGGCAATGGTCTTCACACAAAAAAAATATGATAGACTAGAATTTGATTATATCCATTTGAACATCAATTATTCTAGCATTCAAGTTGTTCCAAATGTTAAGTACCTGGGATTCATGTTAGATAATTTTTCAAACTTCAATATTTATTTCCAGTACACTTATAAAAAGATTTCAGAAAAACTTTTTTTTTTCTCTTGGATATCTCAACATAATCACTGTGCATAATTCATTCAGCCACATTTTGTATATTGCTCATCCATTGTATATCTGTTTGATTCAAATAAATTGAATATGCTCCAGAAGGTCCAGAACCATGGAATTAGAATAATACTAAAAACAAATCGTTTCACCCCTATAAGATCAATGTTAATGACTCTTAGTTGGTTTTCAGTGGAAAACAGACTGTACTATTTCACTATGATTCTCACTATGATTCTCATTTACAAAATAGTAAATCATTTAGCACCAGAATACCTAACATTCATTAAAAATATTCATAATTATAATACATGTGATTTTGGCACTTCCTATCATAGTACCATGAATTCACTATTTTTCAAAGGATTTTTGGAGTTCAATAAACTGTCTTGGGATCTGCATCACTCATCCAGTTCAGAGCTAAGTAATTTGAATTGAATTAAATAAATTGATAGCTAAGTAAGGTCTTGATTGTGTATTCCATGTGTATTTAGTATTATGTCTATTTTATGTTTATGTTTATGTTTTACTTTTATCATAGGTATTTCATAAAAATGTCATTTCAACATTAATTTGTATTACTTTTTTTTTCATCTCTGTATATGTGTATATATAACTAAATAAAGATCTATCTATCTATAAATGTTTGTGCAATGAGGATTCTATTTTATTATATTGGAATGTAACAACAAAATATTATTATTAAATGTTTGTAAAATAAAATATTACTAACCCAAATCCTTATCAAGATGCTCATAGATTCTTTCTTTATATTGAATTTTCTCAAAGAGCCATCATTGTCCCTGAGTTCAAACAAAAGCAGATAAATGCAGACAGGATACTTTGTTCTATGCATGTTGTTTACTCATACATCTGAATCAGAACAAAATTTTATTGGAAGTTTTGTAATATATGTGTCTCAACAAGGGCTGTTGTTGGTAGAGAAGTGTATTTTTTTTTCAATTTCTTTTGGAGATGAAATCTTCTGGAACATCACATTATGTTTTATTGAACTGAATTGTTTTGTAACAAAGAGAAATAAACTCAAAGTAATGTAATTACCCAACTAGTTCATAAAATGAAGGGAACTGTTAGATAACAAGAGAAAAACAATTACTTTTCTGTATGTATGCCATGCAGAGCATTGAATTACATCCATCTGATATCTATGCAATGATTCATAAAGATGAATACAGCTGCAACTGATTCTTTCTTTGTATTACTTCAATCAATTTAGCTTCAACAACACAAGGATACTGTTAATGTTCTCTATGTCAAACACAAAATGCTCCTATGACTCTCTTATGTCTCATCTTCTTCATACTGCTAATTGAATCAGTGAGAATAAGAACAGTACAAGTCCAAATGTTACAGTTTTGGGAAAACAAGAAAAACTCTCTGTAAAGTTGTTCTGTTCTTACACTCAACGCTTCATTATTTATTATTTTACATATTTTGAATGCAGGACATAATTATACTACACAATGTACATCTCATTCATCTATAGGCATATAATGAGAAATAAAAAAAAGATTAGAATATGCCTGTTGATTTCATTTGAGATTTAATTACTTCTACTATGAGTTAATATCCTAGGCACTACTTAGGTGACTATTCATAAAATTTCAACAGTGATTTACCAAATCCTGCCTGGGTAGCTGGTTGGGCCCCAAATGTTGTGTTGGCATTTTGAAACAAGTTAGTAGGTTGAGCTTGTGTAGATGGAAACAAAGAATTAGTAGCTGGCTGTCCAAATGTGGAAGTTGATGGGCTCCCAAAGCCACCTGTTGTAGGTTTTCCAAAAAGCTGGTTTTGTCCAAAAGGATTTGCATTTGCTGCAGGTGCCGCTCCAAATCCTACAAAAAGGAGGGGGGAAACTGCATATTTATATAATTCACATTGGAGGCTGAAATATTATTTGATAAAGTAAAAACTCTTACCAAATGATGTACTACGAGCTGTGGCCCCAAAGGCAGGTTTGTTTAGGTTACTAAACATTAGGAAAGTGCTTTATTCTTCAGTTTAGTTGCCGATATTGTACAATAACAATGAATATAAATTTCAGAATGTTGTTTTATGAAATTGACCACAATACAAAACAATGATATGAATAGGAAAATGTTTCCAAAATGAAATTGTTTTATTAACACAACAATACAATCACAATCCAAATAATCGAACAGCACCTCAACCTCAAAAAAGTAAACTTGAATGTCTGAAATTTGAAATTGAAACTTGCAACAGTTGCAACTTGCTTGAAAGTTGATAAGAGATTCAACCACAACTCAACTCAAAATAAATAAAAAACACAAAAATCATGCAGAGCAAGAATACAAAATGTCAAACCGTTGTCAAATGTCAAGTCAAATCTCATGTGATATTTGTTGCACCCTGTCTCTAGAGTCTAGACGCTGCTAGTTCTCAAGGCTATTTGCACGGCCACCGTGGCCGTGGGTGACCGTGCTATTTGTATAGAAGTAAATAGACCTTGGCTAGTCCCCCCAAGGATTATTAGATGCTTTACAAACACCAATGAAAAGTCAAAAGTGGCAAGTGGCAGTAGTCAGTACTGGCAGTGACGCCAACCCTTTGGGATATTTTCTACATGTAGGGATAATTTGCTATATTTAGGGTATGTAGGCACGTAGGTATGTCAGTTCAGAGGGCGATCGATTATTTTTTCTGTCTGAGTATTTGAAAGGTTGGCATCACTGAGTAGTAGCACCATGTCATGAATTCGTTTAGCCCAGGCATATGCATCAGCGATTCCTATAGACCAATCAGAGCGATTTGGGCAATGGCGGTCAGTTCAAATCACTGATATTAGCGGCAGTTAGCGGTATCTCAGTGGGTATCTCCGAATAACGAATGTTTCCACATCATAGAAAATAATAGCAATACCCTCATAATTGGTGCGGAATTGGATTTCGGAAAATTTGCTGTCGAGTGCTTCGCTCACAGCTCACGATCCAGAAAAAAACATCATTGAAATAGCGAATCACTATCAGCATCAACAGTAAATGCTTCCACAGTACTTTTTCCAAGGAGGAAGGACCATATTATCTGTCTACATGGGAAAAGAGTCAGCCATTTTCGAACATTCTAGCCTCACTTGGCCTAATTAAATGAACCATCTCACTTTTTTTTTTCGGAAAATCACTTAAGAAAACAGAATAAAAAACCGACTGTGGCAGCTAGGAATTGAACCCAGGTCGGTGGCGTGAAATCCGAACGCACATACTTGAAATTCTCAAAGATTTTAGTATGAAATCATTAGTATTGAAGGAAGAATTCATATAAACAGTAATATATAGTGAGTTGATCTTATAACCAAGTCGCGGAAATGAATTCTCGATTGAGAAAAAACAATCACGATTCTGAGAATATCCCTCTTCAAGAAAGAATTTAGTGCACAAAAGCAGTTACCCACACCCACACGAAGATTATTTTTTGTTAATTTGTAGCATGTTTGTTGCATCGTGGTTAAACTGTGCTAATACCATCCAGCAATGAACTCAATCCAGTGACTCTAGTTGCACCCCTGGACGTTTCTCAACACCACGACTCAACACGCAGGCGCTTCTTGGATTGTTCTGATTGGTCAATAGAAATCGCCTATGCATATGTAAGGGCAAAACAAATTCGTGCTGGCACCATCGCATGTCCCGCATCGCCGCCCTCTAGGCCTTGCTTTAGTCAAAAAATGACACATGAGGGTGTCGTCCGGTGAAAATTATAATTTAAAAATTATTAAAATTAAATAAAACTATTGCATAAATGATATGAGTTTATAGAGCGTCGTACTAATAACAGTGTTATATATTATTACGGAAAGCAAACATTGAAAATGGCCATTTACTATAGGAAATTGATGGACACATTTTGGAGTGAATACATTTGGTTACCCCCAAACACAACGTGGGCTGATATAGACCCCGATGTTGATACAGCAGGAGTGCAACATGCAGATTATAGACATTTATTTTATCCTTTACCGATGGCCTTAGTTATGTTGTTATTAAGATATTTATTTGAAAAGTAAGTTTGAGGTTACTTGTTTACTTGCCATCTCTCTTATTTTGGTATCATTTAATTATTGCAGGTTTTGGTTTGCCCCTGTGGCTCTATCCTTAGGAATCAAAAATACCAGACCAAAGCATGCACCAGAAAATCAAGTTCTAGAAAAGGCATACACTCTATCAAAAAGATGGAAACATAAACAGGTATGCACACTGTTTTCAATTTTCATTGAAGAAGGTTTCATACATGAATAACTTGATTATCTTCAAATGTATTTTTTCATAGATTCAGGGCTTGGCCAAACAGTTAGATATGTCAGAGAGACAAGTTGAAAGGTGGCTGAGGTTGAGAAAAGGCCAGAACAAACCTTCAACACTCATCAAGTTTTGTGAGAATTCATGGAGATGTTTATACTATGTGTTCAGCTTTATATATGGCATCACAATACTATGGAACAAACCATGGTTGTGGAACATCAATGAATGTTGGTAAGTGGACTTTAAAGTCTTATGATCCACATGGCACATACCTATATGAATAATATTATTTCATCAAATTTCAATATATATGAATACATTAACAACAATCATGTAGAAACATGTCTAATGAAATTATCTGATATTTAAATTTTGGCCAATCTTGAATAACTAATGAAAAATAATTGGTTTATTTATTATAATATGGAAATTCTTCAGTTGCAATTTACTTTGCCTGAACACCGTCTTTCTTATTATTATAATTACATTCCTGCTAAAATTTGAGAATTTTATTGTAGTTCACAATCTACTAAATGAATGTCACCTATTTGCAGAGAAAAAACTCATTTCCTCTTTTCTTTTTTTGCTCACTCTTGGCTCATAAATGTATTACTGCTAATGAACAAATTTCCAACATTCAAATTTTTGTTCCTTTTTATAGTTTATGAGAATTCATTCAGCACATATTTTTTAGTTTTTTTCATCTGATCAAATTTGAGTTATGAAAAAAATCATGAAGATACAGTTTCTGCTCCTTCACCATTTTCAATACCTACTACTTTTAGAAAAGCCATGTAAGCACTGCTAAAAATGCTAGCCATTTCAAGTTTCAATCCAGTACAGCATTACAAGATTTATCAATAAATCTAATGATTCTGGAAATTTTGCTCTAACATCATAGTTAGCAGTGGTACCTTGAATAATATAATTATTCAACAAATAATATGGGTGGAAATTGGATTATTCATTGAAATTATATGCCAAATACCTGATGAAATGGGAATTATAGATGAAACATGAATATTAGAGTAGCATATAATTGAGGATTATAAAATTATGGGCATATAAACAAAATAACAATAATGCTGACAATGCTGACAATTTGTGTTTGAGGTTGATCATACTATTCATAATTCAAATCCGGCAACAGTAGTTGTAAACCTGATGTATTTTGTTCACTTTTTTGTTGAAGAAAATGAGTCAAGAGTCAAGGGGGAAACATTCCCTTCATGTTGTGCTGTGGGGAACATTCGCAAAAGTTCAGGCACGATAAATCGTTGTCAAATTCGCACATGATAAATCGTTGTCAAATTCGCACATGATAAATCGGTCACCAAAGTTTGTGCTGGATAAATCTTTCACAAAAGTTCGCGCACGATAAATCATTCATGCGCGCATGATAGATCATTCTTCAACAGGAACGAGAATTTTCAGCCAATGAGCGCGCTTCATTTTCTTGCTTTGATACTGGTCAATCAGCGCGCGTGTATTGCATGTGAATCCTCTTGTTTTGTTTTGATAACAATATGGGAAGTGTCACAAATTTTCAACATTCAAATTTTTATTCCTCTGTATAGTTTATGAGAATTCATTCCACACATATTTTTTAGTTTTTTTCATCTGATCAAATTTGAGTTCAGAAAAAAATTATGAAGATATAGTTTCTGCTCCTCCGCCATTTTCAAGACCTACTACTTCTAGAGAAGCCATGTAGGCACAGCTAAAAATGCTAGCCGTTTTGAATTTTGATCCAGTACAGCATTAGAAGATTTATCAATAAATCTAATGATTCTGGAAATTTCCCTCTAACATCATAGTTAGCAGTGGTACTTTGAATAATATAATTATTCAACAAATAGTATGGGTGGAAATTGGATTATTCATTGAAATTGAAATGCCAAATACCTTAAGAGGCCATATGCCACAAGAAATTATTCGAATGTTATCAGTTTTCTGTCTTATCCTTTCCCCTTTGAAAGGGGCGGGATCAACCTGAAGAATTCATGGAAAGCTACCGAACATAAAACCGGTTGATTATTCATCGGAGACAGTCAAATAGTCTCATAATTACTAATATTTTGAACTTTTGTCATTACCTATTCGATTTTTGGCGCTGGTGATTAGATATTTTGTACATTTTTGATAATTGACCAATAAGTATAGGTATGATGATTATATTATCTACAGGATATATAAATATGGAATGTTGTATTTTTTTTCGCTGGGAGCGCACGGAAGGAAATCCTCATCTGAGGAGGATAGGGAGAGGAGGAAAGTATTGGACTTTTTTCTATAACTTTTGGAGAACATACCTGAGTACTCGGAAACATACTGAAGAAGCTAACAAAGCCACTTTCGATGTTCAACATGAGACACATCTCATAATTTTAGGCTCATTGTAGGCTAATTTATTACCCCATTCCCGAATTATTTGCTCCTCTCTACCATAGAAAAATCTGTGGCTTTGCTATAGCTTCGGCCGAACCGAGGGCCGAACTCAGCGAAGCCTATTTTTAAAAACAATATTTTTTGATGATCTGATATAGTGAAAATGTAGTGCTCATTTTATTCTCGCTCATGTGGGTTCCATGGCGTCAAGGGAATGAGGCAGCTGATCGCCTAGCAAAAAAGTGCAGAGCACACATTTGATCTTTCTGTGTGACAAGCAAATGCCACCTTATCACAGAGCTCAGAAAATGAGAATGAAGTGAAAAATCCTACTACTGTTGAGCAACTCCAGGTAAACGAGAAGGAAAGAGTTCTGCAACAATTCGTGAGCTAGTGAGTCTCAGCAAACAAGAGCTAAAGCACTACCCTCTGAGCTATTACTAGAAAAAATGGGACTAGAGGAGACTGACACTAAACCGCGGAGCACCTTTGTTCATGTAAAGTACCAGTCCGCCAAAGACTGACTACCCTAGAACAGGTCTAGATAACGAGGAATGCGTAGATTTGGAAATATCTGCGAAAACTGACGAAAAACGCCATTTTTTGAAAAGTACGCATATTTGGCCAATTTTCAACTGGCTCTATCTCCGCAGTCGTTAGTCTTACATCCATGAGAAATAATAATTATATTTAGGAAATTTCATCTACTTCAACTTTCTTGGGGTGGGTTTTTCGATATAACGTATAATTTCCGAGTTACGGTCAAAAAAACGAAAAAAGTCAAAAAATTTGTCTGTTTTTTGCGAATATCTCGGAACGCTCCAGGAAATTTTGTTTGCAAAATTCAGATTCGAATTCAGCACCTCCAAAAACATATGAAACCAGAGAGAAACCGACTACTTGAATTTTTTCCAAGTAAAAATACCATTTGATTGGACAAATAAGAGAAATTCAAAAGTGACGTATCAAAGAGGTTTGGTTGATCCGAGTTGATCATCAAGTAAAATTATGGAACTTTTGCGTTTGTTGTTTTCTACTTCACTATGAAGACAAAGACAAAAATCAGTTTCTTAGATTTGATGATAAGTAAAATCAACGATAAACATGATTCATCAATTTTTCATGAATTTTCCCACACTGATCTCACTATCCATTATGAATCAACTCATCCTTATCAAAATAAAATGCCAGCATGATAGTGTTTCTGCTCTCGTCCTACAATACCCGAATTGAATTTCTGCTAACACGGATTTTGATTACACAGAATGTATCTAAATAACACCGAAAAAATTCAAGGGGCGATTCCTTGTAATATTCTAGCAAATAAAGTTTATATAAATATGTGTCCTAACTTGCTTCGTTTTCGAGATACAGGGTATTAATATTTCCATGAAAAACCTTTTTTCTATCCATTTCTCAATTGTCTTTTCATCAATCTCAATAAAACGTTGTGGTTTTGTTAATAGTGATATGGAGCTTTTTCTTGTGCAATTAGATTCGAAATAATATTTCCAGTGGCGTCACAGTGGGTAAAGGACCCCGCACTTTTTCTATATAAAAATGGCGTTCTGTCGAATTTCCTGAATTTCTGGTACATTATAGAACTAGACCAAATGATCAAATATGCCGAGTCCTAATCCGATCCTATGACCAGTTTTTGAGATACAGGGTGTTGAAGTTGAGAAATGCCCCTTTTTATCTAACCATATCTCCAAGAAAAGACAAATGAATCTGAATTTTCTGCTAGCAGTTTTTCAGTTTAACCTCTAGGTAGAAGAACCATGTACAGAATCAACCAAAGCTGATCTTTATCACAGGGTGATTCACATCTGAATTATTCAGTTATTTTCAAATTCTAAATATCGATAACAACTTGATAAAAATTGAAATATAAAAATTATCATTCGATATGTTCTTCTTACATGAAATTGATTCATTTTATGTATCGATTATACATGGTGTTTCGTGAATGCTGATGTTTAGAAAATAAAGATTAATGAGCCACCTCGTATTATTGGGTTGATTTAGGCTATTGATTATAATTTTTGAGGACACATTATGATGCATTTTATGGTACACAGAGTGATTTATTGATTGAAAAAATTGCCAACTACAAAAAAATATTAAAATACCACTATTTTTTTCATCACCATCTAATTCTAGATTTTCACCGTTAAGGTCAGATTTTTTTTTCATTAATATTCTAAGTATTAATACCCCAATGAGATGAAGAATTTTCAGCTTCTTGCTATGACTAGTTTTCCATATTGAATATAATAAAAGTGATTACCCACTCAGATTAAATACCTACTGCTTGGAAACGACAATATTACATGTAGAAAATATAACTGTTACTAAGATATTTCCGTTGGAGACTTGAAAGAATAACAAAATATACAGTATACAGGGTGTCCGATAAACCATCGCTCATACTGTAGCCGGTGATAAACAAATTCATAACTTATCAGGAAACCACATTCTGACCTCAGCAAAAAAACTCACGGATTTCGAGATATTGGAACTTTTATATAGAAAAAAATGAATTCCTGTCTTCATGTGTAGCTTGAAACATACAAATAGGAATTGAGTTCTTTGTATAAAAGATCAAATTGTGGTGTTTTGCCAAGCAAAAAACTTGTTTATCACCAGCTAGAGTATACCGGGTGACCCGGAACCAATTTACCCCCCTGTATCGTCGTTGTTATTTTGTATGGATGTTTCAAATTCGGTACTTCGATTTGATGTTATAAATGTACAATTTAGCAAGTATCAATCCAAATATGTCACTTCCGGTTTGACCGGAAGCGCATCCAATTTTTATATTTCGAATAGGAAGTATTATT